CTTCAAAAAAACTTCACTAAAGCTTTGGCTTTAGAAAAGTTTTCTCTAAAAATTGATTTTCAAGAACATTTTCTTCTTTTGAAAAGCAATTTTTCGAGTTTTTTTGCGGCGCTGCGTCAGCGGTCTCAATTTTAACGAAATTGCGCTTTCTTTCGCTCTAGAAAACACTGAAAAGACTGCTCAAAATGTTGAAAACGATGACGAAAAACGATTTTTTGAAAGATTCACGGATAGTTTATAGCCCCAAATTGTAAATTTCTCTCATAAATTATCCATGAATCTAGCAAAAAATCCCGGTCAAAACGCGCACAATCGCTTTTTTTCCCATTCAAAACTCCGCATTTTCTCTTAAAAACCAGAATGCGATTGGAAATTTCGCGAAATTTTTGCAGCTTTTTTCAAATTCTAAGTAAAGTCTCATTTGCGCCAAATTTCTTTTGCCAATTATCACTTTTTCGTAGCGCAAAATGGGCTAAAATTGAAAATTTCTTTGCCAAGCTTTCCGCCAACTTTCGCCACAAGGACGGGAGCTTAGAAACCTTTTGCCAAAATGACAAAACTGAATAAAACTTTTGCATATTATTCGTTGTTTTTCGCAAAATATTGAGAAAATGCAGGTAAAACAGAGAAACAGAAGAAGAAAATACAAATTATTCGAAATTTTCATTGATTTTCATTGATTTTCATTGATTTTCATTGATTTTCATTGATTAAATCGGGTTTTTGAAAATCACAGGCAAACAGAAACGGATTTTTGAATCACAGAAAATCACAGACAAACAATCCACACAGAGCTGAAAACAAGAATGCTTCTTGATGGTTTAGAGATCAAAAATCTGATCTCGTTTACTTGGTTTCTCATTGTACCTCTGGAAAATCGTATACGTTCCTAGGTATAAACGGATGTGGACTAGAATTTGGGTTAAGTTAAAAAGAGTGGAACCCTTTTTGATATCCCGCCATCTCTAACACCCCGACAACCCAACTCAACTCCTCCAACGTATTAGAGGGGAGTCCCTGTGAAATGACCGACCTGTACTGCAGTTGCACAGACCCGGAAGATACGTATCTTTATTTACAGTAATACAATAAGATGAATAGATTAGAAATGAGTGTAAGGGGAAGGGGGAATCCTAATGAGAGTCTCATTTGCCCTCCTAGGTAATCCTAAGGACCGCCCCTTCTCGGCAATAAAAGGGATAAGCACAGGGGAGAACACATTCGCATAAGAATAGACAAATCATTCAATCATAACATTAGTAACTAAAATATCAGTTTGTCTCGGAGCTGACAATCGTCTACAAAAGGAAATTTGACTAAAAACTGTACTTGAAAGTCTTATAATTCAAGAGTTAATCTGAAATGAAAATCAAAAAATCTTGCAGCTGAAAAAAACCATATTTCTTCTAATAGATCCCCCTTTCGATCTCTCAAATTCTCAGCTTTTTGAAACGTTTTTTATAGCTAAAGTTGTAGATATGGGTTCAGCTAGAAGTATTTTAGCTTTGGCAATAAAATTGGAAATATTGTTTTTAAGAGAATGAAAAATTGTAAGAGGGGAGATCCCAACATTTTTTTGGGAGATCGTCTGAGGGTCTTTGGTAAGAAAATATTTACTTTTAAACATGTTTTCTGTACTTTTTAGAACAAAGGCTTTCGTTTGAAATAGTTTTTAAATAAAAATAAGTTTTTGATTTATGTGGGGACCTACTCTTTGGGAGTTGAATCATAGAAGATACGGGTCTTCTATTAGAAGAAATACGGTATGTGAAAGCAAAGTGTTTCCTCTTAAATAAAGCGCTTTCTAAAGTGTGAAAACTTTAGAAAACTACCGTAATCTCGTTTGCAGTTTGCTTTCACAAAATAAGATAAACATAAACAAAGAATTTGTTTCAGGAAACGCTTGAGTCAAAAACAAAACTAGCATTGGGTTGGTGAATTGAAAACTGCGGGACTTTGAACCAAAATTTATTCAACATAAAACCATCAATTCATTCCAAATAATTTCCATTATTATTGATGACTTCTGCCCATTTTACAGGCAATTTGCGGATTCCTCTTTCGTAGTAGGATTTTGGTTTGTGTGTGAGACAAGTGTGAGACTCAAAAATCGAGGACTGGAGATGTCACCTTTGAGCACCTTCTTCAAAAGAAACCCATTCTGGTGTCAATAGAAAAGTTGTAGAGAATCAAAAATTAAGCTTATAGCCAAATTTCCAAAAAGATACACTTAGTAGTTTCGCTTAAAATGCAAGTTTTGTGAAAATTCGTAAATTTGGCATTTCTTGAGAACCAGTTTTTGAATCGTTCTGGAAATTTGGATATAAGCTTGATTTTTGATTCTCTACAACTTTTCAATTGACAACAAAATGGGTTTCTTTTGAAGAAAGTGCTCAAACTGTCACATATGACAATAGCTCGCAGTTTTCAATTCACCAACCCAATAGTTTCACAAAGCAAGGCGTTCCCAAAATTGTGATGTCCTCAAAAAATGTAAACATATCCTTTCTGGTGCATTCAACTTGCTCTTATCTTTTATTGTCAGCAATGATAACGTTCAATGTGCCAGAACAGATGTGTTTCCATAACAAGTGAAACTTTGGATTGCTTTCCCAATAAAGCTTTCCCCAAGGAAATTACAGAAAACTTTGATAGATCTGAATTATCGCAAAAACCAGGAAATGAAAGATTCTTCATTCTCTTGAATTAGATACTTTCCCGGAACTTGTTTCTATAGTCTTTGAGTCCTCTGGGAGATGTTTGTGACTGAACTGACCTCAAATTGTTGCCAATAACTCAGAAATTTTCTCTATTTTCTAGACCAATCAAGTTTTTTTCTGCAAAAAAATCTTAATCACGCAGGATCCCACGAGAATTTTGCTCAAAAGCATGTGTTTTAATGACAAAATTAGAAGATTCCCACTCGAAAAAGTTAGTGTACTTGAGTGGGTTTATTAAAGGAAATTTTATTTCAAAGATTTTTATTGATCGAACCAGTTTCTTATTTTACAAAATTTGTCAAAATTTCAATTTCAACTTGACCTTGCTCTATCCAGTGTCCTTTGTGCGGGCGCACAATCACCCACCATCTGGCACACCTCCCCGATAGATACCCTCCCTCTCCCTCTCCTCCTATCGTCTATGACCTATCTCCTATCGTCTATGAGCTCTGCCTCCTATGGCCTAAGCTTAACAGGTGCTCTGATCCGGAATCAGATGGTTGTTTCGATGTGCCATCCGTGACTTCTACCGCCGTCAACTCACCGCAAAGCAAGACCAAGGAAATGTTGGTCACCGCCATTGCTATCCTAGTCTTGTTGTCCAACCATTTCATGCGCGATGGTATCTGTACGATTCGCGAAGATTTTTCTTTTCTTTGGGCTATATGTTTTCCTAATTTGCAAGTACTTTAATTAATTATTTCCTTAATTTTATTGTTTATCCAGATATTTTCCTGTGATTTCCTTTGCATATTTCCCAAGTTCTTGGTGTTGTATCTCTTACCGTAAATACTGTAATAGTACCGCACCCCCCTCGTACAGTCGCGTAGTCGCAAAAGTTTTTTAGTATTTCATTTTTTTCAAAGCGCCCGTACTTTCAAAAAATAGCTGAAATTCAGGGCTATTTTTTGATACCTAAGCGTGCATTGTAGCATAAACCAGTGTCGAGAAAAACTCGTTCAAAGCTAGACTACGCAACACTCCGCACCGTCATTATGGGGGTGGGGTACTATTACAGTATTTACGGTAAATTTACTATCTTTTGTCGATGTAAGGGCGCGATCTCCCAATAGTTAGATCTAAGCATTTCCTGAATAAACTTAAATCTGTTCTTCTCGGCTTAATCTCCGGTACGAGTTCCATTGAACTCAACGAGATTAATCAACTTTTGGAATGGGTACGGTTTGTAGAAGCTTGCTTCTCGGCGTACGGCGTCGGCCCGTTATTGCACTTACTAGTGGCATCGGCGTACACCCCCAGCAATGGAAATGTCGTTCACCGCCATTGCTATCCTCTGTCTTGCTGTCCAACCATTTCATGCGCGATGGTATCTGTAAGATTGTAACAAGAAATAAGCCCAAAACGGAAAGTTTTCCTTTGTTTCATCAAAAACTTCAAGCAAACCATCATTTACTCTATCGGCAAAAAGCAAAACCCTCATTGCACGAATGAATGTGAAATGGAAAGTCGGAAAGTTTTCGTAAAAGGCAATGAATGTAATTTTCTTGCTTTGCTGTTTTTAGTGGAGAAGTAAAGGTATTTACTTTAACCCTATTGTTTGATCAGCTTTTTTACATGATCAGCATGTTTTTAGGTATAAAATCTACAAAGTTTAAAACTACCTACCGTAAATACTGTAATAGTACCCCACCCCCATAATGACGGTGCGGAGCGTTGCGTAGTCTAGTTTTGAACGCGTTTTTCTTGACACTGGTTTATGCTACAATGCGCGCGTATATATAAAAAAATAGCCCTGAATCTCAGCTATTTTTTGATATCAAAGACGCATTTTTTGAAAGTACGGGCGCTTTGGAAAATTTGGCGAAATACTAAAAACTTTTGCGACTACACGACTGTACGAGGGGGGTGGGGTACTATTACAGTATTTACGGTATGAAATATGAAATATGAAATACATAAGAAATATGTACCAGTTGGCTTCATTTCAAAGAAATATCGTGTCACAATTTGACCGACTTTTTCCGTAATTGCATTCGACGCGAAAACTATTATTTGATGTCGAACGAAACATTTTGTTATTACCTTTACTTTTCTCGGAAGATCATAAAAAGTTACCATTTTAGAAACACTTCAAAGTTTAGATCACAATCCAATATTCTCATGGACAATACAACTGAATATGTCGATTTCGAGACTAAACAAGATAATGAAACTTGTGTGAATTTTGATAGTTTGGCTATTCCCGAATCGAATTCACTTTCTTTTGGCTATGATCCACAGCAAATTTTATTTGGTGCTATTCAATTTGTGATCGTTACGATGTTTTTATTATTGCATGTGCCGATGATGAAGGTACAAGTGTTCTTTTTGCTCAGAAATAGAAGCACAATCATTCTGGCGTACTCGAGTCTTCGTTCTCTTGGAAAACAGTTGACGATTTTCTGCACAACGGTTTATTAAGTGTGTCAGAAAGAATGCGTTTTTGTTTTTGAGCATTTTTGGGCAGTACGAAGAATACAAATTTGCTTGAAGCGCTCATTGAAGCGCTCACTGCTTGAAGCGCGGGAAAGGCTTTTAAAGTTTACAGAAATTTTTCACCTTTGTTTCTGGCAAGATTGCTCAACCGGCTAGGAGACTAGCTAGTGCTAAAACTGAAGCCACCAGTGCACCGAATCTGGGCCACATTGTTCGCGAGAGATGAACTAGTTGGGGAAGCCATGGCGCCACCTTGACTTTGATTTGAGTTTTGATCCCATCCCGTACAGGAATACGAGTTGTAGCCATGATAACCTTTTTGCTTTGGTACAGTATTTTAGTTAACAGCTATGCATGAACCCATCCCGTACATCAATCTATTCAATCTATTAATCTATTCATCAATCATCAATCTATTAATGATCAATAACAGGCTAGGCAAAGGGGAGATCTTGTTCTAATCAATGCCAAGCCCAGCCCCTAGGCCTGGATTCTGGCCGAGCTCCGGGCTGATCTTGCTTTGTCTAATCTGTCATGCCTCAAGGTCTTACTAGGGAAAAGCACGAAATCAATGTGAGATTTTGTCTGAACGATTAGTGCACTTTATAAAATCGGGTATGAGGAATTCGAATCTGAAATCGGAATCTACCAAATGATTTTCCAAGCGTGTAAAACTTGAAGCGAAAATTTGGCGTCAAAACTGATGCTTTAAAAGGCTCCTTCCTAGCGAAGGAAAGGTACGTTGGTGGCCCAGTGGATAACGCATTAGGCCTCCACCCACAGGCCTAGTGGATAACGCATTAGGCCTCCATCGATCCTTGATAAAGTTTTTTGTTTTTGTTGTTATTCTGGGGCAACTTCGAGCATTTTTTAGCTAATTGCATGATGGTTTTTCTTTTAATTTCTTAGATTTCTTTTAATTTCTATATTGTTTACACAATTGCAGATATTCCTTGCAAATTTACATTAAAATTCAACATTTAAATGCAAAGTAAAAACTCTTTTTAAAAAAAACAAACCAAAATAAAGACTAGCAAAAATAACGAAGCACTTAAATTGAATTGAATTGAAAAAAAGCACATTGTGTAGCAACTTGAACTTGAAAAACCAATTTCTACTTTGCCAGCCCTCCATAATGAAATAAAATGCTAAAAGTTGCTTCAAAAGAAAAACGAAACAAAAAGCCGATCATGGACCCTGATCCTGTGGGCGAAAACTCAATATATTGGGATAGCGTATTGCAATACGTTATCCGCTAGACCATCAACCTTTCTGCGCTAGGAAGGAGCCTTTTAAAGCATCCGTTTTGAGGCGAAATTCTCGATTGAAGTTTTACACGCCCGCAAAGTCATTTGGCAGATTTTGATTTCAGATTCGGATTACTCATACCCGATGCTAAGTGCCCAGACAAAAACTCACCTTGAGTTCGTGCCTTTCCCTGGTTAGTAAAGCAAACATTGAATTCCGTTTAAATTCACTGGAATCCCCAGCAAATTGAGGCTTGATAGAGGGATTTTTAACCTAAATTTTCATTTAAAAAACTCTCGAAGAACAATATTTCAAGAAGAAATTCCAGAATATCTATTCCCGTTGTGATCGAACGCCAGCGACAATCGGCTACAAATTGATCGTCTTTTTGGCGATTGTCGACGAGATTCAGTTGGTCACTCATTTATATGCATCAATTATGATGATTTTCAATTTGCGAACACCAGTGGCTCCAGTTTTGGTGAGTAAATGCAGTTTTCATAAAGAGTACTGATAAATGCCACTTTTCTGGCTAATTCTTTGTTTGTTTTTTTGAAAATGATGAAAATCGTTGCTGAAAATCGAAAGTTTGCGATTCCAGAGTATAAAATATTGGGTTGGTGAATTGAAACTGCAGTTTGGAGGACTGGAGGACTGGAGATGTCAGCTGTCAGCCCAGTTTGAGCACTTTCTTCAAAAGAAACCCATTCTGGTGTCAATGGAAAAGTTGTAGAGAATCAAAAATCAAGCTTATATCCAAATTTTCAGAACGATTCAAAAACTGGTTTCCAAGAAATGCCAAATTTACGAATTTTCACAAAACTTGCAACAAAACTTGCATTTTAAGCGAAACTACTAAGTGTATCTTTTTGGAAATTTGGCTATAAGCCTAATTTTTGATTCTCTACAACTTTTCTATTGACACCAAAATGGGTTTCTTTTGAAGAAAGTGCTCAAACTGGGACATCTCCAGTCCTCCATTTTTGAGTCTCACACTTGTCTCACACACAAACCAAAATCCTACTGCGAAAGAGGATACGCAAATTGCCTGTAAAATGGGCAGAAGTCGTCAATAATAATGGAAATTATTTGGAATTAATTGATGGTTTTATATTGAATAAATTTTAGTTCAAAGTCCCGCAGTTTTCAATTCACCAACCCAATAAAAAGTTGGCAAAAAGCTGACAAAAAGCTCGGACTGGGAGTTGTACTGGGAGTTGCTGGATAGCAAGACGACCATTAATGCAACCAAATACAGTGAACAGTTGGTAAAGATGAATGAATCCCTGAAGAAGAATAGGCCCTCCAAGTCAAAGATCGTTCTCATCAACGACAACGCGCGCCCTCATGTTGCGAAACTGACTCGCTCTAAAATAAATAGCCTTGTTTGGGAACTTTTGGCGTATTCCCCATACAGTCCGGACCTCGCCCCTTTTGATTACTATTTAATCCGGATCATTAGTAATGAGCTTGCGGGAGAACACTTCGATTCGGAAGAAGCAGTCAAAAGTTGGCTTTGAAGGTTTTTCGATTCCAAACCAAAATCCCACTACGAAAGAGGAATCCGCAAATTGCCTGTAAAATGGGCAGAAGTTGTCAATAATAATGGAAATTATTTGGAATGAATTGATGGTTTTATGTTGAATAAATTTTAGTTCAAGGTCTCGCAGTTTTCAATTCACCAACCTAATACATAGGGACTTATGATTGCAAATGGAAACACACTCCTTTCAGCTCATTTTTTAAAATTCACTGTGCCAGAAGACGTGCGTTTACACTCTTGCGTACAAAACAAGACACTAGCGATGTCTATCTCTTTTAGATCCTCGGTGCTTTCATCGATGGTGCTTGGTTCACGACAATTACCCTTACATTCACGATCACCGTTTTTCGTTTCATCGTCGTTGCTGTCGATTTTCTCAAATACTATTTTGTCACAAATATAGCATTCTTTGTAAGTGTGAAATTTGTAAAAAAAAGATCTAACAAAGTTTAGGTTATGACTGGCATAAATCTCTGTGTATTCCTCGCTTTCTTTTCCCTGAATATCTCAGGATTAAGCAGGGAAATCTTCGATTTTTCTGAGTTTGGGTAAGTTAGTACTGTTTTATGAATGCTGTGCACAATTGAGTGGGTCAGAAAGTGTGCGTTTGCATGAACACATACACAACAAGTTCAAAAAAGTGATTATTTGTTTGAGAAAAGATTTACTTTGTACTCGAAAACAGAAACGCTTTCCTTCTGTCGCATTGGCAAAGCTTGTTCAGCTTATTTACGAAGAATAGAACTTTGCTTGAAGCTTTAGCAAAGCAAAAATTGAGCTTCTTTTGTTAATTGAGCAAAATTGAGGGTTCGTTAAGTGAAAATAAAGTTTATTTTGTTAAATTGAGCAAAAATTGAGCAAAATTGAGGGTTCGTTAAGTGAAAATTGAGCTCACTGGAATCTTCAGTGAATTTAACTCCAGTGAATTTGATTCAATCTTCAGTGAAAGTCCAGTTACAACTTGTTTTTTTTTAGTTGGTGGTACGCGGAGAATTGCGAGTTGAGCGATTTCATGATGACCATCGATTTGTGGGGATGCAGTATTTTCTATTGCAGTTCCGCCGTCATCTATGTTCTCATTTTTGTGTATATTTTTGCAAAAGTAAGAACCAGATATCAGCATTTCTATATAGACCTTTAGAGAAAGAAGAATCGAAACAATCAGGATATCAGATCGGCATTGCAGGTACGTGATTGAAAAACGCAAGTAGTTCAAACTCAAGTAAACTGAACTGAAATGAACGAACGATTAATCTATTAGACTTCGATTAGACTGAAGCTGAACTGAAACGTTATCTTCGATCAGACTGAAACTGAACGATTAGATAGAATGAGTGGGCATACGATTGTTAGGTTTCCTATCGTTTAACCAAGTGATGAGCCAAAAAAGCTACTAACTCTGTTCCAAAATGTAAGCGCACTCCTTTCTGGCTACTCCTTTCTGGCTTCTTTTGATTTCTTTGACAATTTTGTACAATTTGATTTTACAATAAACAAGCGTAAGAGAGGAATGTTTCAACTTCTAAACACAAATTACTCCTAATAGTAAGGGGTAAATCTGTCTAAAAACCATGAAGGGACCATGAAGATTGTGCCGAATGTAATTGTCATTTAACAGAGCTTTCACTTTTTGCGAGTCTGGTATCAAAATGTAGCCCTTCAATTGAGCTACACGATGGTATAAAAAACTTTTTGAAAAACTGTTGTTTAGTACAAGAAAAATGGACGCAAACTGGGAGCATCTAGTACATAACAATACTAACAACGACGTACGGTCTTTTGTATGGGTTTGTGGTGTTGGTTCTCTCATTTTTCTTATACTACATTGCAGAAAACTTGCTGTTGCATAGTTTTAAAGATGTAAAAGCGAGCTATAAGAAAATTTTTCCTTACTTTCACAACAGAATGTCAAACTGCTTGGGGAAACTCGAAAGCTTGGCTCGCCGAATGCGCCGAATCTTGGCTAGAGTTTCAGCTAATCTAATTAGGCTGCAAAAAATGATGACTAGATTTTGGTAAGGAAATTAAAACTTTGGCAATATTTGGATTTTATTAGGCTTCATAAGCTTTCATAAAGCTTTTAAGCAAAAAAAGTGATCTCTGTGACTCGATTTGAAGCCATTTGAAGGTGTGATAGTCAAGCCTAGAGCCAGGTGTGTTTCAACTATGCACTCAAAGTATACCTACGCCAGGCATGTTAATAAGACCATGAAGATTGTGCCGAATGTAATTTTCATTTAACAGAGCTTTCACTTTTTGCGAGTCTGGTATCAAAATGTACCCCTTCAATTGGGCTACACGATGGTATAAAATGCTTTTCGAAAAACTGCTGTTTAGTACAAGAAAAATGGACGCAAACTGGGAGCATCTAGTACATAGCAATACTAACAACGTACCGACTTTTGCATGAATTTGTGGTGTTGGTTCTCTCATTTTTCTTGTACTAAACAACAGTTTTTAAGGTTTTTCATACCATCAAGTGGCCCAATTGATGGGCTACATTTCGATACCAGACTAGCACAAAGCGAAAGCTCTGTTAAATGGCAATTCCATTCCTGAAATAATTCTAAAAGTTTCCGAAAGCATCTCACTACCACTTTTTTCAGACTTTCTGTTTTTGTCTCTACACTATTTTGGTTTCAAATGAGTGGACGTTCATTTACCCGTATCGACCACAACCAGCGCTTTATCTTTTCCTCCAAAATCTTCTGTGGCCAATTTGGAACGGGGTCAACGTGGTGTTCTACTTCATTTTTCAGTGGTGAGTTTTCGATTCTAATTCAATTTGTAACAAAGATTTACTAACCGAAGCCCAAAACAACACAAAAAGCGCGTTTCAGTTTGGAAAAGCCATCTTTTTGCGCTCGGTTGCTCAGGCGAAAGAACAATAGGTTTCTTTTTTTGAAAATTTCGCGTAACTAAAAAATTTCTGTATTCTATTCTAAGAATTCCAGGCAGGAGGTGAAGAAAACGATAAAAACGGATGAAAAGAAAACCTTCCAACAGCGGGCTCTCTCAATTCCCACCGTCTCCATGGCAGCCAAAAGATTCTCGACAATTAGTGTACAAGATCAAAGTATTACCCGAATTGTTTAAATTGTTTTGAGAATTTTATGGATAATATCAAGAGCTTGTCACAATTACGATAAACTACGATAAAACTATAAAAAAACTGTGCTTTCTTTGAATAATCGTGAAACTTTAACAGCATTTCACGCCTGGAATTTGTTTCTCTCCGTTTTCTAAAACGTGTCAATTTTAGAAAACTATTGTAGTTCTGTTTAGTTAGGCTTAGGCTCAGGCTCAGGCTTAGGCTTAGACTTAGGCTTAGGCTTAGACTTAGACTTAGGCTCTGGCTCAGGCTCAGGCTCAGGCTTAGGCTTAGACTTAGGCTTAGGCTTGGGCTTAGGCTTAGGCTTAATCTCTGTTTAGTTTGTTTAGTTTTGTTTAGTTTTAACAAAACTGGTGCAGTGCGTGAGAGGGTACTGACGGGGCTATGGTTATTTAGATATTTGTTCTGAATATAGCGCAATCACGAATCTAGGAAATACAATAAGGAAATACGATAGCGAGAAAATGTATAATAAAATAGAATCAATCGTTGGTTCAGTGTAAAAGCCAAATGAGCAGGAATACAAAGTGGGCTCCGTCCCCTTTATCACACAAAACGATCTTTAAAGGAAGGACAAGGGAATCAGAGATATTCAAAACAAATCAAAACATTACCCTAAAGTCTCGAGTATATGTTCATCCGAGTATAAGTTCTACCTTAATTTACATTCGCTTTAATTGCTTTGAATTTATACATTTTTATTGTTATATAAACTTTTATTATTGTTCTTGGAGCGCGGGATACTACAGGGTGACAGCCTATCACCATTGCTATTTGTTATGTGCATGGATACATCCAGACGATAGTGTTGAAGAAGACGCTGGAAAGCATCTCTTTCGACCGTCGACGTGGACTTTGGCCGGATGAAGAGGCCAGGGAGGGATCCATAAGACTGAGCACCGGAGAGGAGCAGGGCGGACGCGCCGGGCCACGCCCGGAGCAACAAATAACAGCATAAAATTGCTATAACCCTCAATAAATTTACTTCTATTATTGTTCTTAAAAAGCAAAAAAGTTATGCTGCAGCGGGGTTCGAACCCTCGACACACCGCACCGGAGACAGCCGTCAATTTGCATGCGAAAACCAAACAGAACTTATACTCGCGACTTTAGGGTAAATAAGATTTCACAGAAAAGAGCTACTTTTCTGCACAAAACTTTCTACTTTTTATATTCAGTATCCTTTGTGAATCTATAAATCTATAATCTACCGAAAATCAATTGGATAAAAGTAGAGCCAAGAATACGGTAATCAAACGTTTTAGAGCTTATTCGAAAGGTTGTAAAATGAGCTGCATAACTCTGATTCTGGAGTTTTTAATAGATAAATGAAGCCAAGATTAAGGGCTTCAATTCTCTATATAACGCTTGACGCTTTTGCAATACGTTCAGCATTTGCCAGCTACTTTTCTTCGAATTGCCATAATAATATGATTTTTTAATAGTGTTTCTTAACATTTCCCGTTTTAAATGTTTTCTTTAATTTTACATAATATTTTAGAATTTTTAAGTTTTAGCGAAAGAGTAGTATATATATATATATGCTTTATTCAGTTGAATAGCGACAAAACAAAATCACAATAATTACCCGGGACACCACTCAAAACACATCCAAAAGATAAATAGATACCTCAAGAAAGCATCACAGAGCAGTCAAATCAATTGCCGAAATTGCGGCTTTAAATCTAGCCAAGGTGGAAATATCACGAAAATGAGGGGGTAAAATGTTCCAGAATTTAATAACTCGATTAAAAAAGAAACTGTGGGGGCTTTTAGAGGAAACGGAAGGTTGGCGTATGAGAGTTCTCCAGAAGGGGGAGGCCCCCCTTCTGGAGAACCGAATTCTGGAGAACCGAATTCTGGAGGCGCCCCGTAGAGAGCCGAATTCAAAGAGACCAGAAAAGAGGGGGTCGGGATGAATGCCTTTAACAATTTTAAAGCATTCCACTAAATCGATGATAATAGAAACAAAGAGCGCAAGATTTTAATGTACATTTGCATTTTGAAAAATTTGCTAATGCAAAGCATAGGGCTACGGTAGCTTATCCTTGGCGCGTGCTTTTTAGAAAACGCGTTGTCTGCAAGGAACAGACTCTAATCTAATCAAATACAAGATTTTATCAAACTTCTAGAGCGCTGGCAATTGATTTTTGCTTAAAAATTTGTAAAATCCATGCCACTCCATCAAACTCTCACCGTTCTTCTCAAAAATTGATTTTCGCCCGTACCGATTCGTAAAAAGAAGCTTATCAGCTTATCAGCATTTTGTTTATATTTACCACCTGATTCACGGCTGAGAAACTGGGATTTTCTTGATCTTTAAGTGCTCTAACTTTAAGCAGCTTTTAAGCCATTATCATTATTTATCCAACACTCATGAAATAACAAATAATACATTTCAATAGCCAAAGATTGATCGAAAACCCGTTTGCGGTGTTTGTTTTGGGTAGAGCTTGGGTACTCGCCGGTGGACGTGGTGGCGGCAAAATCCTTTCGAAATGCACTTTAGCAAGGAAACCGTTTGGCTGACCAATTGGGGCAGAATCGGCTACACCAAGCCAGTCAATCTGAATCACGAAGCTTTATATAAATACAGCATATGTCTAAGTTTAATAAAATCAAGTCGGTAAATCTTTTTATTTATCGTAGAGCAAGTTCTCACAAGGGAAGGACACAAGGCTGGAGGAAGAAGGACCATAAAAGCTTACGTTCCACAATTCATGAGCGCTCCTTGCTTTCGATCTCTGCTTCAGACCGTGGATCAAACGAGGATACGTCAATGTTCATGTTATGCGTTTTTAAAGTTTGTTTTAAAGTTGTTAAACACTGTGAGGCAATGAATTGTAGAACGTATGCTTTTACGTGTTGTGCAAGATGTAATGTTAAATTGTATTTCATTCACTTTATAGATTGCTGCCAGGTGTGTTCATTTTTTTGTTATTTTGTTTGTTATCAATTAAATGATGTCATAATACTTATTGTAAAGTTAAAATAGAGAGAATTCAAGTCATTAAACATCAAAATAAAATAAAAACAAAAGGAATGAATCGAACCTGAGCAAAAACTTGATGGCTTGTTTCGGAAACAAGACTCTTATCCACTACACTAAAAGGTCATGTTTCAAGATGGTGAAAGAATCGTTATATAGGGAGGACTTTATTGGACTTTATTGCAGGACTTTATTAAGATTGACTGGCTTGGTGGAGCCGAGTCTGCCTCAATTTTTGGCCTCTAATTCGACCTCAAACTTGTGATTCTTCGTGATTCCGACCTATTTAGCAAAAAAAGGATAGTAGCATCGGAATCAGCGTTAAATTCTGCCACTGATGGTATATAGCTCATGTCATTTAGCCACCTCAGCCTTGAGATCTTCCCTTGTCAATCTTACAACCTGTCAATCGTCAAGCTCAACCCACTTTGACACTTTGAACAGCCGAATAGCTGAAATTCTTTGGCTTAAAAGGTGCACCCGGATTTGTGAAGTTTGAAGTAGAAAAGAAAATCCTAAATTTACAGAGGATAAATTGAGCTGATTTTTTAAAAAAAAAACTCACGATCCATTTGAAACTATTGAAAATTTATCAAAAATCGTTATCGAAAGATTTCCGGTCAGAATATCAATCACTTCTACCACAACATTTACACTTTCAGCATCTAAAAGGGTACATTTTTTAGAGATTTATTCAACTCACCACATTTCCAAAACCCTTGAAAATCGTTGTTTTTGTTAATCGTTGGATGAAAGGGATCACCGTAGCCTGGTCCAATTGCCAAGCCAAAACCCTCGCAAAGTATCTGGGAAGAATTATCCACGGCTAAAATTGGCGAAAGATTACGGTAGCTTTTGAAAAATGCTGTGTTTTAGAAAAACACATTAACCGGCTACATTTCATTTGAAACACTTTGCTTTACCCGTTTCTCTTCGCAAGCCGATCGCTGGGGAACAGCCTTTTGGAATGTGAATTGTGATTGCTTGAGGTGGTATCCGTTGTGCTTCAAATGCATCACTGTCACTAAAGTAATATAAATAATTAATATGTTAAATGATTCAGACAATACGTTAAAGAAAGACAATCACCGAAAAATCGCCACCCTTTCTTCGATACTTGAATCAGTTGGTATTCTGGCGCCCAAATAGAGTGCATAACTGCATTCGAGAGTCGATCTTGCCTTGTATTCCGTTAAATACTAATATATATATATAAAGAAATAACCTCTCTAAATGAAAACAGTCTTGAATAGTAATCATCTTGGAATAAAGAAGCTGTGGAAAGAATAAAAGCCGTATCTTTATCGGGATCACTCGGGAAATTGAATCCAGCAGACACGTTGTTTAACGCTATCACGTTGATTTTTTCTGAACAAAGGATGAAGTACGGTGGTATTACCATCATAATCTGTTCCTATCTGATAAGATATTTTATAAATGCTTAGGAAAAAGCTACCGTAAACCATAAAGATGCTGTTCAACTAACTGCTAGACCATGACTGTTCAACTAACTGCTAGACCAGAGCTCAGCCACCTTGGCTCGACTCTAAGATAATAGAATTAGATTTCCGGAGGGAGATTATACCCTTGACCTTTTGCTTTTTGGGCAATTGCTCTAATCACTGCTATCCGGTAGCCAAGAGAGAACCAAATACAAAAATGTAATCCGAGTCTAATCCCAGCCCTGTTCTGTTCTAGCCTTGGCTTGATCTAGTCTAATAGTAAGTTGACGGTGGTTTTCAGCAAATTTCTTATTGCGTGTCAAGAGTTTTTTGAGCACATCTTCCAAGCCTTTAATAAAAATCTTAAAAGCATCTGATAATTTGTATAAAGATCGAAATTTTCATAATAAAAAGGAATTAAATTGGTTGACTACAGCCAAGATATTTTTGGCGGCCACTCTTTAGACTAACTTTAACTTGCTTTGATACCAATTTTTTATGTTGTCAAGTCCTTTTTGATTTGTATTCTTATCATTTCTTGATTAAACTAAAACCCCAACCGTCAATTGCTCGTGCTTTTCTGAAGACGAGTGTCCTATTCGAGGCATTTTTCTCCGGATCTCCGACGATTTTCAATGAAAGCGGTTTCCCTTTCTGAATTCGTTGCTTTGTTGTGCAGCAAAATTGTGTATATTTCCCCAAATTGATTCTAGACTTTTGCAAATTTAAATCCTCAGCTCATTTCTACTTTTTTGTACAATTCCCAGTTTTTGGTGGTTCATCGTCGATGAGAAACGGAAAAGTGGGGATGGGCTCGAAGTCACAGATTTCTATCATGATCAGCATTTCCGTGATGTTTTCTTGCGTTAAAATGAGACAAAAGATGGGATCTAAAAGAGATTTTTGCAAGTTTTCAAAGTTTAGTATCAAACTTACGGATGGAAAACACTTTAGCATTGATGGCGATGATCGGTAATGAATCGCTTAGCTCGATCATATTATGGTCACAACGGATTTCACCGGTTGGTCCAAAAGCTTGAAGAAATTTCCCATTCAAAACAAAGCCTTTTGATTGATTTGATTGAATGTCCGGGCAAAATATAAACTAAAAGGTTTAGAATTAAAAGATAGTACTATTGGATTGGTGAATTGAAAACTGCCGGCTATTGTCATATGTGACAGTTTGAGCACTTTCTTTAAAAGAAACAAAAGTACTATTAGATTGAGTTAGAGTTTGCAAAGACAGTTTAGAATTATTTATTAAGCATAAAAACTATTTCAAAAAACTAATGTAAAACATTAAACTTCACCAAAATGATAGTAAAATGTTTAAAAAAAAGCGACCGCCTCTTTTATAGGAATCCGAAAAAAAGCGCGATTTGAATAGTTATTCAAATAAAAATTTATTTGAACTTATTTGAATAATTATTTATTTGAAAGGAACACACTCTACTCTAAATGGGGTTGAAAAATAGACAAACATGTCCGTCTATTAGAGTCTTTACGGTACAATTGTTGGCGCCAGATTGTGCAGATTTTAGCACACTGTAGTGAGATAGGCTACAAAGGCTTGAAAAGTTTGAAAACGTACTTTTATTATTGTTGCTGTGAAATGAAAAACGATATTTGACTGCTCTGGCGTAAATCTGAATAGTTTTCTATCTAATGATTGAAGATTTTACTTACTTATAAATTGGAGTCACATCGTTTGCTTCATCATAAATCTGAAGTATGCCTGCTGCTAAAGATTTCAGTTCCATTTGAAAGAAAGCAATAGGTCCAAAATTATCTGAATTTGTGCTCAATTTAACTATAAGTTTACTATTCAAAGTTTACTTGCGCTTAGAAATTGTGTAACGCAAAAGTTGAGATCTGTGCTCTCGTCAAAGTTCCATGGATATTTCACATTTGAGATGACAAAGTCGTCGATCGAGTTCGGATTCATTATTCCTGAATGCAGTTAGAAATATGAGGTTGGTTCATAAGTCTTTAGTCTTTAGTCCACTTTTTTCTACTAGCGTTTATAAATGACAAATTCACCAATTGACCTACAGGGTGATCAAGAATTACCGCAACACATAAAAGGTCTGGCTTTTAACCAAATATACAACTCATCTCGAAAAGTTAACTTAAATATCTTTATTCAACATATAACAGTAACAAATTAACAATTAAATTGAATTAAATCCAAATTTGCCTCCATCGGCATTCAAACAGGCCTGCAAACGTTTGGGAAACGCGTTGGCCGTGGCGAGCAAATAGCTATCATCGAGGGTATCTCATTCTTTGATCAGCGCCTTCTTCAAACTTTCGATATTTTTATGTGGTTTTGCACATGCCCTGGCTTCAAGGACACTCCAGACTGAGTAATCCAATGGGTTAAGATCGGGTGAGTTGGGTGACCCATTTTCTGTGCCATTCCTCGAGCCGATTGGTTAGGGTTTAAACTTAGACGATCGCACACTTTCTTGACGTTAGCCGGAGTAACCGCTGTTCGTTTTGCACCTCTTTCAGGGCGATCAGAAGCTGTGCCCAGAGTTTGATAACGTTGAATGGTTCGAGAAACGAGGCTTCTGGGGACATTCAGGAGCTTTGAGATCTCGCTCACCTGAACACGCTGCCGCTTGAGCTCAAGGATCGATTGTCGATGTGGCCACTCAGAAAACGGGATAAAGTCTGGGAAGGTCTTTGAACAAAACTCTTACACTTTCTTTGCCTTGTGAGCCGGCACACCATCTTGTTGATAAGTCCAAATTCGATTTTTGAAGTTCAAAAGTAAAAAGTGAAATGGGGCTTATAACATAATATGACGTTGTTGCGGTAATTCTTGGTCACCCTGTATGATAAATAAAGTTTGTGGAAGCTCCATTTTAACCATTTTCTGAACAGCTCTATTTTCAATCAAGTTTTAACGGCACAATTCTAGTCCGAACCAAATTCCACCTTTGTTTATTGACAGATTGGATAGAAATCGACATTATTAGTCTGTAGATAATGTTTCAGAACTACCGGCGACAAAACGGTAAGAAGACGAAGGCGGAACTAGGTTCGAGTTGGATTTGCTATTTCTATTTCTAATAAGCCTGCACGTGACAACTTAAAGCACTATCTTTATCTTGTCTTTTGTATAATTAACATTTAGCTAGACTTTAGTTCTAACATTTAGCTAGACTCGAGTCAAGTAACTTGTAAACTTACTAGCACATGGTATTCGCTCAAGTCGGATTGAGGTTTTTGAACCCGCCAAGGTGTTGACGACGGTAAACGCAGAGGATAGGATTCTTATCAAAAAATGATTTCTAAAAGAATTAGAAAGTTGCTAAACTGTAAAACTTACTCAAATTGTGCTAATAATCTTTCATTGTTGAGGTTTCCTCCTGGATCAGAGCCCGAGAAAATATAGCCGGATCCGTTTTCGAGTGTGAAAATCGAACTATAGTCGATTGAGACTTCTAATTCGATTTCCGGATAATTTGTGTTCGTTAGGGTGCTGTAAAGTCTTTAGATAAACACAAATATTTCCTTAACTTGGAAATCCATGGTAAAACAACGATGATTTCCGATGAATCAATAGAGAATTCCAATTCAGCGTCGAAATCCCAAGCTTCTTTAGCCGGTAGCAGAAAAATAGAGTTGTTTGCTGAAGAAAGCGAATTCAATTATTGCATTTCAAATGTTGAGTTTATGCAACTTCTGTTTTAACTGTTATAGCCTTAACTGTTATAGATTCTAATTTATTATATAGCCTTAACATTTAAGGCTATAGAATAAATTAGAATCTACTATATAAAAAAAGCAGTGTCTGTCTGTCTGTCTGTCTGTACGGGCATTTTCTCGGTCGTGTTTTGACCAATAAATCTAATTTCTTTTGAAAACTTTAGAATAGATTCTAGTTGTGCCATTTAAAATATGAATTTTAAAAGCCAGGACGGAGCGGCATTACCCGGAGTCGAACCCGGATCGTGTGGGTTGTTGACAAGTGCGCTCTGGACTGCGCCACGGCGACAGTGAATCGTCCCTGTTTGACTTGAAACAAACATCTGCTAGAACATCTGCTAGATGTCCGGCTGGTAAAATTTATAACTATTTATATTCAAATTTATCTTTCCTAGTATCAAATGCAAATTTCGCCCAGAAGTACTACTTGAACGGCTATTTTCCCCCAGGAACCATGTGACCGTGTGGCCTAACGGATAAGGCGTCGGACTTCGGATCCGAAGATTGCAGGTTCGAATCCTGTCACGGTCGAAATCTTTTGGTTTTTTGAGGTAAAAACTTTCAATATTAAATTTCTTGACAGAAGCAAAAGAACAAGCTTTACATTACCATTAATATATTGTTTGACTTGAAACGAGATCCCAAAAGTGTCGTCAATCAGCGGCTCAACATAATTGACAAAAAGGGTATCAGTGAAAAGTTCATAATTGCATCGATAGACAAATTCAAGGCCTTTCGTGTCAATTGAACTAAATGTTATTGGTTAAATTAGATTATCTGAATCACTCCAGTTTTTGACATCCTTCATTTGACAATTGTTTCCCGTTGACATTGAAAGGAAATTCATCATAGCAAGTGGTTCGAGCATTGACTTTGAAAGGGGGATTAGCAGCTTCCTATAAAGTATTTTGTTAAAGATTGTTTTAGATAATTGATAACTTGTTCCACAAGACAATCCCTCGTCGAGTAGTCAATCAAAAAAGTACAACCAGAACACCCAGTAACAGTAAGATTCTGAAACGAGTTATACAGAAAATTCTACGCACTTAAACTACGCACTTTCTGAAGCATTCAATTTGAACAAATTTAGCACACAAAACACGCTTTCTGAATCACTCAGTTTGAACAAATTTAGTGCGTCAGAAGGGCTACGTTTTCAAATTAGTTTAAACTGTACCTGTTTAATTCTCAGCGCTGATCCGTGAATAGCATAAGATGGATTTTCTTCGGTTAAATCAAAAACTCTCCGATCAAGATAAGTTTTTACAAAGTTTAACTCAATCAATATAAAGAAATAGAAATTCGAAAGCAAAAAATTCATTGATATGCTTCGATTCATTGATTTCTCCTTTTCTCAAGCTTCAAATTTGATTCTGTAAGCCGATTTGTGGTGATTTATGGTGATCATTGGGTGAGAAAAGCAAAGAAACACACGGAAGTGATTGTGATTTGCACTCAAAAACTGCATCCATCATTTGTTGTTTAGTTTTGAGCCATGTCATAATGATTTGTCTCAAAATTTGTTGCAAAATTAATCAAATTTTAAATATAGAATTTGACTACGCTATTAAAAGTGATTCTTTTGCGAAAAAGTTTGAGAAACTTATCTTTATTTTTGTTATTTTGCATACAAAACTGAAAATTTACATGTAATTTGCTGAAAAAAGCTATTTAACGGAAAAAAAGCCATTCGTTTTTCAAAGTGCTAGCAAAAGTGCCAAATTATTTGCGCTACCTAACATTTGAGTCAATTTTTTTTTGTGTCACGTACACTACTGGACAATGAAATATCATATTTGAAGAAAGATCGTCACTTTCGCGCGTCTGTAACTCCCATGTCTTTACCCTATTTCTAAATATTAGTATTACCATTGTGTAGCCCTTGAAAAGAACTTTCAGAAAATGTATAACACTAATAGTTTAAACTCAAAGACAAGGGAGTTACAGACGCGCGAAAGTGATGATCGTTTTTCAAATATGATATTTCATTATTTCATTGTTCAGTACTGTATCATTTGGGCCAAATTTACGCTTTTCAACACACTTTCCTACCAACTTTGATTAACGATTTGTCTATTTTTTTCAGCTTTTCCTCGTCGACGATGCTCGCTATTTTGTCGCCTTCAACGGATCTAAAAATGGCATAAGATCGATAGAGAGAGTGAAAAGCTCAATCGGGGACACAAAAATGACTGTTTTTGGGGCTGTATATGTATTTAAACGTGTTTTCTAATTGCAATTCCTTATCAGCCAATCATCGAAATCCTTGTCACTCTTGATCGAGATCGAGGCCATTCTCTTAAGCGGTTAAACGGCTTCAATTCAAGCCTAGCCATCGCTGCTAAACCTGCTTGCGCCATTCATTAAAGAAAAACTTAAGAAAAGTTACAAAACTGAGGAAAGAGCATCAAAGTATCAAACAAAAAATATCAAAGCTGAGCCCATGTGTAATAACATCAAAATAACAAGAAATCAGTTTGAAAATATCACCAATCGATTCAGCATCATCAAAAACCCCCAGTGTAAAATTTCAACATGTCAAGACGAGTTTACAGATTGCTCCCGCTGTCCCCAACCTTTGCACCTGGCAACTAATTGATAATTGGAAGCTTCCTTGCTATACATGCATGGATCTTCAACAATTACCAATAATTTATCAGAGTGGTTTGCCATTTGGGTTAATTCTTGTGCTCAATCAATTTATTTCTTTTAGAAGAAAGACGAATCGAAGGATTTGATGTTGAAATCAAAAGAAAAGAGCAAGGTGGGAATCAAAACGATGAAGAAGAAGACGATGAAGAAGAAGAAGACGATGGAGGAGAAGACGATGAAGGAGAAGACGGTGGAGGAGAAGACGATGAAGGAGAAGACGGTGGAGGAGAAGACGGTGGAGGAGAAGACGGTGGAGGAGAAGACGATGAAGGAGAAGACGGTGGAGGAGAAGACGGTGGAGGAGAAGACGGTGGAGGAGAAGACGGTGGAGGAGAAGACGGTGGAGGAGAAGACGGTGGAGGAGAAGACGGTGGAGGAGAAGACGGTGGAGGAGAAGACGGTAGAGGAGAAGACGGTGGAGGAGAAGACGGTGGAGGAGAAGACGGTGGAGGAGAAGACGGTGGAGGAGAAGACGGTGGAGGAGAAGACGGTGGAGGAGAAGATGACGAAGGAGAAGACGATGAAGGTGAAGACGATGAAGGAGAAGACGATGAAGGAGAAGAAGATGAAGGAGATCAATATCATTAAATATCACCCGATTGAATGTATCATAAAGAGCGAAAGACAAGAAAAAGAACTAAACGATTCTCGACTTTTTTCTACTCTCTTCTCATTTGTTCGGATCGAATTACCGGTTTTTTGGCCTCCTTTAGAAAACTCACATATGTTTGGTGTTCGTTTACAGCCGTTTTCTCGCCTCTCCGAATTTGCTCCTTTTTTACGTGTTAGTCTCTTTCAATTGAATCAATATGCATGGTTCTTCTTGCTGCTATTTTATGTGATTCTTTAGATTTAAAAGAAACTAGTCTTAATCTAGTATTACTTGCATAAAGTTTGTCAGTTTTTGAAGCAAAGCTTTCAGAATCTCCCAAGTTTTGTGAAAAACGAAGACAAATCGCAAATCTTTTCGGGAATAATCAAACAAATTTTCAAATTTTGAGCTTTGAATTCAAAAACAATCAATTCCTATCAAATTTTTATTGTTTAATGACTTAAAATCCAAGTACTTGTTTTGGGGGAAATCGTGTTCTTTCCTAAAGTCAAAGTGGAACGGCCGCGATTCTTGAGTGACCTTGGGGATTTAGATTACCCCTCCACACCCCTACCGAAAAAAAAGAAATATGATTTGCCACACAATATTTCTCAATATAAACAATAAATTTCCAATTGTATCCAATCTTCTACTTTACTCAAATAAAACCTCTACAATACACTTAAGGTTTAGACTTTAACAATAACCCATAGAAATCGCACCAATTCCTTTTATCTAACCACAAAAAGCTCACCTCCGGATTTGATGCTGGTGGCTGTTCAAACGAGGCAAAGTATAAGACATCGTTGACGATCGGCGCGATTTTCCCGAACAGTTTTGGGGTTTTGCTGGTGAAACCATTTTGAACCATTCTTTTTCTTCTTTATCGTCTTCCCATCTAAGCGGAAATGAATGAATTTGATTTTGGCTTGAGCCTTTGAGAAGTTTGGGGTTCTTCTCGAAGAAATTCTCTAGTGACAAGTTTAAAGGAACAATTGTAAATGCAAATTTTTGAGTCAACTTTCTTCAAAACTTCGCAAATTTCTCATTTCCTAACTCAAATTTCCAATTTTCGACAAATAAAAACAAATATTGACTCGTTTCGCTTAAAAAATGATACATTTTGAATGTTTTTTACCCAGTGAGCCCATAAAAATAGCACACTTCAAAATGGGAAATGGAAAATAGAGAAAAAATGGCCAGGAAAAAAAAAGAGGCTGGGTTCTCCGTTTACTTTTTTTTTCTAGTAGGGGTTGGGAGAATTCCTGTGGCTGAAAAGGCCTCCAACCCTTCAATGGGAAAAGGGGAGAGCTCTGCCCCGCTCAACTGCGTTTTGCTCGTTACCCTCTTGCCATCACATTTTTGGGCAAAACGAATGGAAACGATTTTGATCGGGTTTTATAGAAAATTGTACGTTTTGCAAAGTTTTACTTGTTCCTTTTCTTTTTGTTACTTTTCAGACACAGTATAATGATTGCAGAGTTGTCTTTTCTAAAATGAAACACACTTTTTGGTACATTCCATTTTCATCGTTTCTCTAGGCAAGAGCTATGCGAACTGGTTTATTGTTTATTTACGAACTGGTTTATTTACGCTATACGAACACTGATACGAATGGTTGTATCACGGCAGCGCCTCTAGGTACGTAAATGATAAGTTAGGCCTGTTCAGTGTCAGTTCCTAGACAATATGGTTCCAATATGTTAGAGTAATTGAGATTTAAATGTTAGAGTAACTGAAACTGAAAAGCAGTAACTGAAGTAACTAAAAAGCGGTAACTGAAGTAACTAAAAAGCAGTAACTAAAGTAACTGAAAAGCAGTAACTAAAGTAACTGAAAAGTATAACGTGTTTCCAATCAAAAATTCAAAGTTGACTTGGTTGGCTTCCTTGTTTTTTGGGCTAATCGATTCTTTTGTGATGTTCATCTTGTTCATTCGTGATATTATGTTCTATAAATAGCTTAGTAGCATTCAAAAAAGAGTATCTCGTCGAATGGCAAACGGAAGATGTTTTAGCTTTTTATCTAGAAACTTTGCAAATCAAAAACGATTATAAAACAATTTTAAAGCTTCTTTAAATGGAAAATTGAAGAATAGATCCTATCAAAATCCAGTTTTTCATGGAAAAACCTACAATTAGAATTGGTTTGGTTTTGAAATACGGATAGAATTTTGAAATTCTCAAACCCTTAGTCATCATTGTTCCATTTTCCTTCATTCTTTTCATTTTTCTTTCCTTTTTTGCCTTTTGAGGTTTCTCCTTCAAGGATTTCTCTCCAAAAATGACTCGTTTTGATATTCAATTTTTGTAAATATTGTTGACAATCTGATTTTTCTTTATTTTATCTATCTTTCTTATAAATTTCTTCAAGGTAAATCTCCCGAAAACGAAAAATGGCTAACTACGGACATTGCACAATCATTGAGAACCCGAATTTCTATCCCGAGCAGTGGGTTTTTGATTGATAACCTTGAAAAAAAGATAGGAAAACAAAGCTTGTTTATTAAAAAATTAGGAGAAAACGGGAAAAATTGAGCTAAACTTTAAATAGCATCTTTCAAAACAAACGATAAATCAAACAAAGAAATTCAATAAGTTTAAATTGTCCTTGTAAAAGTTTGGTTACTTTAAATTGTTTACATTTGATAGATCATGCTGAAAATAATTTAAACTTACTTTACAAAAGTAAACTATATGTAGAATTTCAAATTGAAATCCGAGAACTCGCCGGGCAAAGTACGATAAAGTTTGTAAATCAAGAAACTAGACTTGCTTATTATCGATATTATCGATACAAACGGCATGCTCATTTTTGACCCTTCAGAACTCAGTTTCTCGAAAAGCTATCAACCTGAAACTTGTTTCATTGTAAAGCCAAGAATGTCAGCTTTTGATTGCCATTTTATACAGCGACTTTTAATGAGTAAGCACCTCATAAACCTAATCGATATCGAAAGTGTCGATTATCGATATTTGAGTATCGATAAGTATTGATAAGCTTTTTAAGGCACTCATCTATGAGAATTTGCCATGTTTGAAATAGCAATCAAAAGCTGACATTCTTGGCTTTACAATGAAACAATTTGCATATTGATAGCTTTTATAAAAACCGAGATCTGAACGATCAAACATGAGCTTATCGATACATACGATAAGCTCATGTTTGACCGTTCAAATCTTAGTTTCTAGAAAAGCTATCAACCTGAAAATTGTTTCATTGGAAAGCCAAGAATGTCAGCTTTTGATTGCCATTTTATACAGCGACTTTTACCAAGCCCTTTTCGAGAACTTTCTTTCCAAACTAAGAGATAAATCGGATAAAAGATTATGATAACGATAAAATCACCAATTCTCATTCAATCACTCAAATTTATTGAATAGATTTGATAAATAGCAAGGTTAAGGTAGCTTTTTTTGGAAGTTTACTGTTAAGAAAGTTAGTTTTTGAAAGTTTTGTTTGATTAGTTGATTAAATAGATAGTTTCATTTGATTTACAGTGAATCTTTCTAAAATCAAATTGTTAATTTATAAATTTAAAGTTAACAGAGAAGCTTAAAGCAAAAGTTGATTGGTTTTTCGATTTAAATAAACTTTTATTATTCAAGAATACATGTAGACTACATGCAAAGAACCAAATCGATATCCAATTTTAGTTTTGAAATACAGCTTCTCTGTAAATAGAGATGTAAATTGGCCAAAAATAGAGCAATACTCTCTATAAAAATTATAGAGAGTATTGCTCACTTGTGTTAGCTTTTCCTCATCAGAAATCTTTTCTGGTGCAAAAAGTGAGCTGAATTTAAGCTGGAAAATAATACTTTTCTAAGAATCTCTAAATTTTGGAGGAAAGGCACTCATTTTTTTAGGAGTAATTTCTTGGAGTCGACTTGTAAATAATAGAACAAAATGTTCTTGAATTAGTGGATTCATTTTTAAGAAATTCCAGTCAAACTTTCTCTGAGAACTTTCTTTCCAAACTAAGAGATAAATCGGATAAAAGATTATGATAACGATAAAATCACCAATTCTCATTCAATCACTCAAATTTATTGAATAGATTTGATAAATAGCAAGGTTAGGGTAGCTTTTTTTGGAAGTTTACTGTTAAGAAAGTTAGTTTTTGAAAGTTTTGTTTGATTAGTTGATTAAATAGATAGTTTCGTTTGATTTACAGTGAATCTTTCTAAAATCAAATTGTTAATTTATAAATTTAAAGTTAACAGAAACTTCGATGCTCAAATTGCTTAAAATCTGACAATAGAAAAAACCATTTAGTCTTTTTAGCACTGAAACAATACTGTAAAAGTTTTTGATACAGAAATGCAAAGAAATGCTAATCGAGATCCTCAAATTTAGAGCTGCCGCCGATATCCATGCCGCATTGGCTTCAAAAGATAATGATACGATTATCAATCATTTAACTTCGATCTCAAATCCGCAACGACAAAAAGTTAGAAAATGTTTTAGAAGCTAGGCTTTGCATGTTATTGAATCATAACGTGATAATTTTAAACACATCAACCTCTTTAGCTCCGTGAGGCCTATTTTCAACAATTCGACGTCGAGTTGGACAAAGCTATCGACAAGAAATTGTCTGGAGACCTTGAGAAAGTAAGGAATTTGGATTTCAAACAGTCAAATGTCTACAATTTTAGTTGATTCTCGCTCTCATTGACACCCCGTTGGAGTACGATTTGAAACAGATCAAAGATGCGATGAAGGTTTGTTGAGGTAAAGAGTAGAATTCTTTCTTTTGATTGCTTTAGGGATTCGGAACTGATGAGAACACGTTGATCGAGATTCTTTGCACGAGAACTCCTGAACAAATGGTCCATATAAATAGTGGATTTCACACTCTTTTCAAAAAGGACTTGGCAAAGGTTTGCTTTGAAAATGAGAAACAAGTTTAGAATTCAGAAAACTAGTGATTTGCTGAAGCAAAATTCATTTTTTCCAGGAGATTGCCGGTGACACTTCAGGTGATTTCAAGAAATTGTTGGTCGCTTTGGTGAACGGATCAAAGGATGGATCTCGGTACATCCACGATTCTCAAGCCAGAGAGGTGGATTTAAAGAAGAAAAACGGTTTTCGATTAAATAAGAATATTAAATAAGAAAACGGGAAAAAGTTAGCGGTACTTTGATGGTTGGGAGAGATCACTTTTGGCTTGATTTGTCGAATCTAGTGTTTTGAGCGGTTCACTTTTCTTCTATTCTGAAGCGATTGCTTCAGAAAAAGCGCGTTTTTTGGTAATCCTATTCAATGATTTGCCCTGTCTCCTAGCCTGCTGTTCTTTCACCACTGAACGCTATCTTGAAGCTGATTACACTTGGAAAGTCGCAATACTAACTCGAAACATGTTGGATTTCATGATTTCAAGATTTCATGATTGTTGGTCCCTTTGGTGAACGGATCAAAGGATCGCAATCGAAACACGCAATACTAACTCGAAACTCCAAACAAACATGCTGAAGCGATTGGCGCTAATTTTAGAGTATACTGGAATCATTTTCCGCTAGAATTAGCACCAATCGCTTCAGCATATGCAATTATTCCCGAATAGACGAAAAGTATTGACACGAAACAACCCCTCCCAACCACCAAAGCACCAACTTAGCTATTATAGCTGAGATTATAAAGTTTTAAAACACCAGAACTTTAGGATGCTCACTTCCTCTACGATGATGGAAAACTCAAGACCCCACCATCGCACTTTCTGCAAATTTTAGAGACTCAAAATATTCATCAGCTTCGCAGGGTTTGTTTTTAAGAATTTTTTTGAGACTTTCAAGAGATTACTTGCTTTTCTAGGTCTTTGAAGAGTTTGAGCTCCATACGGGAAAATCGATCGAGGACGCGGTCGCCAAAGAGTTCAAAGGGGATCTCGGTGATGGCCTTTTGGCTATTGTTAGGTACGGGATTTATATTTGCAATAAAAGAAAGAATTTTCAATTTTGATGAACAAATCTCAACTCCATTTCAGAGCCACTCAAAACAAGCAACGCTACTTCGCGTTGCAGCTTGAGAAGGCCACCAAGGTAAGTCGGAAAGAAGTGTTTGTCAATTTCAAAACTAGTAGTGATAAAATAGCTTCTGTTTCAGATCATTTTAAAATTAGAATATTGATGTTTGGCTTCCAAGGGAAGGTCACAAGGCCTAGGTAGTCAAATGGCTATACCATACGACGCAGAATTTCACGCTGATTCCGATACTTTTCTTACTTTTCTCTTTTTCACGTTGATTCCGATACTGCTATCCATTTTTGCAAAATAAATCGGTAAAAAGGAATCTGGCAAACAAGTTTCAGGTCAAATTTGAGGTCAAGAATTGATCAGCATTTTAACTTTATTGTTTTATAAAAAATTTGAGAAAAAGCTTTGGTGTCAGAAAAAATCTATTCGCCATGTCATTTGACCACCTCAGCCTTGTGACTTTCCCCTTCATAGAAATAGATTATTATCTTGCTTACAACCACTCGTTTAGGGCTCCGTGAAAGACAATGATCTGATCCGTGTGTTGGTCTCTCGTTCCGAGGTCGATCTCAAGCACATTCAAGAAGAGTACCATCGACACCATCAAAAATCTCTCGTCGATGTGATCACGGTATGTGAAAATTAGAATCATTCATTCAAATCATTCAAATGATCATTCAAATGCTTTAAGATCAGAAAAGTCTACGCCTTTGTCTACTTTAAACGGCCATTTGATCACTTTACAATTTCCAGGCTGAGACCAAAGGACCTTACCGTGACGCTCTTCTCAAGATCCTTCATGGCAATTATTAAAGTTCAAAACTTTCAAGAAATAAATCTTTATAACGGCCGTTTATGAACACACATCTCTCAAATCAGAAAACAGTTGCTAAAAGCTTTTCAAAAAAGTTAATCACTAAGTTTTTCAGCAATTTGACTCACATCCAGTAATCTTTTTAACTATTTGTCGTTCGGATTCTTGGGTAAAACCCGGGGCTTTTGAAGAAATGCAAAAGTTTTGCTAGATTTTTGGTTACTTTTTAGTTATTTTAGTTTTTAGTTTATTTTTCTTTATCAGGTAGTAGTGGGCCACTCTTTGGGGGCGCTTGGAAAAAGCTTCATATGCTAAAGGAAAATGTTCACTGACCAGGGAAGATCCACTGGATAGGCTGGCCAAATGACATGAGCTATAAACCATTCGCGACAATTTCACGCTGACAAGGGAACCTTCCAAAAAGGGTGTGAGATTTTTAAACAGAGATTCAGACGCCTAACGGACATGACGAATCCGATGCTGTAATAATTTTTTGCTCCCAGACGCTGGCTTTCGAGAACCGCGCAGGGAAAATGGCGAGTTTCAGGGCTTCAAAGTGCGCGCTCATACAATGTGATGAAAGGGATACACATAGGGAACGGATCTAAAAATAGGCTCTCAAAACATTTTTTGGAACCAAAAACACTTCTTCTGGCATAATTTAACCTAATGATTACGTTTCTGATCAAATTGGAACAAAATTAAAAAGAAATTTTTCAAATTTCGACCATGTCGACCATGTATTTGCTTGACTTGCTTTGGACTGGCTTGACTTTTGTTTTTTGAGCGGACTGAACTGTGAAGCTTAGCAAGAAGCTTGTCACTTGAGTTCTACAAAGAATCCCATTTGAAAGTTTTCAATGTTCTGGCAAATATCAGATGTTTTTCGCAAAAGTACTAGGTTTTCATTCGTTCGTGTCGCACTGAAAGTGCTCGGAAAGATAAGAACATTTTTGGATCGGTGAAAGGCCGCTTAAAATCACTGAAAGCTTTGGCACGTGTTATTTTCAAATTGGCTTGCCAAGTACGCTTGATTTGTGTTTTTGAGGGTATAGTTGATTAAAATAGTCTCAAGGAAGAGATTTTAATTTAAAAGATACAGTAATGGAGAGTTCGGTTATCCAATTTGGACCTATTTCCGAAAGAACGACCGTAAAGAGACGAAACCTCGAAAAATATCGAAACACTCCTCAATTGGGGGTCTTGAATGGGGGGGGGGGGGTCAAACGGGAACAAAACCAGAGGCATACTTGGCAAGCCAATTTGGAAATAACACGTGCCAAAGCTTTCAGTGATTTTAAGCGGCCTTTCACCGATCCAAAAATGTTCTTATCTTTCCGAGCACTTTCAGTGCGACACGAACGAATGAAAACCTAGTACTTTTGCGAAAAACATCTGATACTTGCCAGAACATTGAAAACTTTCAAATGGGATTCTTTGTAGAACTCAAGTGACAAGCTTCTTGCTAAGCTTCACAGTTCAGTCCGCTCAAAAAACAAAAGTCAAGCCAGTCCAAAGCAAGTCAAGCAAATACATGGTCGACATGGTCGAAATTTGAAAAATTTCTTTTTAATTTTGTTCCAATTTGATCAGAAACGTAATCATTAGGTTAAATTATGCCAGAAGAAGTGTTTTTGGTTCCAAAAAATGTTTTGAGAACCTATTTTTAGATCCGTTCCCTATGTGTATCCCTTTCATCACATTGTATGAGCGCGCACTTTGAAATACATGGTCGAAAAACCATGTAACCTCTGAAACTCGCTATTTTCCCTGCATAAAATCAAATGCGTTTTTGATGGCTTTAGGGGGGCTTCTGGGGTAGGTTTGACGGTACTACCCCAGTTGGGGTGGGAGGGGCACTTTTTGTTCTTCAAAACCACTTTATCTAGGGTAGTTTTATGCGTAGATTCCGAAAAACACAACGAAACACAAACACAGCCTATGTATATCGTTTTCTTCTAGAGATCTTCCGACACCGCCAATTCGGGTGCAACGCGAGTTCAGCCACGATACCCCGGCCACTCCACCAACATCGCCCACCGCCGCAAACCCGCAACAACTATCGACCAAATCACCGAATCGCCGAAGCTTGTAAGTTAATTTTATGTTCTAGCCCAAATGCTTTTGCTTTTACAAAGTTTTCTGGAGTCCCCTATTTAATGTTTTGTTGACACCTCGATACTAAGGCAGTTGGGGTGGGGGGAGCACTTTTTGTTCTTCAAAACCACTTTATCTAGGGTAGTTTTATGCGTAGATTCCGAAAAACACAACGAGAGCTTGGGGAAATGCGTTTTAAGCCAAGTTTCGGCGCTCCAAAGTGCACGTTCATAGAGTGTGATGAGAAGGATACACATACGGAAGAGGTCTAGAAATAGTCTCGCAAAACATTTTTTGGAAGCCAAAACACTTCTTCTGGCATAATTTAACCTACTGATTACATTTCTGATCAAATTGGGATAAAATAGAAATGGTTTTGGCTCTAGTTTTGACCTTGAAAAGTGCCTCAATAGTCGACAGCTTGGGCTCCATATAAGTACACTAAAGAAACGCGCACTTTAAACCCCTGAAACTCGGCTTAAAACGCCTTTTCCCAAGCTCTCGTTGTGTTTTTAGCAATCTACGCATAAAATTACCTCAGAAAAAGTGATTTTGAAGAAAAAAAGGTGCCCCCAACCAGCGTAGTACCCAACTTTCTTCTAAGTGGACCAATCTTTCTGATTTTAGTGTCATTTTGTAGATCTCAACAAGTGCAACAAAAAAACACCAAAAGCATAAAAATTGGCCCACTTAGGAAAAAGTTATGGCAAGTTGTGCAAAAGACCAAGTCGCGCAAAAGATTTCCTGCAAAGTCACAAAGTGCACACATTTTCTTACTTCTACTCTTGCTCTGACAAACCTTGTCGTTTTGCAAAGAATGTGTTCTCAAATTTTCGCTGATTTCGGCATGCTTTCCGCAAATTTTTCTTATCTCAGGACGCTCGGTACGACACGAACGACAACCCGAACTTAAAAAGCAGAAAACCTCCCACCGCTGCCCGAGAAAAACAGCTACCGTTTCTTGTCAGAATTCAGAAAACTTCGAAGAATGTCCACTACTCAAATGAATCCTTTCAACGATCCATTGGCTGATGATCCTCCATTAGATTCAACAAGGAGGTTGACAGCTGAACAGGTAGTTTTTTAAGCTAAAAATACCCAAAAGCTTTCTAGAACTTATGTATTGAACACTGGCAAACTAGCAGCTAGCTAGCTAGCATACAACCCAGGAGCTAGCTAGCACACAACTAGCAGCTAGCTAGCTAGCATACAACTAGCAGCTAGCTAGCACACAACTAACAGCTAGCTTAGCTTTAAAAGTCTCCTAATAAACTTTAACAAAGCATCAATTTCTAGAAAAGAATACAAGAGCTCGAGCTAGCCAATATTGAGGCTCTGCAAGCGAAAGCTGATCTCGAGTACTGTTTGGAGTTGGCCGAATTTCAAAGAAAACGACTTGAAGAAGAAAAAGCGGTAAACTGATTGTTTGTACTTCTTGTTAGCCTTACTTGAAGAAGAATAGTTCCAAAACAAAGTTCTAAAAAAGTCCCGAAAAAGTCTCTGAAAAATCGTTGACCTAGCTTCTGGCTTGACTCTGTCTTAGCCTGGCCCGCCAGGCTTTCCCTAGAGTTTTATTTGATCCAATGATTGCTGGATGATGGAAGAAAGGTGCTTGAAATTTACCTAACTCAAAACCGCCTTCAAAAAACTCTCTTTCAGGCTACCGCTTTTGGCAATGCCAAGACGACTGTTGTCAGTTCCAGCACTCGAACAACTTTTTCAAGTAAAAGACAAATGAAATCTTTATAACTCTTAAGTTTTTAGATCGTGATCGAAAAGAATCACTTGTTCAAAAGTCAGCTCCATTGATCTTAAAGCTTTGTCTTTGTTTTGGAGCCGTTATCCTATTGAGTATCGCTTTCGGTATTCTCATTCGATTACTTATCGTCTAGTTTTTTTATTAATTTTTTTTATGTTGTACATATTTTGTTGAACTTTTGGTTTGAATTTAAACTTGATGTAAATACTTCAGCATATGTAATTATTCTGGAATAGACGAAAAGTATTGACACGAACCGCTTAAAGCCCCTCCCAACCACCAAAGCACCAACTTAGCTATTATCTTGGGTTGGTGAATTGAAAACTGCCGGCTATTGTCATATGTGACAGTTTGAGCATTTTCTTCAAAAGAAACCCATTTTGATGTCAATGGAAAAGTTGTAGAGAATCAAAAATTAAGCTTATATCCAAATTTTCAGAACCATTCAAAAACTGGTTCTCAAGAAATGCCAAATTTACGAATTTTCACAAAACTTGCATTTTAAGCGAAACTACTAAGTGTATCTTTTTGGAAATTTGGCTATAAGCCTAATTTTTGATTCTCTACAACTTTTCTATTGACATCAGAATGGGTTTCTTTTGAAGAAAGTGCTCAAACTGGGACATCTCCAGTCCTCCATTTTTGAGTCTCACACTTGTCTCACACACAATCCAAAATCCTACTACGAAAGAGGAATCCGCAAATTGCCTGTAAAATGGGCAGAAGTCGTCAATAATAATGGAAATTATTTGGAATGAATTGATGGTTTTATGTTGAATAAATTTTAGTTCAAAGTTCCGCAGTTTTCAATTCACCAACCTAATAGATTTCGCTTAAAAGATTTAAGAGAGAAGGGATTGAAAATAAAGCTGCAAAGATAGTAAAAAAAATCATCCGAACCCAGAAGAAAAGTGAAAAAGAGTCTGAATTTGTTCAGAGATTCGGGCTGGGAGAACAAAACATGGTCGGCGCCGGGATTCCCGTGACCTGTCGCTTACCGGGCTAAAACTCTACCAATGAGCTACACCAAGACGTATCCCGTTGCTGCCAGAGTAGGGCCTTATGTCTTACTTGTCGTGACTTTTGGCTAGCCTGTCAGGCAAGCTAAACTATGTGAATTTTGTAAAAATAAGAAAATACAAAAAGAAAGTGTGGTTGTGTCTTTTTATATATAATACAGGGGGGTGGGACAAATGCGACCTTTTTTTGCGCACCTGGACATTTGCGCACCTTTTTCTTGCTGGAAAAGGCCTTAGGAAAGGTCGTAGAGCTTCGAAAATGGGGAATCGTATGGGAATACTGGGGAATCGTATGCGTAGATTCCGAATTTCAACAAATCAGACCTCGCTGACACGTCAAATTTGGGCTAAAAGGCAAAAACTGCGGAAAAGCGTTAAGTTGCGTAGTTTTTGCCTTTTAGCCCAAATTTGACGTGTCAGCGAGGTCTGATTTGTCGAAATTCGGAATCTACGCATACGATTCCCTTTTGTGAAAACATTTTTGAAGCTCTACGACCTTTCCTAAGGCCTTTTCCAGCAAGAAAAAGGTGCGCAAATGTCCGGGTGCGCAAAAAAAAGGTAGCATTTGTCCCACCCCCATAATACAGTTTTCTATTTGCATTTTATCATTTTCTTTTGTGTTTGCTGCACTTTTTTGCATATCGATCTCTTTTTTACAACCCCATTTGAGTATTTGTTGATTCTTTTGGATCATCATCAGCTGAAAATCTCCACAATTTCCTCATAAAAGCCATTTTCTAAAATCCTTTTGTCCATTTTGGCCATTTATCTCAAGTTTACCTCAAGGATTTGACTGCGAACCTTTGCTGAAAAAAGAAAATAAATGAAAAATCGTGTAGCTGAATCGAACATCCAAGAAAAATCAATGAATTCAATAGAAAAACTGAAGAAATGAGTGCTGAAAAGTGATTAGAAAATCTTTATGGCTTGAAATGAACCTGTTAAAGTCTTCATCAAACATTATTCTGACGTAGAAATTGCCAAAGAAGGAGTCAAGGAACTAAACTCGATTTTCCCAATTGAGCAGGCTTATTTTGAAAGTTTTAGTTAAAGCCAGAGGACACTGATCCGGGCTGAATTGAGTCTAGTTTAGTCATCAGATAGTTTGGTCGTCAAGTAGTTTAGTCATCAGATAGTTTAGTCATCAGATAGTTTAGTCATCAGATAGTTTAGTCATCAAGTAGTTTAGTCATCAAGTAGTTTAGTCATCAGATAGTTTAGTCATCAAGTAGTTTAGTCAGCAGATAGTTTAGTCATCAAGTAGTTTAGTCATCATCATCAGACTAATCAGACATTAAAGCACTGATCCTCCTTATTCATTCACTTTCTAAATGACATACAGGGTGCCCCAAAACTACCCGAACCAATAAAACTTATGGCTTAAAAAACAAAACTTAACATTAACAAATTTATTCTCTAGATTGCTTTCAACAATTTGGTTCATTTCTTCTCGAAAATATCTCCATGGGAGGCTGCAGTGAGACGCTTTGGGAAGCCATCAATGGTGACCAAAAAATACGCAGGATCGAGTTCAGCCCAAGCTTTCTGTTTTTACAAAAAACCACACAGCTTTCTAATAAAACTAAAGTCGGATTTGGAAAGAGGGCCCAGAATTACATGCTCTTGCAAATTTTGAGCTCATTTGGTCCAGCCATTCACGATAAACAGCTCAGCATTGAGTCATATGTGTTAAAGTGAGCCTTCAAAAGAAACAAGAACTAAACAAGAACTCATTCTAATTTCTTCATCGATACCTGTTTTTGAAAGTTTCATCCAAACTATCGTTTTCAAGTCTTTCAAGTAGTTAGTAAAGCTCAAATAGCCCCAGAAACAGTTCAGTATTTAGAAAACAAATAACGCTTTGGGAAGCCGTCCGTGGTGGCCAAAAAAATCGAGCAGGATGGAGTTCAGCCCAAGCTTTCTGGAGTGATTTTTTCAGTGAATCAATGCTTGAATGTCCTTTTGAGCCTTTGCTTCGAGAATACTCCAGTCGGATAAATCGGGGCTTAATGTTCAGTGCTTAAAGCCGACGAAATCCGGGAAGTTTTGTTCACACTAATCTTGGACAATTCGGGCTTTGTGGCATCCTGCTGAAAGCACCAAATTTTATTTCCGAAGTGGTTTTGTGCCCAACAAATAGCAAAGATAAAGACTAAGCCGACCCAAAAGCGCATAACAGCAAACGGAGGTTGGTTCGGTTAATTTTGGGGCACTCTGTATATTTCAAAAAAATTACCGTAGTCAATCTGATCATTTGCTTGTTTTTTCTCTTCTTCTAGAGATAGTTTTTATAATTTGCATCCTGCTTACCCAATGTAATATATTATATCCCAAACAGAAGAGATGAGAGATAAGCAAGGCAACCACCAGCCATTTTTCGTCGCTTGTATTTGTTCTGGATCGTTTAACGCAAATGGAAAGAAGTATCGCGGTAAAAATCGAGAAAAAATAGGCGCCCATTGTTGAGAAGATTAGCACTGAGTCAAGGAATGGAGTCGAACTCGTGCCAAATTCGGCATGATATTCCTAGGAAAGTTTGAAGTTTGGATAAACTGATTTGTCTGAATTAGAAAGACTTTGTGCAATACCTGAAATTCCGGGCACTCGGGCTCGTAAATCATTTTGACAAAAAAAATGATTGGCAGTCTTGGCAAAGCAGCAACGATGAGGACGATGCCGAGAATGCAGAAACGAGTGTATTTACTGAAATCGAATTTAAGACTTCGATTAGGGCCAATAAATCATATTCTGGCTAAACAGGAGATCTTGGCCATGTTCTGTTGCAACCGATTTTCGGGTCAGGCTTTGGCTTGGCTGACTTCAGCTTTGTCAGCTTCAGTTTTGTCAGCTTCAGCTTTATCCGCTTCAGCTTTATCCGCTTCAGCTTTATCAGCTTCAGCTTTGTCAGCTTCAGCTTTGCCAGCTTCAGCTTTGCCAACTCTCTTTGGTTCTGGTCTGGTTTAGCTTACTGGTACTTGGATTCGCCTGGGCTAGTTTTCAGTTTTGGCAAAGTTTAGCTACAAGCTTTAGGCCTGATTAAATCATTCCTGGTTCTAACTTTTGTTAGAAAACTTTAACGTTTGAACAAACTTTAAACAAACTTTAAACTTTTTAAACAAACTGTTTCCAAGTAAAAAGAAAATGATTCCATTTTGTTATTTTCAATAAACGATCCAATGCCATCAAAAGTAGCAAAAAACAAATAAAGCACCAAGCTAAAAAGTAATTGAAGCAATTGAAGCAATTGAAGTTAAAAAAAACTACCGATGTTAGTGATCATGTCCACGAAAACCGAAATGCGATTTGTGAAAGCGTAAAGGAAATGAATCTCGCCGTGATAGCCCAGGTAGGTAACTGAAAAATGAAGCACTTTGGACATATTATACTTGTAAACTTTAGTCTTTTGTCAGTACTTTTGTTAGTACTTTAGTAAAATTCTGTTAATCTACCTGTGTGCATTATGAGATAAAGCACGCAAAGCCCGAGATCAGCCATCGCTAACACGAGCAAATAAATCTTCCAAGAATGAAGCGATTCGTGAGTCAGGAAGAGTTTCTAAATCAAATGTCATTCACCAGTCATTCACCAGAACGATTAAGAATTTCTGTTAGTTCTGTTCTAAACTTCTCATGACAAAGGGTTAGTTTTAAAGTTTTCAAAATAACTCAATACTCAAATTGTTTTATTGTTGTTAGATTGAATTTAGAGACGAGTTTTGTCCCAGGATCAATTTAGGTTCTTATGGGATCTAAAGATCTAAAAGATCAACCCAACTTAGATCTAAAAGATCAACCCAACCTAGATCTAAAAGCACAAGCTAGGTCAATGTCATGTCTCTGGTCAAGCAGTTTTTTGATGAAAGAGTCATGTTAGCCCGGCCAACCTAGGTCTAGATTAGCCAGTTCAGAAGTCTTAACTAGAACCTAGTCCTGCTTGGTTTTAAACGTCCAGTTCAATTCTTCAGTCCAATCTTTTGCTAAAAGTTCAATTACAACTCACAATCAGTGTCCAGTTCAAGTAAACGCCAAGAGCTCCAATCGGGGTGCCAAGGACAAACGTGAAACAGAGTCTGAAAGACAGCATACTGGCCCATAATTATAGGCGCTTATTACCGTTAATTCTCGAAGGCTCTAAGGCAAAAACAAAAGTCTAAGGACGGGCTCGAACCCTATAGGGTGGCTGAAAAGTTCTGACACCTTATAAACCTTATGAAACAGTTCTTTTTGATGGGAGACATTGAGGAACTTTTAAAACTATGTTGATTTTCAGATTCTCCACATATTTTCACATTATAAACCAGATTTTCAGCTCACTAACTCTATTCGGAAAAAGGAAAGTCATTCATTTTGCCATTTGTGCCATAAAACTTCTTTTTCATTGTCTTTACTATTTAATTTCACTTTTAATATGAACTGAAAAGGTGAGAAAAAAAGTTTTAGTCAGAAAAAAATGCTCTAATGCAACAGAATGGTACAGCCAAGGAGCATTAACGCACATCAGAATCAAATTAGCGTAAAAGTTTTCCGAATAGAGCTAGTGAGCTGAAAATCTGGTTTATAATGTGGAAATATGTGGAGAATCCGAAAATCAACATAGTTTAAAAAGTTTCTCAATATTTTCGATTAAAAAGAATTGTTTCATAAGGTTCATAAGGTATCAGATCTTTTCAGCCACCCTGTAGAGTTCTTGTCTCGTATTCAAACCTACTGCCAATCGGTCACCTCCTTCTCTCTCTGGGAAGTCAACTTATAAACTCAGGATCTGTTTTCTGCGATTTCAAAACTTTGAGCGCTTATAACTTTTGATAGATTGCTGCGTTGCAAAAACGGAAAGCAGATTCGGAATCAGCGTTGAATTCTGCGTCGAATAACCTGTGAAAGTTGACAAAACCTGTGATCAAACCCTGTTGACATTCCCTTGCTAGTTAGTGTTCTGTTATTCTCAAGACTTAAACTGTAAATTTATCTGGGCTCACTTGTAGAAATTGAAAGCCACTGGCGAAGTACAGTATACTGGAGCAATCTGGGCTACAATAGTCGATGAACCTTTGACAACTTCCATCTAAAAATATTTAGTTTGAAAAAATAGTTTCAAGTAATTGAAAGAGTAATTGAAAATAAAATTGTGATTTCGGAGCGTTTTCTCCCAGATTGTTTAGTTTGATGAGCGCAAAAAGTGAACAAAAACATCAGTGATCAAATTCCGAAAAGCTTTTCGGTGATTTTGTGGTGATTTTGTGAATTTTTAGCTACTTCCAAGGTGAAAATCTTCTCATCCGACCAAAGAACATCGTCAATGCGCCGCACCTTGAAAAAAGCTCGCAATTTCTTGCATTTCTCCTTCCGATTTTGCTTGGCTTGATCGGTGAGCACTTGCCCGTTTAACAGTCGATAACCTCGAAGTCCGAGCTCATTTTTCACTATCGATTGAACCGAGAAACGCGAAATTTGAAGCTGTTTTACCATCTTATTCAAACTACGATCGTCTTTTCGCTCGATCCTCCTCTTGATGATCCCACGCATCTTTCGGGTGTTAACGGTCCTCTTTCGTCCTCTTCCAGGCTTGGACTGAACATGCCCCTCATCTTTCCATTGCTTTACAATCCTCTGGATGGCCCTCAGAGCCACCCCAAGCCTCGATGCGATCGACGAGTTCTTCATGCCGCTCGTCGCCAGCTGTGCGATTGCGTCTCGACTATGAATGGCTCACTTGTAGAAATTGAAAGCCACTGGCGGAGTACAGTATACTGGAGAAATCTGGGCTACAATGGTCGATGAACCTTTGACAACTTCCATCTAAAATCTAGTTTGAAAAAATAGTTTCAAGTAATTGAAAGAGTAATTGAAAACAAAATCGTGATTTCGGAGCGTTTTCCCCCGATTGTTTAGTTTGATGAGCGCAAAAAGTGAACAAAAACATCATTGATCGAATTACAAAAAGCTTTTCAGGAGAAATGTGACAGACTGCTGACAAATATTGAACTTTGGAATTGAAATTTGAAACTTAGCTTTTGATTTAACAATTGACTTAACAATTGAACAAAGAAAACATAGTTTTAAAGTATTTTTTTTGAAAAGTTAATGTTTTTGATTATGATTTTAATCAGTTTATGATTTGCTTTCTCTCAAAAAAGATCAAGATTTCATTTTGAAATTTATTTCTTCAAATCGTTTATTTATTGACGTGGTATGACTTGAATTTCTTCTTGTCCGAAGCCTTGAAAATCTTTAACTGTCGGATCGGGTAGATATCGATTGAAATAGCTCATGAATAATGCTATCTAAACGCTTGTTAAGGAAATTTTAGTGGTTTTATTAGTTCAAAAGATTATTTTTTTTGATAATTCTGAGATTTGACAATGAGAATTAGCTCCCAATACTCAAGTTTTATAGAAAAACCAGCTGCTGGTTGCGCTACGCGATTGCTTTGCTAAAATTTACACCAACCTTAGAAATTATCATTTGTAAATTTCCATCCAAAAGCTCCTTTTCCTTCATTCCTGCCAAAACTCCAGTCGGTGAGAAATTCCTTTCTCTGTCATTTCTCCCAATCTTTTCACGTCCTTCCCCTTCTTTCTTTCAGTGATAAACTGTTCAACCTTAGCACCGGCTTCGACTAAATTCTGTCCATCTAACACTTTTTTCTTTGGCCACCTTTTGAGGTTTTTAAGCTTTCTTTTGAAATTGGTACTATCCGATCCACAGGCTAGATTCACGAAATCCCATATAACAAAAAAGCAAACGATATCTCGCGGTCTGGATCCGAACCCACAGCCCTGGGGGCCTGTCGATCTGCGGACCGACGCACTGTCCCCTCGGCCGGATTCCCTTCTCCCAGAAATTCTTTGGCTGGTTGTCAAAAAAGTTGCGTAGCCAGGTTTCGACCTCAGCTCGGTCTCCGAAGTGCTCTCCATCGAGTTCTGCAGCCAGCTTCCGGAATAGATAAAAAACAGAAGGGCTGTACAATGGATGAGGGAGAACTTCCCAGCCCAACTCGTTTAATTTTTCTTGTGTTAGCTTTGCAATATGAGGTCTCACGTTATCGTGTTGAAGGAGGACTTTTCCCCTGTTTGGCCTTGTTTTTTTCATTTTTGAATTAAAGGCAAGTTCAAACGCGTCCCTTGTAATGAAATAGGCAGCCGGTTAGACTTTTTTCCAAAAAAATCTGATATTGAAAAGAAAAGAAAAAAATTTTGACCCCTGAGTGACTCGAACACCCAACCTTTCGATCTGGAGTCGAACGCGCTACCATTGCGCCAAGGAGCCACGTGGAAAGGACGGCCAAATTTTGGTTTTATCGAGCCAGAAAAGCGATAAACTGTTTCAATGTGCTCCCCGCGCCTTGAGGAATTTTCGTGGACATGGACGGGTGAACGGACGGACAGCTCTCAATTCTGTATAGTGGGTGCAGCCAAGTTTATGGGGGAATTGGTCTCGGGTTTGGGCATGGTGGGTCGCTGCTGCAATGAACGGTTGCTCCTTCCCCTTTACGGATTCCAAAAGGGTATCCCCTTATACCCGAGGTGTTTGCCAGGTCGCGAGCGTTTACGCGGCTGCACAAGCACAAGCACAAACTTTTCCAGTCATTTACAGGATTTCTCTTTTGCTTCTTGGATGGCCTTGAATGAAGATATTCAGCTGGGAATTTGTACCGGGGGGTTTTCGGAGTTGGGGGATCTATTGGAGCTATTCATTTTATTGAATCTATCAATTGAAGCTAGCCAAATGGTTGAACAAGCAACCAAACTGAGAGAAGAGTGCGATCTGACAACTGCTAGGAGTAAATAAGAACAACCCTGTCAATTTGACGTCGAATTGTGGCCGAAAAACAATAGTATACAAAAATTCGTATCGCCGGATCAAACATGAAGATGAATTCGTGAAATTCAAGAGTGAAAGCGAAAAGGTTTGTACTAAAAGGGGTTTATTTTTCATTTTTCATAAATCCAGAGACAGAATTACGATAGTTTTCAAAAATTGGGGGGTGGGACAAATGCGACCTTTTTTTGCGCACCTGGACATTTGCGCACCTTTTTTTTTGCTGGAAAAGGCCTTAGGCAAGGCCGTAGAGCTTCGAAAATATTTCCATCAAAGGGAATCGTATGCGTAGATTCCGAATTTCGACAAATCAGACCTCGCTGACACGTCAAATTTGGGCTAAAAGGCAAAAACTGCGGAAAAGCGTTAAGTTGCGTAGTTTTTGCCTTTTAGCCCAAATTTGACGTGTCAGCGAGGTCTGATTTGTCAAAATTCGGAATCTACGCATACGATTCCCTTCTGTGAAAACATTTTTGAAGCTCTACGACCTTTCCTAAGGCCTTTTCCAGCAAAAAAAGGTCGCATTTGTCGCACCCCCAAAAATTGACATGTTTTAGAAAAAGACAACTGACTTCACAGAATCCTCATCATACACCATCACTATGAAGGCGCTGGGGAAAAAGATTTGGATCAGCTAAAATAATATTCATGCCTTTTATAAACAAATCTATTGCTTTTACCAACCAAAATGAGTATTGTGAAGAAGTTAATCAAGAGGTGCAATCCGAGTAGAGTTTTCGGTAAACCGATCGAGTTTTTCTCGTCTATGTTGGACGAGATTCTGTTCGCGAGAAATCTAAGTGTTTCCGGTTTCAGAATCTTTAAGTACTTTGAGTACCAAAATATGTTTTGTGCAAAAAGTTACTTTGAGTCAATTACGCAAAGTACCAGCTTTAAGTTCTTTGAGTATTCAAAGCTGATACTTTGAGTAATTCACTACCAGCTGTTCCTCGAACTGAAAAATCTTCGTCCACCTCTAGATATAAAAGCTAGATATAAAAGAATGTCACTTAATCAATGAAATTGGTAATTTCTTATCGCGATTTCAGCAAGAACCAATCTGCGATAGATTTTGGACGATTGGGCGACTAGTTCGATAGATCTAGTAAAAATCTAGTAATCTAGTGATTCGTTAGATCTAGTAACTTCCACTACTAGCTATTTTTTTGATAGATCTAGTCTTGAAAGCTTCGTGATCTTGGGCGCCTTGGCCTCAACCTTGCGCTTGCATAGACAATATTCTTTCTCATTGTGGTTTACCACAAATTCCCCAATGCCAACCTTGAAGTCGACCCAACAATGAGGATCTGAAGACCAGCACCGATAAACCACCCAAGCTGCATCGGTAACAACCAATTGAGATAAGCATGATAGGGAGCGTAATCGTCATAAAACGGTGGAATTACAACACGGTAGTTCTAAATAAACAAATGAATGCTTTTAGAGATTCATAAACTTTAATAATCGACGTGATTCTGTTGGAATTTGATTGTAAAAGTAAAAGTTTACCTGAAATGGTGGGCAGCTTGGCTCGTTGACAATGTATAACGAAAAAAGCATTGGAATCTTTGGGAGAAAGTCCACAAGCAGCACTCCACCGATTGCATAAAGGCGTAGCTTCGTACTAAAAGAAAACTAAACTCTTGAAGAGATGGCAATTCTTCTAAACTGATCTTTTAAACTAATATTTGACTAAGTCTAATCTGATTAAGTTAGCTTTATGCATTTTGATTCCAATGCTTTAATCTGGTTTGTTCTTTTTTAAGGAACAAAGTGGATAAACTACTCTATTACTTCTTTGAGCAGCCTTTTCTCTACAGATTTGGTTCTTTTTCTCTATAGATTTGGTTCCGTTACTCTATAGATTTGGTCCCTTTTCTCTATAGATTTGGTTCCCTTTCTATATAAATTTAGTTCCTCTTCTATATAAATTTGGTTCCTTTTCTCTACAGATTCGATTCTTTACTCCATTGATTTGGTTCCTTTGCTCTACAGATTTGGTTCCTTTTCTCTATAGATTCGATTCTTTACTCCATTGATTTGGTTCCTTTACTCCAAAGCATACAAAACCTTTCTTATTCTGAATATTATCCAAAGAATATACCTGCATATTCCACTCGATCGCTCGCGTTTGAAGAGTTGAATCACGTGTTCGATAACAAATAAAAGAATCATATGTCGGACTATGGTTCTTGCTAAAATATCGAGATTTAACAGTAATGATTTCCTGAGCAATTTCAGTGTTTAAAAAAGTCTATTTTTACCATATAAATCAAGCGGTTCCGTTAAACGAACGGTGTTGTGCCATAAAGAGTAAAAGAAGTAGATTCGGAAATAGTATCCAACAAAGAAAACTGAAAAAAATGGAGTTAGATGCAACCAAACCTGATTTTAAAAGGTATTCTGTTTGGTTAATAGAGAAAAAATTGATCGAATAGTCTAATTTCCGGAGTTCCTCTCAAAACCCGTTTTCTAGAACGTGCAAACTTTCAAAAACTATCGTAATCCAGGCTCTAGGTTTTATCTGTCGTAGCCGATGAAGGATTTCAGCCGATGAAGTCTCAGACTTCTTCCGCTAGCCGATGATACTCAAAGTTTTTCGCTAGCGAGACCTTCTTCGGCTAGCCGATTAAGTCTCAAAAATGAAATCTTGAGTTATGTATTGACTCAAGTCAATACCACAAACTCAAGCTCTCTAAAAGGCGCTTAAAAGCTAAAAACGCATTCTAAAGAGTGCACATTTTATCATACTGTAATCAAAAGCTATAAAAGGGCCCTTTTCGTCATTTTCTATCTGATTCGTCATTTATTTGAAATAGAATTGTTTCCTTTCTTTGGTGTTCTTTTTTTGAGCTCGCATTCTGTGCACAACTTGACAAAAATTTCGATTACTTCTTTTGAGATTCCATGATAGTCCTTGCCACATTATATCTCGTCCGGCGTGCTCAAGTCGTTGGTGAGTGGTCGTTAACAGGCCAAAGAGCTCCTCTTTCTTGGCGACTTTCTTGGGCTTGTTCAAATCGCCTTTGATCCCATGATTGTAAAGCACCTCTTGATTCAATTCGTATCGAAGAGAGAATCGCACTACAAGTTTTTGTGTTTCTTCCGATGGTTTGAAGTCTTCATTCTGCAACTGTTGGAGAACGGTGACAATTCCCGCGTATTTCTCGCTTGAAAGAATCAAACTTCGCTTTTGATTTGATTGAAAGTGAGAAAGCTGCAGGTCGAATTCTTTCTCCATTCCTAAAAAACAACATTCTGTGTTCGATTATAAACCGATTAGTGGTAAACAAGTTTTATCGATGATCCAACAAAGGGGTCAAATTGACCTACAAAAACAAAGAATTCTATTTCAAATAACAAATCAGATAGAATCAGATAGAAAATGACGAAAAGCGCCCTTTTATAGCCTTTGATTACAGTATGATAAGCATTTTATGATAAGATTACAGTATGATGAGCTCTTTCGCCTGTTAACGACCACTCACCAACGACTTGAGCACGCCGGGCGAGATATAATGTGGCAAGGACTGCGAGACTATCATAGAGTCTCAAAAGAAGTAATCGAAATTTTTGTCAAGTTGTGCCCAGAGTGCGAGCTCAAAAAAGGAACACCAAAGAAAGGAAACAATTCTATTTCAAATAAATGACGAATCAGATAGAAAATGACGAAAAGGGCCCTTTTATAGCTTTTGATTACAGTATGATAAAATGTGCACTCTTTAGAATGCGTTTTTAGCTTTTAAGCGCCTTTTAGAGAGCTTGAGTTTGTGGTATTGACTTGAGTCAATACATAACTCAAGATTTCATTTTTGAGACTTAATCGGCTAGCCGAAGGAGGTTTCTGCCGCTATTGCCGGCTAGCGAAAAACTTTGAGACTTCTTCGGCTGAAATCCTTCATCGGCTACGACAGACATATCCAATCTATACTTTTGGCTTCATTGTACAAGTTTAAAGGTTACAAAAGAGAAGATAAGTAAATAGATTTGATGAAAACTAGAGCATGGTTAGTTTTCAAAAGTTTTCACGTTTTAGATAGCTACAAACTTGTTCGAAACATGATATAGCAAGCGCAACTGGTGAGATCCGCTATTGCCAACACGAATAGATAAAGCTTCCAAGATGACAGCGCTTCTTTGTTGCAGAAAATTTTCTGAAAATCTTTTGCTTAGCATTAAAGCTCAAAATAAGCAGAAGTTAGCTAATTAACTAACAAAAAGTTAGTTAACTACACAAAGTTAACTCACAATCAGCAAAAAGTTTGCGTAGATTCCAAAACTCGCAAGTGGTGCTCCGCAAAATAGAGTGAAAGCTAGTCTAAAATTCAAAGTTCAGTTATTTAAGCTCTTTTAACATCTCTTGCACATTTGAAGCTTATAAGCTCTTACACATTTGAAGCTTATAAGCTACTTTACTTGATACTAAGTCTATTTCTCTAAGCCTAAACCTATAGAATTAACAGGGAAAGTGATTGGATTGGGTTTGATCTGACTTTTAATCCGATCAGGCTCGCCTGGTCTGACCTGGGCTTGATTAAAGTCAACTAAGTCGAAAAATCAATGTATAAAAGACAACCTAAGCCTTTAATAAAGAAGATTTAAATTCTAAACAATAGCTTGGTTAGAGTTCAAAGTACAGTTTGCTTCTTTGAAACAGATTTACTTGTAGAAATTAAACTGCTGAAGTTCTGGACAGTCGACAGTTTTGTGCGGTTTGGTGAGTTCCAGTTCATCCAAAAGCATCATTTCATAGTCCATTTTCAAACTTTGCTCTTTTCAAAGCTCTAGACAGAATAAAAATTTGAAGTTTCAGAAAATTGATGAGAATGCGCTGAATCAATCAAATGTTTACTTTACAATCAAAAAACTAAAGCAAAAAAAAAAGGTTGATCATATGAGAGAAGTGTTCGCTTTTCTCTTTTCTCTCCCCAGCTTTCGACAAATCGGATTTTATATACATGGCAATATATAAACCTTGTTGGCATATATAAAATGGCAATATAGAAACCTTGTGTTGTAGGTTAGTTTAAAATTTTACAATCGATTACAATACAATCGAATGTTGATAAAATTTCATCAAAGATCTCAGAGCTAAAGCATCAGAGCTATGAAGAAAATTTGGGTTTATACAAACAGACATAAAGTAGAAAGAAAAATTTCATATTTAGCACTTTTTTCATTTCAAAAGGCGGCGACCCGATTCGAATTCGTATCTTGGTGGAGAAGACTCGGGTTCACGGTGACGACACAACAAAATCTGAAGTTAAAAGCGTTAAACCTCAAAGATCGTATCAAGAAATTGTCTATTGCCTTTATTCAAAACAAAAAAAGATTGGCTTTCTTCTAAGTAACCTTTTTCTAAATAGGAAACGTCGCTAGGTGCCAGTGTCCTTTTAAAACGAGAACAACTCCATCTTATAGAGTCGACTACGCTGATTCCGAATCCGTTTTCAGTTTTTGCCCTCGAGAATTGTAATGCGAGATATCTGGGTTACAAGACTAAGTTCATTTTTTCTCAACGCAACTAACTAGCGACGTGGTGCATTGCTAAAGCTGCTAGAGCTACGGGTCCAAAACATCGATCCCCTCCTCGACCAATCTCTCTTAGTTTTTTTAATCTGGTTCAAATTGCATTGAAACAGCAAGGTAGAAAAAAGAAAAAAGTTACAGGCCTCGAGGGCAAAACTGAAAACAGATTGGACTAAGAGAGATTGGCCGAGGAGGGGGTCGATGTTTTGGACCCGTAGCTTCAACAGCTTTAGCGAGGCACCACGTTGCTAGTTGGTTGCGTTAAGAAAAATGAACTCAGTCTTATAGCCCAGATATCTCGCGTTACAGGCCTCGAGGGCAAAAACTGAAAACAGATTCGGAATCAGCTTAGTCGACTCTATAGGATGGAGTTGTTCTTGTTTTAAAAGGACATGGGCACCTGACGACGTTCTCTAGAAAGAAATTTAGGCATCAAAATGAACTTTAATCCTTCGTCGAATCGTTGGGGAAAACTTGAGGTAAACGAAAAAGCGAAGCGATGAGTCAAACAGCCTTCCCAACAGTGGAACCTCGGTAATCAAATAGGTGAAAGTACCGCTAAAAGCTTTTCCAAAGAACTTTGCCAAAAAAGTTTACTGTGTTGAGAAATGCAGGTCCAATTGCTCAATAATTTCAAGCGTTTCATGGTAATCTGCTTGGAAGATGAGTTGGTAGAACTGAAATTTGTGTTTAAAACTCGTCAGCTGAGTAACTAGTATCATGTGTAAAGTGTATTGTTTCGTAGATAACTAACCCATATTATAACAAAAAAGAAAAGAAGCACAACGTGCATTACGACCACAAAAATCAGCGTCCATGTATACGTTTCTTGATCGTTTTCTTCGTTATTATTAAAGGTGATCTCTGGAAAAATTTTCTTTGCAACTTATTAACACATTGACGATCGCGTATCTTTTGCGAAACGATCGATTTGAATCAGAGATCAAAATGAATAAAAAAAAGCCCAGAAATTTGCAAATGAGGGCCTAAAAGACTCTAGAATCCGAAAAAGACTAAGGCCTTAAATTTAGGCCAACAAACTCCATATATTCGGTTGGTGAATTGAAAACTGCAGGCCATTGTCATATGTCACAATTTGAGCACTTTCTTCAAAAGAAACCCATTTTGGTGTCAATGAAAAAGTTGTAGAGAATCAAAAATCAAGCTTATATCGAAATTCTCAAAATGATTCAAAAACTGGTTTTCAAGAAATGCCAAATATACGAATTTTCACAAAACTTGCATTTTAAGCGAAACTACTAAGTGTATCTTTTTGGAAATTTGGATATAAGCTTAATTTTTGATTCTCTACAACTTTTCCATTGACACCAAAATGGGTTTCTTTTGAAGAAAGTGCTCAAACTGGGACATCTCCAGTCCTCCATTTTTGAGTCTCACACTTGTCTCACACACAAACCAAAGTCCTATCAAAATCGAAAGAGGAATCCGCAAATTGCCTGTAAAATGGGCAGAAGTCATCAATAATAATGGAAATTATTTGGAATGAATTGATGATTTTATGTTGAATAAATTTTAGTTCAAAGTTCCGCAGTTTTCAATTCACCAACCCAATAGTTTATTTTCACATTTTTAATTATCTTATTTTATACGCTAGTACTTAACGGGGACTTTCATTTGAGTCCCAAAAGCTGATTCCGGTCTATGGGCAGATATACCATACAAAATTTTAATTTTTGATTCCAGATCCCCAGTCGGATCGATTTTGGTGTTTTTGAACTATTTTTGATAATACAGGATGGCGCACAATTACCCGCACTCAGCTCAGATTCTCCAGCTTAGCGAAGAGTCAATCAATCGACTAATTCTTTTTTTATTATCAAATTGAAAATTTTTCCTGCTATGTGTTTTCTGGATTTGATTAGAAAAGCTTCTAAACTTTTGCTAGAACGCTGCAAAGTTGCGACACGCGTTTCCTGTGGAATCGCGATTTTCTGGTTTCTGTAACTAGTTTTAATGCCACAAAATCTAAGAAAACCAGCTTTATTTACTTCTTTTTATTTATTATTTCCAAAATCTAGTTTATTTTTACTAGAAAACAATGAATTTCAATTAGGGATCAAAGTTCAAAATGTGAATTTGAACGGATTGCGGGTAAAACTGTATAAAAACAAACTATAGGTGGTTTTCGGAAAAAGTTTTTGAAGAGATCCAGCCCTACAGATTACTCCGCCTTTAACTTCTCGATAAATGTATGCTATATGTTCTCGGGTCAGAATTTCCTTTAGCATTGTTTTGAGGCTTCAAAAATTATTGATTACCTTAGAAAAACGCGATTATTTGAAGCCGGTTTAGTTACGCAAGTCCCGCTCTCATATCCTACGAGCCACACGAAAAGAACCCATAAAATCTCCTTTACCAAACGCTTTCTTTAGAAAAAAAAAACAAAAATTTATGTTTCTAGTTACTCCATTAAAGTATCTAAAACTATTAGAAAAGATTTTTTGCAAAACGTTTTCGCTCCGTGGGAATCGAATCAACAATCCCCTATTGAAGCCTCAGATTAATCTAGCACGCCTTAAACCGCCTCAGATTAATCTAGCACGCCTTTAAATCGGATCGGTAACACCCACGAAAAATCACACAACTTTCTAATAAAACTAAAGTCGGATTCGGAAAGGTGACCCGGAATTACATGCTCTTGCAAATTTTGAGCTCATTTGGTTCAGCCATTCACCAGAAACAGCTCAGCGTTGAGTCAGATATGTTAAAGTGAACCTTTAAAAGAAACAAGAACAACAAGAACTCATTCTAATTTCTAAATCAATGACTGTTTTTGAAAATTTCATCCAAACTATCGTTTTCAAGTCTTTCAAGTAGTTAGTAAAGCTCAAATAGCCCCAAAAACAGTTCAGTATTCAGAAAAACAAATAGCCTAGACTTAAAAATGTGTAATCTAGCCTAAAAACTCGTCCCTAGTTCTATTAGGGTGGTGCAAAAGAAACTGCCGATGGGTATCAGCTCTCATTTATCAGAAACGAGCGATGCTAACGGCATTATTTTTTTAAATGTTTTGTTCGCATATTTGTTTGCTATTTATTTCGACATTTGAATTTTTTCGTTGTTGCTTATTTTATTTAAAAATGCTTATATTTTTTATTTAGATCATGGTCGAGCAAAAGTTTGTGCTACGAGCAGCATTAGTGTTTAACTTCAAAATTGGAAAGTTTGAGTGAAGTTTGCCCTAATAAGTGAAAGTTTTGATAAATTGTGCATTTTCAAGACATCTATCATTAAACCGAGAGACGGTCTCACAAGAAATTATAAGAATCAAAGTATATTTCTTACACTAATTCTGAAATTAAAAATATAACTTAAAAACAGAAAGAAAGAAAGAAAGAAAGAAAAAAAGAAAAAAGAAAGAAAGAAATCTAACTTAAAGATTAAAAGTCTTTTGAAAATGAAGTTTCTAAGATCAAAATAGTCAAAATGACCATCTTATAGTCAATCTTAAGTCTATTTTTCTCTATTTTTGCTGTAGATCCAATTCTTTTATTGAACTTGCAATAGAATTAGCAAAAAAAAGTCAAATTTCAAAGCAAAAGAGCGAATTTCTAATTGTTTTTGGCTGAATTTCTCGTAAGTTTTTTAGTATTTCATTTTTTTGCAAAGCGCCCGTATGTTCAAAGCATGCGTCTTTAGTATCAAAAAATAGCTGAAATTCAGGGCTATTTTTTGATACCTAAGCGCGCATTGTAGCATAAGCCAGTGTCGAGAAAAGCTCGTTCAAAGCTAGACCACACAACACTCCGCACCGTCATTATGGGGGTGGGGTACTATTACAGTATTTACGGTATATTTTTTATTTGGATCATGGTTGAGCAAAAGTCTGTGCTACGAGCAGCATCACTGTTTAACTTCAAAATTGGAAAGTCTGCTGCCGAATCGCATCGTTCTCTCTGTGCTGCTTTCGGAGATGGAAGTTTGTCTCTCAGCCAGTGTCAGACTTGGTTTCAACGATTCCGAGAGGGAGGTTTGAGGCCAGAAGACGTGAACGAAGCCAAGCTGAGGGATGTGATTCAGGCCGATCCATGCCAATCTGCTCGAGATCTTGTGAAAATATTCCATTGTGATCATGTCACCATCGAACGCCATCTTTTTTTTTTGAATTTACCGTCAAATCGGCAGTTTCTTTTGCACCACCCTAATAGTATCACTTTGAGCTTACAAGTAAAATATCACTGGGCACAGGATTTCAACCAACCTGTCGGCTCTGGCTCATCGAATTGCTTTAACACATAATCTTTCGAACTCCTCGGGAACTTTCTGAATTGAGACAGCGAAATTGTTTCTCATTAAACCCTCACCTCCTTGCAACAGTCCACAAAACAATCCCAAAGATGAGAGTGCCAAAATATGCGCTGATTGTTGTCAGAATCTCATTAACGATTTCATTCCAATCAATTATTCGTTGATAGTGTTTCTCGTAAATAGGATTCGGTCCGAGAGCTAAATCCTGAAATAATCAAGTTAAAGAAAAAAGAGTTTTTTTTACCTGAAACTGAGGGCATTTTGGATGATGAACGACATCGACGTGCACAAAATAAGGAAGTCTAGAGAATATCGTGAAGAGAATCACCAGTAGAATAATGGTATGACGAAATATTGGGCTAAAGTTCGAGTAAGGTAGCTTTTCAAATGCAAAAACTCATTCATTTGCTAGTTCTGGCTTTGTCATGTCACGAAAAAAGATCCCAGAGATTAGGCTATGGCCAAAAAGGATACTTTTTGATAAGGATACAAAAAAGATACAAAAAGGGAAACTTTGGATAAAAGTCTTCAGATACTAAACTACTAAACTAAGACAAGATATTAAACAAAGATAGCTGAGATTAGACCTGTCTAACGAGTCCGGGCAAAATCTTCAGACAGTCTGCCTCGCTCTTCGATTTTTTTATTGCTCAAAGCTCCTTCGAGCAACCCAGTCCCCCACAAGCCCTTATTTTAGGCTTCATTTTGTTACTAAACATGGCTAGATTCTGTTTTGTCATTCTTTAGACTTCGATCAATCTTTCGCCGGACTTGAGAAGCTTAACGAGTCTAGAAAAATCATGATCTAAAATAATCGAAATCTAAAGAATGACAAAACAGAACCTAGTCATGTTTAGTATCAAAATGAAGCTTAGAATAAGGGCTTGCGAAGGAACTTGGTTTCATGCTCGAAGGAGCTTTGAGCAGTAAAAAATCGAAGAGCGAGGCAGACTGTCTGAAAATTTTGCCCGGACTCGTTAAGCGGGTCTTGACTGTCTTAACCTTAATCAAAGAATTGAAAGGATTTTCAAATTTGTAGGCTGGATACTTCTCATCTTTACATATTGTTTATCATTTTACAATATCTTTAAGGTCAGTTGAAAGTTAAATTCACTTTTCGACGTACCTGATGATGAACCGGAGGCGTGCACTGTGCTTGGCTCTCACCCAACAATCAAGTACCACCCAAAAAAGTATTGCCGACAAGATCCCGTTTACTAAAACTCTTACTATTAAGTGCATTCATGGAATTTCCATCTAACAGTTTAGCCAAAAAACTAAAACTTAAGCAAAAAAGGTAAAATTTTCAGCTAAAAAGCTATAAACTGGCGATAACTGCGATAAACCTACAAAATGCACCATTTAGAAATGTTAAATAAGAGAATAGCGAACAGAGAAACAGCGCAATTTTAATTAAGAGTTAACTAATTTCTTTTCTAATATATATTCTTAGCAAAAAATACTGTAATGCTTGGCGAAAGTAATCGAAGTCTAAATAATCGAAGTCTAAAGAATGGCAAAACAGAACCTAGTCATGTTTAGTATCAAAATGGAGCTTAGAATAAGGGCTTGCGGGGGAACTGGGTTTCATGCTCGAAGAGCCTCCAGGAGTCAGATAGAATTAAGCTATAGTTAATAGTTGGCTGAGTTAGCTTTAAGCAAGCTATAGTTAGCTTTAAGCAAGCTATAGTTAGCTTTAAGCAAGCTATAGTTAGCTTTAAGCAAGCTATAGTTAGCTTTAAGCAAGCCATAGTTAGCCTTAAGCAAGCTATAGTTAGCTTTAAGTAAGCTATAGTTAGCTTTAAGTAAGCTATAGTTAGCTTTAAGTAAGCTATAGTTAGCTTTAAGTAACCTATAGTTAGCTCATTGTTAAGCCTTTACTGTCTTTTCGATTGTTCAGCTTACCAATTTGAGTGAATCCATGAAAAAATGAGGCATAAGCGTAATGCCAGAAACGATGAAGGGAATAAATCTGATGATAAGCAGAAAAAGCTCTAACTAAAATCAGAGTCTATGATCGAATTTGAATCTGTTCTTTTATATAGAGCTGTTCTTTAATTGCCCACCTGTATTACTGAAAAGATAAACAGTGCATGAGCAAATGTCGAAAATCGCTAATACAAACAAATACAATTTTGATGTTTTCCGGAATTTCCAAAAAACCGCCTAAAAACTAGTATAAACGTAGTAGCTAAAATTTTCATACAGTTAACAGAATATTCAAGAAAAATCCAAGGAGGGCAATTGGTGTGGCGATAAACATTACGCAGGCGTATCTGAAGTACTTTGTTAGAAATCTTTTCAACAGGATCCGAGGACCTGTAAGCCAGGACAGGCCAGATCAGACGAAATCGGCCTGGCTCCGGGCCAGGGTTGGTAAAAAAGCCAAAAGCCAAGCCAAGCTAACAGGGGAACGGTTCAAATGGAAGGAGATTTTGATGGCAAGAAGATGCAAACGTCATTCGACAATCCAATACTGTATTTAGTTTTTGTCAATGAAGTCTCATTCTCGAGAAAAACCCGTTTAAAATTTGGGCATCTACTCGGAAAATGGTGCCTGGAGGTTAAGAGATTATCGCGCTTGGCAAAATGTAACTCAATGCTCTAGTGGATGCCGGCACAGCCAACAAGCCAACAACAACAACACAGGCAACCCAACTTTTACCCTCGGGTTCAATTCCAAACCCCGACTTTTTTGCTTTTTTAAGAAAGATGAAAATGATTTTTTTTGAACTGTAATGATGGAAGTTATTATATGCGTTTCTCTCATTTTTATGAAGCGTTTTCATTATGATTCTTAGAGCCTTTGTTTACTCGAGTGTTTGTTAATTGAGATAACCTTTCATTGTCAGCTTGGAATTAAACTGTTTTAGAAGATTGTTTTTAAAAAGCTAAAAAATTCGAGGATTGGAATTTGAACCAGAGAAGAAAAATTCGCACTACCTATCCACTAGGCCATTAGGTCACAATTTACTAAGCGCGATAAAGACTTCTTAGCCTCCAGGCGCCATTTTCCTAGTAGATGCCCAAATTTTAAAAGCGTTTTTCTCGAGAATGCGGCTTCCTTGACAAAAACTAAACACAGTATTGGATTCCCCGTTGCCAAATGGCGTTAACATCTTCTTACCATCAAAATCTCATATCTTCCGTTTGGATCATTCCCTTGTAAGCCAATGACCAAGCCTTTCAATCGGCCTTGGTCTTGAGTTTCAGCTTTGCTTTTGAATTTAGCCTACCTAGAAGCTAGATTCAGTTCTGACTCCTGGCAGACTTTTTATATAGGCAAACTAGGCCAGGTAAGACTTAAAGGCAAGAATTCTGACTTTCCTTTAGAGCAATCCTGGACTTTTTGAGGTTAAAACTATTCGTTATCAAGGTTTCTTTGGTACAAAGTATTAGGTTGGAACGGTCAAAGTGAGAATTAATTTTTTTGAACTGTATTTTCTAAAAAACTAAACCACACATTTATTCAAGGTAATCTCCATTATTATCTATTATTCATTGTCATTTATTGGGTAGAGCACGGATTCCCATCTCCCAGAAATTCTTGGCCTGCGCGTCAAAGGAATCGCGGAGCCAATTTTCGACCTCGACGCGATCTCCGAAGTGCTCCCCATCGAGTTCTGCAGCCAGCTTCCGGAAAAGATGAAAATCAAAGGGAGCAAGGTCAGAGCTATTCGGTGAATGAGGGAGAACTTCTCAGCCCAGCTCCTTCAATTTTTGTTGAGTCGAATTTGCAACATGAGGTCTTGCATTGTCACGCAAGAGCAGGACCTTTCCATGATTTGGCCGATTTTTTGTGATTTGTTTGGCGACCTGATCCAGCTGTTTTGAGTACAGGGAAGCTGTGACAGTCGTGCCTTCAGGTAGCAATTCCCAATAAACTACTCCACTCAGATCCCACCAAATGCACAACATAATCTTCTTCTGATGCAATTCTGGCTTGGGCTCAGGTTTGGGCTCAGGTTACTCGTCAAGACCGATTCACTGCTTGTTTCTCCGATAGTTGGCATAAAGTACCCACTTCTCATCACCAGTAATCACGTGTGGAAGAAAGGAATATCTGTTGTACCGGGAGAGTAGGGCGGCAGAAATCGTGAGGCAATCTCATCACATCTGTGAACCCATGGGGAACCCACACCCCAAATTTCGAAACAAATCCCATTGAATGGAGATGGGTTATCACTGTTTTATGAGAGACCTTTAGTTGTTCTTCCAGAGCCCTGATTGATTGTTTGTTGTCGATCCGCAGGAGCTCAATTAGAGCCGTTTCATTGAAGTCACTCACGCTCCCACTCTTCGCCTCTTCCTCTAAGGAAAAACCGCCTTTCTCGAAACGATGGAATCATCTGTAAGCGGTTGCTAGACTGAGTGAACCTTGCCCATAAACATGATTAATCTTCCCAAAAGCACGAATGGCAGTGGAATTTTCCTTGAAGTGAAACAAAGGTCGCGTCCGTTTCCTTCCTATTTGCGTTGCTATTTTGCAATTATTCGCGTCGCATTTTTCGTCCCTTTTCTTATTTTATTATTTTTTTGATCTGGGGGTTTTTGCCTTCTTTCTGGGGGACTTTGTTGTTTCATTTTTGATGCGCATGCTGTTTTTGTAATGGGCATTGTTGCATTTTGGTTCTGTACTAATAAACAGTAACGTTATAAATTCACTTTACTTTATGCTACCCTTCAGGTTTTAAATCCTGCTTAGATAACTGGTTTAACATTGTAGAGAGACTGGTTTTACTAACATTTGGTGGTCACCATCGACGCAGTATCAATCCGATCTGTACTCTTCTCAAGAGTATTAACCTATTGTTGGATACTACGTGTTCTTGTTACGTTGTAAGCGCTTTTTGGGAAACCCTGTTAATCTTTTGTGCTATTCGGCTATTCTTAAGCAGAATCATCCTCGTTGATAAGGTTAAAGCGGATCGCACCCCAAACTCACGGTTCTGAGTCTGTAACCATATTTATGCCGCACCCTATAAGCTCCATTCCAGTGTTCTTACTAAAATAAGTCTGCTATTCGTAAAAGTAAATAGTAGACGTTATTAAACGTTATCGAACGTGAATAGTTATCGATTAAAGTCAGGGTTATCGTTCGAAGTTAGGTCTAGTGAAGCCAGGCTTTACTGCAAGCTTGGCCAAGAAATACTCCTTGAATCTAACAGTAAGTTTATACACGTTTTCGCTGAGATAAATAACTCAAAAGGAGATAGATAGACCCAAACTCAAAAGGAGATAGATATCCTTTTGGTAGAGTATCGGATGCCTTCAAAGAAAGGCAAAAATAAAACAGAAAATACCAATATTAATTTTGGCGCTTTTTGTAATCAATAGTTGAAGAATGACGTAAATAAGCCACTTTTTATCCGAATGCTTTTGGTGATGGGGAATACTGATAAGAAGAGAAGAAAAAAGTGCTCACTTTGACCTTTCCAACCTAATAGAAATGCTTTGAATAGAATTCTTAGAATGTGTAATATTAGAATGTACAATGCAGTGGCAGTGATTCTCCAACCAATTCCTAGCTAGAAAAGCTTAAGCCTAAGCCTGATTTGCTGACCTCAGCTAAAGGCCTGGACTTTTAGCATGGGCAAACCTAATAGAAGTCAGGTACTGGCTTGGATTTTGGCTTATAACACAATCAGTCTCTGGTCAATGACTCAATCAGGCATTACCACTGATCAGTTACTGAACTTTATGCTAAAGGACTTTAGCTCAAACAGTTCAAAGTTTCTTGAAACTTCCAAACTCACTTGAAAATTCCATGCTCTTCTTTTGGCCAACAATAATCGTCCTCCTGCTCGATAAAACTCGTCTCATTCATTTGCACTCAAATTTTTCCGGAAAAACTAGAAAGAAGAATACTTTTTATCATGATAAAATAAAAAGGAAAACCAACATTTATCTAATCTTTCAAAGATTTTTTGTGTGAGAGGGAAGTCTCTCATGTGGATATTTCCCCTTCAAGGTCATCAAATCGCAAAACGATCAACTGCAAATGAAATCCGCGTTAAACGAGAAAAAAAACAAAAGTTGATTGAAAAATTGTCGTCCCCGATGGGAATCTTTTCGCAACTAAGAATTGGGAAAAACATTGTGAGTGTGGAAATTCAACCTGAGCTCATGAATTTCTAGGCAAATTTTTCGTTTAGCAAATTTCAAATCCTACAGTTCAAAGGGCAACGAATCAATTTATATCAAACCATTAACCACAAAAATGAATTTATCTAAAACTTTAGACGAATTAAATCCGAGTTCTAATTGGTAGATAATAAAATGAATAGCTCCAATCGTTTCCTCGGTCCCGAAAACCCATGCCGTCAATACTGTAATAGTACCCCACCCCCATAATGACGGTGCGGAGTGTTGTGTGGTCTAGCTTTGAACGAGCTTTTTTCGACACTGGTCTATGCTACAATGCGCGCTTAGGTATCAAAAAATAGCCCTGAGTTTCAGCTATTTTTTACTACCAAAGACGCATTTTTTGAAAGTATGAGCGCTTTGAAAAAAATGGAATACTAAAAAACTTTTGCGACTACGCGACTGTACGAGCGGGGTGGGGTACTATTACAGTATTTACGGTGAGTACAAATCCACAGCTGAATATCTTAATTTAAGGCTGAATATCTTCATTATATAGATCAAAGTCATCCTGTAATTGAACAGAGCCGAAAGTTCGAACCAGAGAGCTCTGGCCCTCACTACTACCACAAACTCTACCACTCAGCCATTGCTGCAACTGCGGGTTTCCGGAAGACAAGGTTGAATGTCGCGGTTTGACTTTTGAAACTCCTTACAAAACTTTAAAAGCGAATAACTTGATAGAATGCTCCGTAGCAAAAACGGAAAGCAGATTCGGAATCAGCGTAAGATTCTGCCTGGTTTCTATTAATGAAAAAGATTTTTTCAGATAAAGGAAAATTTATGAAAGAGAGGACAGTTGTAGAGTGGACAGTAGTGGCTCACACCACCTAGTGATCAAAAAAAAAAGAATATTCGAATCAAAAAACACAGCTTCGATAAAAAAAATGAAATGATTTTGGGGTTATTTTTGATTTAATAAATGATTTTGAGAAAAGCAAAGAAAAAAAATGATAAAGAGTAAAAGCAATGCCTTAGTGGGAATCGAACCGAGACAGAAGCTAAATCATACTTGCTTTTCATACTATGCTCTTATCCACTCGACTGCCAGGTACCCTTTTTGTTGAAAAATTTTCCTTTTTGGGAATTTAAAAAAACTTTTTTTTCAAATATCTCGCGTTTGTGTGGTTGTTGGCAGCTCATTTTTAGCTCATTTTGATCAGCATGGTTGATTCTATAAGGTCCATACAGCTTCATAATGATTCTGAACTTCGAGCTCAGACCGTTTTCTCGTAAGCCAAATCAGTCCGGACGGTTAGATTCAGGTGCAGTGACGGCTGAACCAGCTACTTTTGTGGATTTGCAGGATTGCAGAGAAAATCGCCGATTCTTTCTGGCCTAGAACGGAAAGTTGGCTTTGGAACAACTCCTTGGCTAATAGAAACAATCTTACGCTGATTCCGAATCTGCTTTCCGTTTTTGCTACGGAGCACTCTATCAAGTTATACGCTTTTAAAGTTTTGTAAGGACTTTCAAAAATCAAACTGCGACCTTACAACCCTGTCTTCCGGAAACCCGCAGTTGCAGCCATGGCTGAGTGGTAGTGAGTTTGTGGTAGTAGTAAGGGCCAGGGCTCTCTGGTTCGAGTCCGGTAGCTCATTGTCTTTTTTTTAGGTTCTAATGTCTTGTGTGTTCTATATTGCGGACAGAGACAATGCTTCGTTGGCTTTTACGTGAATCTTTGTGAGTCTCTTTCAAAGTACACTTGAAAAAAACAGGCTTGTTTAATCTATTGGATTGGTGAATTGAAAACTGTTGGCTATTTCGCGGGACTCGCTGATAAAAAAACAACAGCATTGAACCAGCTGAAAGGGGGTTTGGTTACTTCAACATTTCCTCAAATTATTGCGAAAAAATTATGCTTCCAGCTTTTTATTTTTTGGTATTTTTCTTCACTTCTCGCTCCACGGCCCTCTGCATCTTTCAAAGATTTGTCCCCAGATCGAAACTTGGCAAACCATACTCGACACGTTCTTTCGGAAGGTGAGTCCTCCCCACTTCCAGGGGTCAGTGGTCAGTTCATGAGGCACCCAAGCCCCAAGTTTCGATTTAAATCCAAGGGTAAGAAGGTGCCTTAGCACTGTAGCATGATCTTCCGCAAATCCTTCTCCCAATTCACGCGATGACACCCGATGGTCGTTGGTAATAAGTTCGAGTAATTTGGAGCCATCCAGTTGGGGTGCCGCTCCACGGCCCTCTGCATCTTTCAAAGATTTGTCCCCAGATCGAAACTTGGCAAACCATACTCGACACATTCTTTCGGAAGGTGAGTCCTCCCCATATATCTTTTTAATATTAGCAGCTGCCAAGCCTGCACTGTGCTCTTGTAGGAACTCATGAAGCATGACATGACGAATATGTCCCGGTGGCAGATTGTCGAGTGCAATAGAAGAAGTGAAGAAAAGTACCAAAAAACAAAAAGCTGGAAGCATAATTTTTTCGCAATAATTAGAGGAAATGTTGAAGTAACCAAACTCCCTTTCAGCTGGTTCAATGCTGTTGTTTTTTATCTGTGAGTCCCGCGAAATAGCCGGCAGTTTTCAAGTCACCAATCCAATAGTTTCGGATTATTTGTTGCTAAATTTTAACCAAAGCTTCAAACCAAAATAAAAGCGATTTTGTGAAGTGTGTGAAGTTGAAGTTAAAAGCTTCTTTAGTTCAAAAATTCTTTGAAAATCGCATTGATACACTTTATTTTAAAATAATGATTCATTTCCTAAGAAATCGACTTTTTTTTGTCTGATCTAATAGGTGCAAATCGTTTCCTAACGTCAAAAACAACAAAAGACCTTTGAGTTCTTTTCGCCAAAAGAGTGACAAAGAGAAAAAGGGCAAATGGACTTTTTGTTTACCAAAAAGCAGAAAACACGTCGACTTCACGGCTCAAAAAGACAAAAAGAAAATCACAAATTTCTTCAGCATTTTCTTAAGCCTAATCCTCTATTCAAAACAAAGAAATTTCTAAATTTTATCACTTATTTTCTTTCTAATGTTTCAAAATGCTACAAAATTTACCTTGGAATGTTCAACAAGAGATTTTGAAATGTTTATCCCCTTGGGATCTCTTAAATCTTGCGAATTCTCATTTCATCTACAAAAATATTGTCTCAAATTTTCATAAACAATTTCGGATTCTGAAAAAAGAGAAAGATTTGGTGACGGCGAAGATTCAAGTCGAAATTGAGAGAAATGGACGAATCGAGTACTACGAAAGGCTTTACACCCATGACATGTGAGTTCTAGTAGGGTAAAATCGTTTAAGTATTAAATTTTACACATAATTTTGTAACTTATGCATGATTGAGAAACCCTTAAGTACTGTATTTAACTTAGAAGTTTTCAAATGTAAAAATGAATGGCAGTTATCGAGTAGAAGTTGAAGAGTTTTGCTTTTGAGCATTTTTTTAAAGTCTCAATGTCTCGAAATTTTACTTATTGCCAAATTTATCTGTTTCTTTATCTGATTTTAATACTTATTTATGAAAGGAGAAGGTTCTGAATACTAATTCTTGCATTTGAATTGAACAGTTTAAAGTTTAGATTTTAAAATTCGAATTTAAATTGAACAATTTGAAGTTTAGATTTAAAAATTCTTGAATTTGAATGAAACGATTTAAATTTAAACAATTTAAAGTTTAGATTCGTACTAAAAAGTTCCAATATCCAATATTCTTACGGTAAAAGTGTACGCCTAAAAACTTGCAGAAGCTTTAGACTGATATATTGGGCTTAAGCTTAGGTCCACTGGATTGGGATTTTAAGATAACTACTGTAAATACTGTAATAGTGCCCCCCCCCTCGTACAGTCGCGTAGTTTTTACTAAAAGTTTTTTAGTATTTCATTTTTTTCAAAGCGCCTGTACTTTAAAAAATGCGTCTTTGGTATCAAAAATAGCCCTGAATTTCAGCTATTTTTTGATACCTAAGCGCGCATCATAGCATAAGCCAGTCTCGAAAAAAACTCGTTCAAAGCTAGACCACACAGCACTCCGCACCGTCATTATGGCGGTGGGGTACTATTACAGTATTTACGGTAGGTATTCTCAAATCAAAAGCAATAGATTTCAAAACTAAATGCCTTGAATCCTTTACTTTAGCCATAAAGCCAAAATTCATCTAATCGGCGATTTTGTCAATGAAAATCTTTGCTTCTGTCGAGATGACGAGAATTTGGTGAAGAGATTGGACCACGATTTTTCTATTTTGCAATCGAATGCATCAATTGAACAGGTTACTTAAAATGAATTTAAATTAAGAATTTGCCAACCATTGTTTCAGATTGATGAAACCTCTTTGCGAGAGCTTGAAGAAACGCGTTTCTTTGTCAAACATCTCTATAATCCACTTTTTCGAACTCAAGATGAGCTGATCAAGGTGTTAAGTGAGTAAATAGGATCGTATTCTATGTATTTCTGGCGTATCCAATCCTGCTTCTTGCAGTAATGCTTACTATAATTAGCTGTAAAATGCTGGAAGTTGCTTCAAAAGAAAAAGAAAAATAAAAAGCTACAAGAGGGATCGAACCATGTTCCTGTGAGCGAGAGCCTAAAGAGTTATCTACTAAGCCACCACCATGACCACTGAGAGCCAGGAAGGAGCCTTTTACTTTAGCCATAAAGCCAAAATTCATCTAATCGGCGATTTTGTAAAGCATCCGTTTTGACGCGGAAGGAGTCTTTTGACTTATTTGATGTCAAACCATTTGAAATCATTTGACGCCAAATTTTCAATTAAAGTTTTACAAGCCTGGAAAGTCATTTGACAGATTTTGATTTCAGATTCGGATTCCTTATACCCGATTCTATAAAGTGCACTAATTGTCCAGACAAAAGCTCACCTTCAGTTCGTCCCTTTCCCTAGTTAGTCCTAGGAACTACTAGATTGGTCCATAAGTCTTTAGGCACTTTTTCTACTAGCGTTTATAAATAACAAATTCACCAATTAACCTACAATTGGTTCCATTAGAAAAGTCTATTATTTTTTCATAAAACAACGTTCGAATCTTATGAAAACCTTTTGTCTATGGTTTTTTATGAGAGCGCCGAGTCGGGTAGACAAAAAAGGCAACAGCCCGATAGCTTAGGCAAAATTAGGCGCTTTGGTCCACAGAAATCGATGTTGATGCCAAGAGATAAAAGATAAAGCGCAAAAAGTTAGGTAAATAAACGAATTTTCAGGATAATCTGTTCAGCCGTTTTCTTTGTCGAGTTTTTTATCGAATTTTACGAAAAACGAGTGTTTGTATTTGAATTTGCTCGGAAATAGATCAAATTTGGCTTGAAATGATAGAAAAGTGAATGATAAACATCTTCTATTTAGAGCAAACCTTGGTAAATTGTAGGTCAATTGATAAATTTTTCATTTATAAACGCTAGTAAAAAAAAGTGTCTAAAGAAAAGCCTAATGACAATAAGTATCCCAGAGAGGGTGTGTTTCTATTTAGAATACATTAACAATAAGAATTGAAGATGTTCTAGCCAAGCCAGACCAGGTCAGGCAAGATAGATAAGTCCAGAACCCGGCCAGAAGTCAGAGTCAGTTCCACTGCACAACTAGGCCTGGCAGAACGCTTCTTTCTGAAAAATAACTTTTGAAACAATCCTGCCGAAAACACTTTATTTTATTTACTTTATTCTATACTTTCTTTATTTGTTCAATACTTTATTTTTAAATTTAGATGCCACTTTTGCCACAGAGTTGTCTCTTTTGAAGGGTGAGATATTCTGGTGGGAAAATGAGGTGGCAGAATGCTTCTTTGCGCAGTCAAAGGTATCCTAAAATCAAGGCTAGAATTGAAAGTCCAACATTTTAGATTCAATCCCTCAATTACCTCAACTTACATTGCCGACCCGATTGGTTAACACTCTTGGAAAAGTGCCAAGCCGATAAGCTTTATCTGCGCATTTTTATGGACAATTTTATGGATCAGCTAAAGGATAAACTTATGAAGATCAAGATTTTCATTGAGGGAAAAGTCTTGGTAATGTAAAATCCCATTTTCGCGACTTAAGTTCTTCAGAAATGGTCTCAATTCGAGGCATCAATCGACACAATACATGTGCATTTGATCTTTGAAGGAGTGAGGGAAAGAGGTGTGAGGAATGCTCTGCAAAGAGGTTGATAAAGCTTTGCTGAATTTCTATTGAAAATTTAGAACTCATGAAGATAGCCATGTCTGTACTTGAGAAGTACGATTCGGCAATGATCGATCGAGAGCTTGGTGAAAGGGTTCATCTCATTCGGAGAAGAGATGTGAGTTCAAGAATCCAGGATTTTGTGTAGTGAGCAGAGTTTAAAGCATCATAATCAAGGTTTTCTCATAGTCAGAGTAAAGTTAAAGCAGAAATCCAAGACAAAAGTCAAGTGTAAGCTGAAAGGGGACATTCAGTACTGGACAATTTTTCTCCAACTTTGAAGCACTATAACTTGAGAACTATACATTGGAGTCTATAAGTATTATGGTGATCCTGAAAGCTTGAAAAAAGATCTATAAGATGGCTTATCATTTTCCAATTTGCTTTCATTTTTGACCGATTTCAGGGCGCGCAAAGCAGCGTGTCAAAAATTCACTTTTTCAACAAGCTTATCTCCGTTCAAGAGCCAATTCGCAAAGAGCTTTACCACCTGGCATGCTTGGCTTAGATTTTGAATAGATTTGTCTTGTCTTCCTTTATTTCCGTTCAAGCCTATTTCCGTTCTGCATTTAGCCATTTTCACGGGAAAACCAGACAAATCTTTTCAAAAACTAAGCCACGCATGCCAGGTGGTAAAGCTTTTTGCGAATTAGCTCTTGGACGGAAATAAACATTCTACCATTTCTTATTTCTTTCTTCAAGTTTAACTTACCTAACTAAAAGAACAAAAAAAACATTAGGTACCGCTAAAATCATACATACAGAGGCGCTCAAAATGATTCATTTCATTATCTAAACCAGCCGCAGCTGGTTTAGATAATGAAATGAACGATGCAAGACTTAGTAATCAACCTAATAGAATCAAAATCTTTTCCGTTTTAGGGCCAAGGCCTTATTATTTTGTTGGACGATTTGTCGATCTCGTTGATTACATGCGACTACGAGTTTAGAAGGTAACTTGTCGTCAGTTAATATTTGCAAAAACACACAAAAATTTAGAAAACGTCGAGCTAATCATGGAAAAGTCGTCAGCGAGCAGCTTGAATCGATCTCTCAATTAATGCAAAGAATCTATCGATACGAGATTGAGAACTACAATTGTTCATACTTCGAATCAGTGCAAGATCGGGAGATCCGGATATTCTCGATGATTGAATGTGAAAAGAAGTTGGGAGAAGAGTGTCTGAAATTCCAGAAAATGATTCAAGGAGTTCCGCAACGAGAGTTGGCGATTGATTCGGTAAGTGATCGGGAAAGAGAAATCAATTTTCTGGTTCTGCAGATGGAAAGTAAAGTTCTGCAGATTCAAAGTACAATACATAAAGCCTTTCTCTTATAATGCTTATAAGATTTGTATTCTGATTCTGCTAACAATTTCCAATCTGTTTTTTTAGTTTTGATCAAATTGAGTTCAAATCTCTATGCTCTATGCTCAATTCTAATTGTAAATGTCTAATAAATAGACATCTAAAAAATGTGACAGACAAGTGATTACAGTTTTAGATTAGTTTTAGATATTTTTAATACCTTACTACGTTAGCTAACTGAATACGAAGAGGTTTAGATCTGGTACAACGAGAAGTTTGTCTTTCTTCCCTATGTCATCGGCCCATTTATGCATGATCCAATCGAAAAGGAGTGGCCGGTAAATGGCTTTGGATTTAAAAAAGATAAACTCCGTTTTAGCATAAGCTTTTAGTTTAGTATCTTTGATTATACACAGTGATTTACAATTATAACGCCGCGCTTTAGAGGATTTTCAAGAATTTTGCCAAAATTGATTTGCTTTGATTGTTCAAAGGTTACTTTTTAACACCCAACTTTAACAACTTTAAACTTTGACTTAAACTTTAACAACTTTAATACCCAACTCCCCAATAATCAATCCAATTCAAAATCTTTTTCCACTATTTTGTAGAGGAGACTCATGACTTTGGAACAGTATACAACACTTATTAGCTGAAGCTTGCAATCTTTTTATTTTTAGAAAGATATGTGAGCGTTCCATCGCTAGTTCCATCGCTGGTTCCATCGCTGGTTCCATCGCTAGTTCCATCGCTAGTTCCATCGCTGGTTCCATCGCTGGTTCCATCGCTGGTTCCATCGCTGGTTCCATCGCTAGTTCCATCGCTAGTTCCGTCGCTAGTTCCGTCGCTGGTTCCATCGCTGGTTCCATCGCTGGTTCCATCGCTGGTTCCATCGCTGGTTCCATCGCTAGTTCCATCGCTAGTTCCATCGCTAGTTCCGTCGCTAGTTCCGTCGCTGGTTCCATCGCTGGTTCCATCGCTGGTTCCATCCTGGTCCATCGCTGGTTCCACGCAGTCCATCTTCCGTCGCTAGTTCCGTCGCTGGTTCCATCGCTGGTTCCATCACCCTAATTTCTTATAACCTTGGCATTGTTTTGATATCCAACTTTCCAGAATCATCCCCTCTGGGACTCTCACCTCCGCGCTGCCGCCGATTTCGCTCAATCCTTTGCCGAAACGAGAAATATGAATGATCTCATGGAATTTATCCCATACTGATCTGTATTTTACATAGAATATTGTACACTTTGTATATTCTTTTATCAATAAAATATTAAAGCAATCGATGATCCCTGAGCGGTGGAAAACCCGTAGAAGAACGCACAAAAAAAAATGAAACAGAAAAAGACTAATGAATTGATCAAAATAAAATAGAAATCAAAAAGAGTTCAGAAATCATTTCTTGATTGGCAAATATTCCTCAAACGGTGAGTCACCAGCACATTCGCAAATCGCTTTCCCATCCGGCGAACAAGTCCCGGACAAACGGTGACCAGCAATGCTAAAAGATAGTTTTGTTTATGAAATCTTCAATCAATATCCATTTTCTTGATTTTATTAATCAAAAGCTGCTAACCTAGACCTTAAAAAGTTCAAACTTTCAAAAACTGCTTTCAAAAAGTTCACAAAATAACAGATTTCATCAAGTTCATCGCATTCATCAAGTTTGTAAATAAATTTGCAATTAATTTGTCATTTTGAGGTGAAATGAGTATCTCAGAAAGTATAAAAAGCAAAAAAATTAGGAGATTTTCTTACCTGCAACAAATCTCCACCGAAACATATGGACTCAAAAGTGGATGACAGTGAAGCCAACATTCCGGTTCTATCACCGGCTCTTTCGCTATACAACTTTCTAAATAGTGCTATGTTTTGCGTCTTGGCATTTCAAGCAACTTTATGAATCTAATTGAACTCTAGCTTTTAGTTTCTTGCTACATTTTTGAGCTCTAACTGAGAAAAACTCTTTCAAATCATAGTACAGGGCATAATTACTGACCCAAGTTTTTAGAAATGTTTATTTTTATAAAAAACTTTCCACAAGAAATGTGATGTATTATATACTATTTGAAAGCCCTAATTCTCAGCTATATTAGCTGACAAAGAGTTTTTTGATTGGAAAAACTTTTAGATTCTGAAAGTGATCCATAATTTCAGATCTCGAGAAGGCGACAAACACTCCTCGGCACGCTACCATTTTTCTTTCTGTTCTAGAGAAGAATTCTCCCTAAAAAATCCTTCCTCAATGGCAAATTTGTGCGTAATTTATTTTATTTCAATAGTTTTCCACAAAAATGATAGGTTAAATATGTTTTCATCGCCAATTTTAGATCCATAAGGCGACTCGGGAAGAGCGCAAAGCAAATACCCCTTTCCAAACCATTTTTCTTCATTTACTAGGCAAAGATAGTTTCAAAAGAAGTTGCTCTTAATTGAATAAAGTTTTAATGCGTTTATTTGTTCAGAAAAAAGCAAGCTTGACGGGAAAGAGACGACTTTTTGCTTAAAAAGTCTCCCGCTCTGTGCCAATTCCATTTTGTGGGAAAGGTAGAAAAATCGCGAATGTTGCTTCAAAAAATTGCCGATTAAAACACATTTAACCTATCATTTTTGTGGAAAACTATTGAAATAAAATAAATTATGCACAAATTTGCCATTTTTTGCCAATGGTAGCGCGCCGAGAAGTGTTTGTCGCTTTCCCCAGTCACTTTAAGGATCTGAAAGTTTTTCCAATCAAAAAACTCTTTGTAAGATATTATAGCTGAGCATTAGAGCTTTCAAATGGTATATAATGTATAAAAATTCTTTTGGAAAGTTTTTAGAAAATTAGGTTTTTCTAAAAACTTGGGTCAGTAATTAGGTGACAAACACTTCTCGGCGCGCCACCATTTTTCTTTCTGTTCGAGATAAGAATCCTCCCTAAAAAATCCTTCCTCAATGGCAAATTTGTACATAGTTTATTTCTTTTCAATAGTTTTCCACAAAAATAATAGGTTAAATATGTTTTAATCGCTAATTTTTGAAGCAACATTCGCGATTTTTCTCCCTTTCCCACAAAATGGACTTGGCGCAAAGCGGGAGACTTTTTAAGCAAAAAAATCGTCTCTATTCCGTCAAGCTTGCTTTTTTCTGAACAAATAAACTTATTAAAACTTTATTCAATTAAAAGCAACCTCTTTTGAAACTATCTTTGCCTAGTAAACCAAGAAAAATGGTAGCGAAAAGGGGTGTTTGCTTTGCGCTCCTCCCGAGTCACTTTATGGATCTAAAAGTTTTTCCAATCAAAAAACTCTTTGTCAGTTAATATAGCTGAGAATTGGGGCTTTCAAATAGTATATAATACATAACAATTCTTGTCAAAAGTTTTTTAGAAAAATTGGTAAAACTGGTACTCATGGTAAAACTCACTGATACTCTCAACACCGCCAATCAACAACAATATCAAGAAAATCATCGTCTAAAGCAACAATTTGAAATCAATAAATGAGTACAGTTGACGCAAAAGTTTGAAAATGAGAAAAGTAATAGGTTCAACTTTGGGGTGGAAAGAGACAAAAGTTCGGCTAGAGAAAAATGATCGGATGAAATGATTTCGGTGAATCAAAAACGTTTTTTTTTCCTTCTTTACTTACAAAATGTTCTCTTTTTTTGGCTCTTTCACCAAATTTTTCTCATTTTCTCTCTGATTCAGCGGGGGTTAATGAAAGAAAAAACGCGTTGCACGTGCGAAAATTTCTCTCGTTTTTCTCATTTTTAAATAGTTCCCTGGGTTTTTCATTGAATTTACAGTTTTTCTGTGTCTCTGCGATTCTTTTTATATAAAATTCTCTAATTTAGTAATTCTCTTTCTTTACTAGTTTCCTTTGACTAGTTTCTTTGGACTTTTGGACCGACAAACTCGAGTAAGGAGCTTCACAAAAACAACGGATCTCATGAAGGGGCTTGAGAAAGAATAGACTAAGATCCAAAGATAAATCATTGATAATTTCATTGATTTGATGCCTAATAGATGAAGTTATTAAAGCCAAATGATATGCCAGTTTGATAAAGATTCATTTTCTTTCATTTTTTGTTAAATAAACGGTTTGTTTGTTAGATGATTCCAAACTTTTGGGCCACTTAAAAAGGAGTGATTACAGAAAAATCACAAAAATCAAAAGAAAAACGTAAGCCAGAGCAAAAACACAAATGAATATGGAATCTAGACAAAAATTTGGATATAAAAACTATGAATTTGGTTTTAATTTGGTTAATGAATTTGCAAGCGATTTTGTTAGCGTGCTGCGCGGTGATTTCGAACTTTTTGACCCTACTCTAGTTTGATTTGATATAAAAGAACAAAATATTTAGTTTTAGCATGAACTTTTAGTGTTTTTGATTATAATTTTAAGTAGCTTAACGTTGTTTTTATATCCAACTTTCCAGAATCATCCCCTCTAGGACTCTCACCTCCGCGCTGCCGCCGATTTCGCTCAATCCTTTGCCGAAACGAGAAAAAATATAGATGCGATATTGAATGCTAGACCATCCAATCTGGTCTAGCATTCAATATGGCCTAGCATTCAATATGGCCTAGCGTCCAATCTGGTCTAGCATTCAATCTGGTCTAGCATTCAATCTGGCCTAACATTCAATCTGGTCTAGCATTCAATCTGGTCTAGCATTCAATCTGGCCCAGCATCCAATATGGCCTAGCATTCAATATGGCCTAGCGTCCAATCTGGTCTAGCATTCAATCTGGTCTAGCATTCAATCTGGCCTAACATTCAATCTGGTCTAGCATTCAATCTGGCCCAGCATCCAATATGGCCTAGCATTCAATATGGCCTAGCGTCCAATCTGGTCTAGCATTCAATCTGGTCTAGCATTCAATCTGGTCTAGCATTCAATCTGGCCTAACATTCAATCTGGCCTAGCGTCCAATCTGGTCTAGCATTCAATCTGGTCTAGCATTCAATCTGGCCTAACATTCAATCTGGCCTAGCGTCCAATCTGGTCTAGCATTCAATCTGGTCTAGCATTCAATCTGGCCTAACATTCAATCTGGCCTAGCGTCCAATCTGGTCTAGCATTCAATCTGGTCTAGCATTCAATCTGGCCTAACATTCAATCTGGCCTAGCGTCCAATCTGGTCTAGCATTCAATCTGGTCTAGCATTCAATCTGGCCTAACATTCAATCTGGCCTAGCGTCCAATCTGGTCTAGCATTCAATCTGGTCTAGCATTCAATCTGGCCTAACATTCAATCTGGCCTAGCGTCCAATCTGGTCTAGCATTCAATCTGGTCTAGCATTCAATCTGGCCTAGCATCCAATATGGCCTAGCATTCAATCTGGCCTAGCATTCAATCTGGTCTAGCATTCAATCTGGCCCAGCATCCAATATGGCCTAGCATTCAATATGGCCTAGCGTCCAATCTGGTCTAGCATTCAATCTGGTCTAGCATTCAATCTGGCCTAACATTCAATCTGGTCTAGCATTCAATCTGGCCCAGCATCCAATATGGCCTAGCATTCAATATGGCCTAGCGTCCAATCTGGTCTAGCATTCAATCTGGTCTAGCATTCAATCTGGCCTAACATTCAATCTGGCCTAGCGTCCAATCTGGTCTAGCATTCAATCTGGTCTAGCATTCAATCTGGCCTAACATTCAATCTGGCCTAGCGTCCAATCTGGTCTAGCATTCAATCTGGTCTAGCATTCAATCTGGCCTAACATTCAATCTGGCCTAGCGTCCAATCTGGTCTAGCATTCAATCTGGTCTAGCATTCAATCTGGCCTAACATTCAATCTGGCCTAGCGTCCAATCTGGTCTAGCATTCAATCTGGTCTAGCATTCAATCTGGCCTAGCATCCAATATGGCCTAGCATTCAATCTGGCCTAGCATTCAATCTGGTCTAGCATTCAATCTGGCCCAGCATCCAATATGGCCTAGCATTCAATCTGGCTTAGCATTCAATCTGGCCTAGCAGTCAATCTGGCCATTCAATAATTCAAAAGCCTAGCATTCAAAATATTTCAATATTCAATCTGCTAGCTGGCCTGTTTGAACTTTCAACCGATAAGTGGCTAAATACCAACAGAACCCAAACGTGTTGCCTCTTAAAAGTCTCTAGCATTCAATAATTCAAAAGCCTAGCGTTCAAATGAATTCAATATTCATTCTGATATTGATTCTTATATTCTTATATTCAACGTTGATATTGACTTTGATTTTTAGCAGATTCTTATATTTATAAGGCTAAATTTCTACTCTTCAAAGGCTAGTTTTAATTTCAGTATGTCCTCTACACTGAAAACGGTTTTGACGACATGATTGAGCCAAGCAAAAAGGGAATTCGTTTTATTTTATTCACTGAGCCCAATCTTTTTTCTCTGGCTATGAGTTTTCCAACTTCAAAAACCCTATATTTCCACGTTTTTTTTCTTTATTTTTACTACCTCTTTGCAACTTTTCCGTTCTCAAAATCTCCCCATTTCCCCTCATGATCTACTTTTTTCAATGGTTTTTCCAAGTTATCCCTTTTGTTTTTCACCTTTTTTCAAACTCAATTGCCAATTTTAGAGAAAAAAAAGATGAGATCAAATTTTTGAAACATCGTCATGAGATTGGGATGAGATAGGAATCTTTGTCATGAGATTTTCATTAAAGAGAAATGTTTGTTTTTATTTCCCCGAAATTTAGAGCTCATTTTATGATTAAAAGAGTTGACAGCAGTTGACAGCATTGAGAGTTCGCTTGGGAAAAGGGTTTTTGCGAGAAAAGTTGTGGCTTGTTGAGGTTGAGGAAATGATAATGAAGCTCAGTCTCAGTTCTAAGACTAAGCTGATTTTAAATCGAACTAATAAAATCTAAAAAATATAGACGGTGAAGGCGGCTGTATAGGCTTCCTAGACCTGGGACCTGGGCCATGAACCGGTCCACTAGGGCGGGATCGAACCCAGGTCTCTAATTCAGCCTCTAATTCTAGAGACAGCCACACTGGCGCTGCGCCACCCCGTATGCGGGGTTACCGGAGAACTTTCGGAACCGGAGAATTCCCCGGAACTGGTAACCCTCCAGAAACGTAAGTTTTTCGGCGTATACAGCGTTGTCGAAGGATTTCCGCCATCGGAGAGCTTTTCCAGGAAAGCTGGAAAGCTTTTATGCCGGAAATGTTTCTATTGGAAACTCTCCGGCGAGAACTTTTCCAGTAAACGCTCATGGGACTGCCGACAACGCTGTCGAAGGATTTTTACTTTCCGGTAGCTTTTCCGCCGGACGTTCTTCAGTAACGCTGCATACCTCTAGCCTGTCCTAGTACAGAAACTTAGAAAGCTTCTGCTTGAGTCTGTTCTATTTGCAAATGGAAAAGTGTGAGCAAATCAAACTTACAATGGAAACACATCTCATTGCTAAATTTTCTACGATTTTGAAAATCAAAGAAAATTATAGAAAAACCAAATGAAAACAAATGAAACAAATGTAAGCAAAGAACCAAGAACCTTTCACTAAATTTCATTTTACAAGTTAGAGAGTTGTTTATTTCGGGAAAATAGATAAAATCTGATCTCATTTTCTAAAAGAAAACACGAGGTTTCTGTTCTACTTTTGCAAAAAAAGTAAAAAGGGTTTAAAATTTATGACTAAAGAGGAAATTTCAACTAAATTGTAATCAAGTAGTTGTAAAAAAACTAAAATGACAGCTTTTTAGCATTAATTCATTGATAAGCATTCTAGGAATTCATGATTGAATCAAAAAAAATACATTATAAGTGATTTAAATTGTCAGAAACGAACTTTTAACTCAGTTTTCCAGCCGTGACTTGTTTCCCATGCAAATTTCCATATTAAGCAGAAATATTTTAAGAGAAAGGCAAAAGAAAACTTTTGATTGTTATGCTAAGGTCAAACAAAGTATTACAAAAAAAGAAACGTTTTCAGAACATTCACTTTTTGATTGAGGAAAATTTCCTGGACGAAATTTTTTTGCTAGACGTTTACGAAAGAATTCGTAATCAGCTAGTCGTTTACGAATAAAATGTTTAAATGTAAATTGAATGCTTGAATGCCACTGCTTGAATGCCAACAACATTTTTAATCAATGATTTCAAATTCATTTTCTTTTTGCCTTTTTTAATTATTCTTTGATTTTATTACATATTCATTTGTTTTTTCTCAGGATGGATCCTTTTCTCAATCAACTTGACGCGTATAGTTTGGGGTGCGATCCGCTTTAACCTTATCATCGGGGATGACTTTGCTTCCGAGTAGCCGAGTAGCACAAAAAGGTTAAAAGGGTTTCCCCAAAACGCCCCTGGTTCCAACGCTTTCGGAATGGTGATAAAAGTCTCAAGAATGATAAACACTTACCTCAAGCTTCTTTCGTCGACCTCAAGCGGTAGACAACGATACTTTGAGGGCTGCAATCGAATCGGATCCATGTCAAACGACGCGTGAACTTGCTCAACAGTTTCTATGCTCAAATTCTACCATTGATGAGCATCTCCATGCCATTGGAAAGGCGATCAGATACGGGAAATCGCTTCCTAGATCAGATGCGGGAAATCGATCGGGAAAATGTCTAAGTAGTGCAAACGCTCGTTTATATCCGAACAATCTAATAGTTTGAAATCGAAAACCCGGTGAACTCAGTTGAATAAAGCCATTTTTGCAGAAGAATAGCATAGATCAAATTAGAATACAGAGGAAATTTGCATTTAAACATGCCATTCGTAAACGGCTAGCCGATTACAAATGATTTCGTAAACGACTACAACATAAACATAGAAAAAAAGAACTAATCTAGCCGACGGGATTGAACCCTTGACCTCCCCACTAAGATCTAGGGCTCTTAGCTAGTCGACCATAGCGCCATCATGACATTTACTAGAAAGAGTGCTTTTATTTCTAATTTGCTTCTATCAATTAGTCAATCCCATTGCAATTTTTCATTTTCTGCTTTATTTTTTTTCCTTTTAATGACTCAAAGTTTTCCTTGTGACCTTTGATCTCGTCTAACCAAAATTTTTATGAATTCGCATCCAAAAATGAGACAAAACATCCATGTTTTTTCGAAAATCCCTCATCTTTGCCCAAATGCGTCAAAATATTCTCAAAACCTCTATAAATTCATCGAATTCTGAGTCATTTTTCGTGGAATTCTTGCATTTCGACATTTGACAATGAGATCTCTCATCGTCTTTTTCTTGCTATTCGCCATCGCCTTGGCGGTGAGTTCAGCGATTTGATTTTTGGTGCTTTGAGTCATTTTGGTATTTAGAAACAATTCGTACTTGTTTTTCCTATCAACTCTTTTCACGCAAAATTATTATTTACAAATTTACTGCACAGTTAAGATGCAGATTTATGTGGATTGGAGTAAAGAGACCCGAAAAACTTGCAGAAGAAATCCTTCTAGCGGAAATACCTAAACAAAGTACTGTTCTCTCAGTTTTGTAGAAAAATATAGAAAAATTTAAGATAAAAATTGATCCCAAGATTCGCCGCTTTGGGCATAGTGACGCCCAAAGCGGCGAATCAGCTCAGTCGTTCACTGCTCACTGTTTATGAAAAGGAAGATAAAAGTTAGCTTGAAATTCGTAGACAATTCATAGACAATTCGTAGACAATTCGTAGACAATTCATAGACAATTCATAGACAATTCATAGACAATTCGTAGACAATTCGTAGACAATTCGTAGACAATTCGTAGACAATTCGTAGACAATTCGTAGAGAATACGGATTCGAAAAGAGAAGTCACCTATATCCGAGGGGTATGTCAAACGGTGAGCAATAGGCTGCACCACAGAGAACATCTCGAGCCCTTTTTGCACAGGATTTCTGAGCCTTTCATTTTATTGAGTCGAATAATTGGAACTGACTAAAAGAGAGTCTGAAGTGTGCTCTTTAAAACTAGATAAGAAGATAACAAGCTATAAGAAGCTAACAAGAAGCTATATAAGAAGCCAACTCTAACTCAACTCAATTACTCATTCAAAAACTTCTACAAATAAAGTATTCGTTTCAGCAACGCGGTGGTCACAGACGCGGAAGTCACAGTCGAGGAAGTGACGAACACGGTTGGTGTTCAAGGAGCATAAGAAAATTTGCCTTTAAAGAAACATTCTAAGCTTCAAAATCTAAGCACAAACAAAATAAATCCATAAAAACATTTAATATCGCATTTCAGATGATGACCATCACGGCCATGGCCACGGCGGTCGACCACGTTTCCCGTTCCCGTTCCCCAGACCACAAGAAGTTTGTCATTGTAAGTTTTAAAAGTATACAGGGTGGGCCAAAATTATCGTTACATATAAAAAGTCTCTGTATAAAAAGCAACTCAAAAGGTCAAAGATTTTTCTTAAAAATAACTTTTATCTCATAACAATTTATAAAAACTATTCCTTTTCAAAGAGATCTCCAATAGCTTTTACACAGGCGTCCAAACGTTGTAGAGAAGCGTCGATCGTGGCGAGAAGGAGATCCAATTCTGCGTAGGTATAGGAGTATAGGTATTGTATAGGTAAGGTACAGGAGATCCAGCTCTTTCCAAGCCTTTTCGAGCGCTTTTTTCAAACTATCAACAGATTTGTGTGGTTGATAGCGTCAACTGATAGCATTTGTGATTTATTTTTCTTGTAGACCTTTAACTTGAGCTTGTTTTTGATGATTCTTCTAAGGGATTTTCGCTTAATCCCCATTTTTTGTGACATTTTCGGCACCGATTAGTTTGGCGTTTCCAACAGGCGATGCCTCACTTTTTTTTTGACATTTGCTGAAGTTGTTACCGTTCGCTTTTGTTCCATTTCGCTTTCTTCCATTTTGCTTTCTTCCAGTTCGCTTTCTTCTATTTCGCTTTCGCATTTGCGCGTGAGTGAGCATTGTGACGGTAATTTTGGCCCACCCTATACATCTATTGTGACACAAACAAATACACAACTCAACACAAAACCACTTAAAGTTTAAATAAATTTCCATATAACTAATCAAATAGGATTCCGATTTCAGCCTGCGTTCGTCAGCCACTCTTCATCTCGAGCTTCAGCAGCCAGAGCCCATGCGTTTTCCAACCCGGCACACAGGTTGGATGAGTTAATAAAGATTAAAAAGTCTAATGAAATTGTGATGGATCAATTCATTGATCTTAATGGATTAATTCAAAAATCAAAGTTCATTCATCACTTTTTTAGCTCTCATGCACTTCGTGCTGTCAATCAGTGGCCTCACAACAAAGCTGGGGAGTGGTGGGTTACTAGATCATTTACAAACTATTTAATAACGAAAAAATGATCAAAACTTTCAATTTCAATTCTTCTTTATTCTCAATCACGACTTTTTACAAGTCACACATAGTGAATAGGCTAATTTTCGTGTTGTAACTAGGCAACGTTTGACGCCACACAGAGAGAAATGTGCAAAGAAAGAGAATAACTTTGTTTTTGTGTTTAAAAAGGCTAAATTCTGAAAATAAACGGATTACAAAGTATCTTAAATGTAACTTCAATGTCTGACTAATTGAAACAACGATTTAGGATACATTTTAGGCGAACTTTTAAGTGCTTGCTTTGTCGAATGAACCCCATAACTTGACAATTTTACAATCTCTTTTTGGTTTTAATCAGACATCGGGGATTTTAGATTGGTTTTAGATTTTAGATTGATTTTAAATTTAGATGAAAGCTGGCTTAAACCATTAGAAAATCCCTGCTTAATCTAGTTTGATTTTAAATTGACAAAATAGGAAAGAGCCTGACTAGGTCTAGTCTTACATGAGTGTACAAAAAGAATGCCAGGTCTGCCCTATGAGCCAATCGTGAAGTACTTCTTTTTCTAAGTAAAAAGAAGCTAAATTTATCGTACTAATAGCTAAACTATAAAATTCTACGGCTCTTCCGCCAGTCAAGAACTAATTTATTCAATTAAAAGCCTCTTAACCTCATGAACCACTTTTAATATCCAAAGTCCGATACCTGAACGTGATCTTCTGGCATTTAATCCAAGACTAAAGTCCAAGCCTCGTACTGGCTGAAGAATCCTTTGTACTGGCTTTAGCGCGAGTACTTTCTGTACAAAGTTGTTGATTATATGCGCCCGCAGTTTACGCTAAAAAAGGTTTATTAAAATACATTTTTTTTTTTTTTTTTTTTGTACAGAGGTTTAATTACCCAAGTTTGAGATATGCAAATGCCGTTAAAAATGCCCAACATGACGGTGAAAAAGTTGATGAATGTACGCCATCCGTTTCATCCGTTGTCGCCGCCACTCGAACCCACCAAGCTGCCACTTCTCCAGGAGGACGTTGCCTTCGCGAAAACACTCTCTTCCGACTATCATCTAGTTGTCGAGGGGCTCCCAGAACCCAATATACACTCCTCTCTGTCACCATACTTAAGAAGGGCAGCCGATCGCTTCCTTCTGGACTCAATATTGGCCGGCTATGGAATGGATGCTACGATTCTTCAATCTTATCGAATGGGCATCTTTTCTTTGCAACATCCTCGTCCAATAAAAGTGATTTTTGCTTCTTCTCACGGTGCCTCCAACTTATTGTCTTCTTTTCGCCTTCAACGCAAAGATCTTTTACCTTGGTACGCTCGTCTAATCAATGTTCGTCGTTCTGATCCTTTTCGTCCAAAAGGAATCGGCATTATTGATGACTCCGTTAAAGAAGCTAAGCAACTCAAAATTGCTCCAACTCGGAACTCAAAGGACGTCGAGATGGCCGTTATAGGAGTTGTAGAGGATACAAGACCATTAAATATAATTGCGAAGCCACCGCCTGTTACTTTGCCTAAACCAAGAGGTCGACCACCAAAACGGGCAAATGCCGTCATCATCTCCCCTAATGGAACACACCTGAAGAAAGCCCACTCGATGTCAGACCTGAACGGACCAGTTGCCAAGAGTTTTCGCAACTCAAAGGATGTATTTGCCCATCCTTCTCAACGAAGAAACGAAAAAACTCGTAAGAAGTTGCATAAAAAGGTTTCAAGCTCCCAACCGACGCCAAATGATCTCATTTTCCCCGAAGAAGTCTGATTTTAGTTGTTCCTCAATCCTACCTAGTGTTTATCTTACAAATGCCCACAGTCTAGCCTCCAATAGCAATAATCGACAAATTTAATGTCTTTTTATCTTAATTTTATTTGATTTTATTTGATTTTATTTGAATTTTGTTTGAATTTTGAATGAATTTTGAATGAATTTTGATCAAATTTTGATCTTTTTGAATTTTGAAGGAGAGATTTGCTTTTTTGAACTAAAAACTTTACAGCATCGTCACTTTGTCATTGATTTAGTCGAAACTTTCAAAATCCTCCGTTGTAAACAGATTAGCCCTTTGTTTATAGACTTTTTAAAATTTAAACCGCGGTCAGGGCCCAGAAGTGGCTCATTCCTTTTGCAAATTCCCTTTGCTTCCAATGCCTCTTTATCAAATTGATTTCCCGTTAGAGCCGCTAGATTATGGAACTTGCTCCCAAACGACATACGAGAAATTCAGTCGCTTTTCATATTCAAGAAACGTATCGATGCTTTAGATCTAGTGGCTCTTTGCCGTAAGTAATTGGCTTATTGATTTCAGTATGTATTGTATGATTAAGTATCACTGTGCATTTCTCTATGATTTCTTTCACTTTATCGTTTGAATAAAGTATTATTATTACATGAAAAATCATGACTGTTTAAATCCCAGTGTCGCAATATCCATTACCATATTTAAACCACGATCAGACACAATAGCGCAGATTTTGTGTTGAATTCCGGCTTCACTTATGACCTCTTCGGCAAAGCTTTGCAACTACCGTTGTCTCATTTAAACATTTTATTGTTTACGTTAAAAAGGTTTAAAATACATGGAAAATCATTATTGTTTCAATTCTAGTTTCGCAATACCCTTTACCATATTTAAACCACGATCAGACACAATAGCGCATACTTTGCCTTGAATTCCAGCTTCACTTACCGTAAATACTGCTCCCCCCCCTCGTACAGTCGCGTAGTCGCAATAGTTTTTTAGTATTTCATTTTTTTCAAAGCGCCCGTACTTTCAAAAAATGCGTCTTTGATATCAAAAAATAGCCCTGAATTTCAGCTATTTTTTGATACCTAAGCGTGCATTGTAGCATAAACCAGTGTCGAGAAAAACTCGTTCAAAGCTGGACTACGCAACGCCCCGGACCGTCATTATGGCGGTGGGGTACTATTACAGTATTTACGGTATGACCTCTTCGACAAAGCTTTGCAACTACCGCTGTCTCATTAAAACAATTTCTTGTAATAATAAGCATCGGGAAAAATACCTCTCTGTTATTTCCTTTAGCGCCAGCACATTATCATTTTACCCTCAATCTTTTAAAGACTCTCTAGGGAAAATTAATTAAAGGTACACTTGCATATCTGAAATGAAAAAGAACAAAATTTATTTGAAAAATAGATCAAATGCGTAGTTGATGTGAGCTAAACGTTCAAAATTCTAACTTTCATTTCCAGCAATACCGTGGCGCCTTCTTGATGCAATTCGGCTCACAATGGAGCTGCTCGTGTTGCTTTGACACTTTCAACTGTCGACAATAGATGAAAAAAAATGAGACCAACGATTTTATAAATAAATACAAATAAATATCAAATTAATTCAGTACAAATCTCAATTTTTCTTCATTACCATTTTTTTTTGAGGAATCGTGTCAACATCGCTAAAGCTTTGATTTTCGAAATAATCTTTAAAAGTTACAGTGTGGGATTCCCGCTTAGACAAGCCATATTGAGATAAACAATAGCTCGATCCATTAAATGTTGTGTGTACTCTTCAACAAATTCAGTTGATCCGATCAAGCCGAACTCCTCAGAGTCCCAATTTGCGAACAGAATTGTTCTAGCTGAAAGAAATATTTTTTTATTGGGTTGGTGAATTGAAAACTGCGGGCTATTGTCATATGTGACAGTTTGAGTACTTTCTTCAAAAGAAACCCATTTTGGTGTCAATGGAAAGGTTGTAGAGAATCAAAAATTAAGCTTATATCCAAATTTTCAGAACGATTCAAAAACTGGTTTTCAAGAAATGCCAAATTTACGAATTTTTACAAAACTTGCATTTTAATCGAAACTACTAAATGTATCTTTTTGGAAATTTGGCTATAAGCCTAATTTTTGATTCTCTACAACTTTTCTATTGACATCAGAATGGGTTTCTTTTGAAGAAAGTGCTCAAACTGGGACATCTCCAGTCCTCCATTTTTGAGTCTCACACTTGTCTCACACACAAACCAAAATCCTACTACGAAAGAGGAATCCGCAAATTGCCTGTAAAATGGGCAGAAGTCGTCAATAATAATGGAAATTATTTGGAATGAATTCATGGTTTTATGTTGAATAAATCTTAGTTCAAAGTCCGGCAGTTTTCAATTCACCAACCCAATAGGTAAGCACCAGCACAAAAGACACTAATTTTGAAAAAGTAGCTTATTGATTGTTAACGTTAGGCTTATTGATTAGTGTGTTTCCTTTTTAGCATTAAAATTGTACAAAATGAGCTCTAAATCGAGTAATCTGCTGGTTTCCATAAATATTGAAAAGCTAATTTATTGCTAATTTATTGAGCTTTACTTTCATTGAATATCTGATATCAACGGATTCAATCGAAACGGTGAAAAGAAAACTTCAGGATCGAATCGGTTATTCACCAGAACAACAAAAGCTTTCCTATAAAGGTAAGTGAGTGAGCAGATGGTTTTGAATCGAAAAGTTTTTCGATTCAAAACTACGAAAGAGGAATCCGCAAATTGTCTGTAAAATGGGCAGAAGTCGTCAATAATAATGGAAATTATTTGGAATGAATTGATGGTTTTATGTTGAATAAATTTTAGTTCAAAGTCCGGCAGTTTTCAATTCACCAACTTAATTAGAATCTTCTTTGAAAATCTGCTCCAAATCACAATTTTTCTTCATTACCATTTTTTTTGAGCGAATTTTTTCAAATCACACAAACTAAATCCTTTCATTTCCCCGAAAGCCATTTAATAAAAAGAAATTTCTTGAAGAAATAATTATTTCTCCGTTAAAGTTTGAAGTAAAGCGCTACTTTTGAGATTAAAGTTTTTTCGTTAGTTGATTTTTTGTCCAATTTTTCTTCGATTCTTTGTGTGACAATGGTTGATCGGAGGAAATCTAATCACGTCGGTGAAAGAAAATGAGATTGAGAACGCGGTGTTCATTAGCTACAGTTTCTCCGTGATGTTTGATGAAATTTTCTTCACAATTCCAACAATTTCTAGTCCTATTTCCCGCTTCTTATTGGTTTTAAAATAGTGTTCCTTTACGTTTTATGACACTTTTCACTTTTCAACACTTTTCAACTTCAACACTTTCAACACTATTCAATTTTGTTGCTAAACAGTAATTAAACTTAACAATTTTTATACTACTGGTGAAAAACAGAGTTTTTTTGTGTTCTGTATTTGAAATAAAAACGCTGACACACTCAAATTTTTCTTTTCGGACAAAAACAAAATGTCTCTTGTCCATTTTCCGGGTGTGAGCGGACTTTGAACCCAGAACTTTTTCTAAATCATTTTCCATTTCACTTTTTCCATTACGTAACTTTGACACTTTTGCAGACTTTGCTAGCTTTAAAATGAAACAAAATAAAGCTAAATTAGTTCACTCAATGCTGAGAAAATTCAGTGATCTGATAAGTTCAAAATAGCAGTAATCCAAAATATCTAGCTTTCAAAACTGTAGTACTAAGAATTGCTGACTGAAAATGGCAACTTTTGATACAAGAAGTCGTTTCAGTCGGATCCAAACATCAGTAGTAGACATGGACACTACAAACTACAAGCCCAAACTACCAACCCTTGTAGAAACGCGTAGAATAGAGATTTTTCAAAACTTTCTTTACCAAAAGATTGGGCCAACTTTAGGCTTTCGAATGACACCAAAATCCAATGAATCAATCCATCATTTTCACCCTGAGGACGAGCCATTTGTAGTTGTTTGTAGTCTCGTCCTATAGAAAAACCTGGAAACCTGGAAAAAACGTTATATCTCAGCGCTGAAAACGTGATTTAGCCTGATTTTGGTGTCATTCGAAAGTCTAAAGTTGGCCCAATCTTTTGGTAAAGAAAGTTTTAAAAAATCTCTATTCTACGAGTTTCTACAAGGGTTTAAAGTCTGGTCCTGTAGTTTGTATTAGCACAACGATGTCTTCAGAATTTTAAACATTGTACGGACTTTTGTTGGGGCTAAACTACTTCGAAATCAAATCTAAAGCAAGCAAAGTGCCATAAACATTTCGCAATTGAGAAAACGTTAGCCAAGGATGATAGCCACTTGACTATAATCCCGAAAATCATTTTTGCAATACCAGTTTCAATTGCTTTCAATTGCTTTGTAAATATTTTTCTTCCCTTTCAGAATACGCCCAGAATTTGGCTTATTGGGAAATTATTTATTTTACGTGTTCACCTGTCCTTTTGGATTGATGGCTTTGTTGATTTCATTAATCTCTGAAAGACTGTTGATTTCATTAATCTCTCAAAGACTAGCTGTTTCCAGAAATAGTTAGCTGAATGGATTAGTTTAGAATGTTGTTAATAACTAGTTAAACTTTACAGCTTTACTTCTTTTGCTTTACTTCCAAGCTTTCAGCGGCTTGAACCTCTTGATTTCATTAATCTCTGAAAGACTGACCAAAACCTAGCTGTTTCCAGAAATAGTTACCTGAATGGATTAGGTTAGAATGTTGTTAACAACTAGTTTGACTAGTTAAACTAGTTAAACTTTGAAGTCAATAATTGTAGATTTTTGACTGGTTTTTACAAACTAATTTTCCATAGATTTCTCCAAAAATTCTTTCCTAGAAGCAATTATTATTATTTGCCGTGTTTTTCACTTTGAAACCCTTTATTAAAATTCAATTCAATTCCTCATTTCATGTCTTAATATTTTTGTTCAAGTTTCTAAAAGGAAAGACAGATTTTGTCGACTTTTTCCTAAATAAAATCTTTGAAGTCAATAATTTATCTTAATAAGCATTTCGTCAATATTTTTCTTCCCTTTCAATTTAGCTTATTGAGAAATTCTTTATTTTACGTGTTCACCTTTCCCTTTTGATTGATGGCTTTGTTGATTACGCTACACTTACTACACTTTAATATAAAAACATAGGGAAAATTTTGGTCAAAGTTTGACTACCTACCTGAAAGGGTCGATCCACTTAAATGGTCCATAACTCAAGATGTAAAAGTTGAATCAACTCATGGTTACTTTTATTAGAATCTACATTAAATTTGAGTAAAGAAATATAGAATCTGCTTTGTAGACTTACCGATAAAAACATAGAGAAAATTAAGGTCAAAGTCGAGATAAGTTCCTCAGAGACTTACTTGACCCCCCTCAGAGAATCTGAGTATGATGACTTTTCTCTTTTCCTCCATATCTCGACTTCTAATTGTCGAATCGACTTGTGGTTGCTTTTAAAATGTTCTTTATGAAATTTCGTTATAGAAAACCACAATTTATTTAGTACAGACTAGTGTAAAAACATTTCACTCAAAGTCAGACGACCTACCTGAAGGGGTCCATCATTAATCTCTGAAAGACTGACCAAAACCTAGCTGTTTCCAGAAATATTTACCTGAATGGATTAGTTTATAATGTTGCTAACAACTAGTTAAACTTTACAGCTTTACTCCTTTTGCTTTACTTCCAGGTTTTCAGCGGTTTGAACCTCTTTACAACGTACTTTTTGCTCAACAAAATTTCACTTCTAGTGCATTAAAGTAACGCAGTTGTTAATTACGATACCTTTTAAAAGTTGAAAAGTTTTGAAAATGCATCACTCGAGAGAAATCTATAGACGATAGTTCCAAAGATATTTTTCAAGTTAAATTAAGCCAGATAGTCCAGAAACTAGGCCAGAAGGTAGGTTCTAGCAAGCCTTGTTTTGTTGTCCTGTTAGCCTTGTTTGTTCTGAAAAGATTGCTTTTGAAATAGTCGAATCTGGCTAGGCCTGACATATAAAAAGTCTCTGAGCTTTCAGAAACCAAAGCCTGGGCTAAACCTGGGTTTCAAATCGAGTCGAAGCGAATCGGTTCGTTCTATTTTCGAATCGAATCAGTCCAACTCGATCCGATTCGACAATTTGAAGGTTCCGATCCAAACAAACGGCAAATTAATGTTTGACCGTTCAGATCTCGGTTTCTAGAATAGCTATTAATATGCTAATTGTTTCATTGCAAAGCCAAGAATGTCAGCTTTTGATTGCCATTTTATACAGTGACTTTTAATGAGTCAGCACCTCATAAACCTGATCGAGATCGAATCAGTCTGGACCAAAAACGATTCGATTCGAAAAAGGGCCGAAAACCAGGTCTAGCCTGAGCGTGCTCTGGTCTGCCTGACAATTAGACTTTGCTTATCAATATTATCGATACAAACGATAAGCTCATGTTTGATCGTTAAGATCTCGGTTTTTATAAAAGCTATCAATCTGAAACTTGTTTCATTGGAAAGCCAAGAATGTCAGCTTTTGATTGCCATCTCACACATAGCAAATTCTCATAGATGAGTGCCTTAAAAAGCTTATCAATACTTATCGATACTCAAATATCGATAAGCTTATCGAGAATCGATACTTTCGATATCGATCAGCTTCATGAGCTGCTTACTCATTAAAAGCCGCTGTTTAAAATGGCAATCAAAAGCTGGCATTCTTGGATTTACAATGAAAGAATTTTCAGGTTGATAGCTGTTCTAGAAACTGATTTCTGAAGGGTCAAACATGAGCATGCCGTTTGTATCGATAATATCGATAAGCAAGTCTAATGACAAGACTTAGAACCCAGTTGACAAGACCTAGAACCCAGTTTTCTGATAGCTGTTCTAGAAACTGAGTTCTGAAGGATCAAACATGATCATGCCGTTTGTATCGATAATATCGATAAGCAAGTCTATTGACAAGACCTGTCTATTGACTAGAACCCAGTTGAAACATACTTCTATCAATGACTTCAAAGTTAAACAAAGATATCCAAAAACTCCTATCATTATTGCTATTTTTAGATCGTTTGAGCATTTTTAAACTGCTCAAGTTGCTCAAAATTTGCGTAGATGCAAGCTTACGTCAGCAAAGTGAAAACCTAACATCACAGTTCCACCTTTCTCAACTATATTTTATTCTTTGGTTTTCTCAAATTGAATAAATTGAATAACCCGCACTGAAGCACGAGTTTTTTTTGTAATCACTCATGGCTTGGTTTTGAGCTAAACGCATAACGATATTCACTCATTTCACTGATTCAATTTTTTCGCTAAAACACGTTTTTTTTTTACTTATTTCTACTACTTCCTCAACAAATTTGATTCAAAAATTTTACTGAAATAACGTTTTTTTGTCAGTCCACCTACGTCTATCACTAATTTTGCTTATTGTTTTTAACTGTGTACTTGATTTTGAAAGATCTTAAGATCTTAACCTTTTTCTTTTTTAGACCCTCAAACTTTTCCACAAGTGAGCTAATTTTGAAAGAAAAGACGGCCGTCCTTGTGATCTGTGGCTTCAAATTTCACCAAAATCAGATGTGAAAGCTCGAAATTCTCGAAATTCTCGAAATTCCCTAGCAGATGAACGATTTTTGCATAGTTGGACTTGAGAATGATACGGAAACGAATGTTATCTGTGATCAGGATCAAATTACAGGTGAATATGTTATCCTGCCAATAAAATTACTCAATTTTCTATGAAAACAGAGAAAGAGCTTCCAATAAAGTTTAAACAAGTTTCAATCAGAATGCCATTGTTCGTTAATGCCATTGTTCGCTAATACCGTATTTTCTCTAATAGTAGTGCACCCTGAGCGTCGCCTAAATTCCTCGAAATCTCGAGAACCGCTTATCAGAACCTATCGATGTGGGGTCGGAAAATGTAGCTGACGATGAGATCTAGCGGGGGATTAGAGTGTTGAGCTTCTGCAAAAGCTTGGAAACCGTAAAACCGTAAAACCGATTAGAGCTAACTTATTGTTTTAAGCCAGATCCCGGATCAAGTCCGTGCCAGTGACCTGGCCTAGCATTAAGCAAGGTTACAGTAGTTTTCAAAACTGATACGTTTTCGAAAAAGCTTGAATTACACTCACCGTATATACTGTACTTTTTGTCTATACCAATATTTAGAAGCCATATCGACCAACTACATTGTGAAACCCAATCCAGCGGTGGCAATCGGTGAACTCTATCGAACGTATGTTGGAATGGTTGTGATATCGGCGAACCTGTTGCTCATCCTTTTTCTCACATCAAGACCAAACTTGAGAAAGAAGTGAGTGATCGGAGTTAAATTTTTAAAACCAAAAAAACTCAGATATTTCTTGTTCACATGTGTTGCCATTGGGGACACCTTTGATGGAAGTTATTTTCTTTTTCCTTCACTAAATCGACTCTACAAGATGACAACGGGCACATATTATCAGAGTGAGCTCGAATTATTGTAAAAACGAAGTAACCTCACAGTGTAAATTGGGTATTCAGTTCTACTTTTGTCAAAAAAAAATGGTTAAATTCAGTCTACTTATGTTGATCGGTTAATTGTTCATTTATAAACAAAATTTCAAGACGGAGAAGGCCTTCTGGAGAAGACCAATACTTTACAGTATTGAAGAATCAAAGCCTTTATTGCTTTCATGGCTTTTATCAAATCCAAGCTTTAGCCACAACTTTTTGGGATTGTGTCCAACGAGGCAATATGGCTTTTCGTATTTTTGGCACTGAATTCGTCGGAGTGAACATGTTTCTATTGTCACTTGAGCGGGTACTCGCTGTCGGCTTTCCATTTTTCTATAGGTGAGTTCATTGGTCACCACCAGGGTTGATAAGTATTCCGACAGGCAAAACCAGGGCTAGTCTAGAAGCCAGATTCAAGAGCAAGGCTAGTTCTGGTCTGGGTTTTGGCTTTGGTTAGCCTGAGTTTGTTATTGGCCTGGTCCAGCTTTACTGCAGGCCTGCTCTCACTGGCCCTGGGACCGCTAGAAGTCAAGCCTGTACTGGTTTCTGGATCTGGGTTCTGGTTTTACCTTGTCTGGCCTGGCTTACACAAATCCTAGAGTCTGGTTAGACTATCTCTGACCATCAAGCGCTTGGGAAGGGCTTCTTTCCTGTACAAATCCAAAGTACACCATAGAACAAACCATTTTTTCGATTGTGGGACATTTGATACCCTTCCCCATTGGTAATCTAACTTTAAGCTTAAATATCTTCGTGTTGGGCTGTCCAATTTAAATATTCTTGATGTCATTGGATGCGTCAAGTCTTCCTCTGTCGATTGGTACAAAAACCATTTAAATTGACCAGCCGAACACCAAGAAATTTGAGCTTAAAGTTAGATTGCCAATGGCATAAGGCTTAGGGGTTTATATATGCGCCCCGCCCCCTTCGCTACTGGCAATCCAACTTTGAGCTCGAATATCTTAGTGTTGGGTTGTTCACTTTAAATAGTTTTTGGTACGAATCGACAGAGAAAGACTTGGCACATCAAATGATACCAAGAACATTTAAATTGAACAGCCCAACACCAAGAAATTAGAGCTCAAAGTTAGATTGCTAATGGGAAAAGGGGTCAAATGTTCGATAACCTTTTTCTTCTTTTAGAGCCCGCTTCAACACGAAATTCCGTTTGCTGTTGGCCTTCATCGGTTTAATATTTTGTTTAATCAATCAAGGTGCCATGTATCTTACCTCTTATTTGTATGATGGAAACGAGACACAATCCGATTATTATTGTGGAATATCGGGAAGGTTGGTGAAATATATAAAAGATTGAGTTTTATTCGGGGGTGGGACAAATGCGACCTTTTTTTTGCTCACCTGGACACTTGCGCACCTTTTTTGCTGGAAAAGGCCTTAGGCAAGGTCGTAGAGCTTCGAAAATATTTCCACAAAAGGGAATCGTATGCGTAGATTCTGAATTTCGACAAATCAGACCTCGCTGACACGTCAAATTTGGGCTAAAAGGCAAAAACTGCGGAATAGCGTTAAGTTGCGTAGTTTTTGCCTTTTAGCCCAAATTTGACGTGTCAGCGAGGTCTGATTTGTCGAAATTCAGAATCTACGCATACGATTCCCTTTTTGGAAATATTTTCGAAGCTCTACGACCTTGCCTAAGGCCTTTTCCAGCAAAAAAAGGTGCGCAAGTGTCCAGGTGAGCAAAAAAGGTCGCATTTGTCCCACCCCCGTTTTACTGTGCTAAAAGTACAAGTTACAAGTACCGACTTGATGGTGAATTGATAACTGTATAAGGAACAAATCTGTTTCTAGTGTAACTGATGGTTTTGCCCTCTACCATCAGAATCTCAACATAGTGACACAAGTGAGTGAGCTGAAACAAGCTGAAACTGAAAACCCGAAAAATTTCGCTTAGGTAGCTTCATTTCTTCTTTCCCTTTTTGCATACGGGTATGCTATGTATTCGAAAAAGAAAATGGGTCTCGATACGTCGAAAGATATTGCGGTGAGTCTATTTGCTATAAGAATATGATACTGATTATAAGAAAAAAGAGAGTCTTGTCTTTAGTTTTCATCCCAATCCATCTTCTGTAAAGGGAATAAAGCTAAACTCATTAAAAAAGACTATAAGAGTCTTATAAGAATATGATACTTGACTAATAGTTAATAAAATAGTTAAGTGCTCAAAAAGTGACTCTTTTCACTTGCCTGCCAAAGGCTAAATTCTATTTTACACTAGATTCTGTCGCATTTTTCTCCAATTTGACCAAAATCTAATTTTTTCTGGTCTTCTGAATCTTCCATGCATGCTTTCGCCGTGCTTTTAAATTTCTTGTGTCACATAGAGCAACATTAACGATAAATTCACAATAAATCTTATAAAATTTGTCTGCCTCTGTCAGCAAACGTCATTCTTGACTCATTTTTTGTAAAAGAACCCGGAAAAGCTCTAAACTCTAAGCTCTGTTTCTTGTCGATTTCATTGTTTGGCTTGTAAAGCAAGCAGTGGTTGGCTTATAAGCAACCTTTTGGATTCGATCTGCGGAGGGATTGCTCACAAGGCAGCTGGGATTCGATCCAGTCATTGAAGTTCCAGAGAACGCACCCAACTAAAACATTTTTAACAAAAAGTAAACGGGTTAGAATCAGGTTCAGGTCTCTTTTTGGACTTTGGTCAAGGCTTGCAGCAAAATCAGTGTAGGCAAGTCAGGATCTGACCTGGGTCTGCCTAGCCTGCCCTGGCTGCCTAGCCTGCCAGCCCTATTTTAAAAAAATACCTCTGTTGGAACAACTATAACTAGTAGATTACTAATTAAAAGGTTTATCAAACAATTTTCTTTTACTTTAATTCTTTTCTTTTGATCGCCTGTCGTATTCTTATCCAGCTCACACCTTTCCAGGCAATTCGACCCGTTCTCGTCTCGAGTTGTATCGCATGTATTTTGATTATCGCTAATAATATTGTAAGTTTCGAGTTCTTAATTCATCATAGAACTCTTTCAGGTTTATATTCTGAAAAATTTTACAAACAGTGGTGTGACGGTGGGCACGCAAAATATTGTGGTCACTTGGTCGCCGGCTGTTTTTCAGGTTAAGAAATCTTGGCAAAACTCGCTAAATTCTAGCTTTAGGTTTACAAATTCGCTTTATATCTGATGACATCGAAAGAGATGCGAATGTCTTTAAAGGTGAGTATTGCTTTGAAAGTTGATCGTAGTCTATAGTCATTACCAATGACCATCGGGTGTCATCGCGTGAATTGGGAGAAGAGCTAGGGGTTGATCATGTTACTGTGCTAAATCACCTTCATACCCTTGGACTTAAATCGAAACTTGGGACTTGGGTGCCCCATGACCTCAATAACCCCCAGAAGTGGCAGCGCGCCTCCATCAGTGCCGTCCATCTCTCACAATACAAAAGGAAATCTTTTCTTTCTCATCACAACGCGCGCCCTCATGTTGCAAAACTGACTCGCTCTAAAATAAATAGCCTTGTTTGACTTTTGGCGCATTTCCCATACAGTCCGGACCTCGCCCCTTTTGATTACTATTTAATCCGGATCATGAGCAATGAGCTTACGGGAGAACACTTCGATTCGGAAGAAGCAGTCAAAAATTGGCTTTGAAAGTTTTTCGAATCAAAACCAAAATCCTACTACGAAAGAGGAATCCGCAAATTGCTTGTAAAATGGGCAGAAGTCGTTAATAATAATGGAAATTGCTTGGAATGAATTCATGGTTTTATGTTGAACACATTTTAGTTCAAAGTCCGACAGTTTTCAATTCACCAACCTAATATAATGACGTTAAAGTCTCAACTAACGTGTTTTCTATAATCTGTCAACTGTAAGTTACCATAAACTTGCCTGAATTTTATCTAATTTATCAACTGTCTATCAACAATCTATCTTTAGTTAATCCGCACAAAATCAGATAAAAGTTGAGTTGATAAATTAAGGCAAGATTATGGTACTTTGAAAATTGGCTAACTAACAGTAACTTGAAAATTGTACTTTGAAAACAATGCATAGCTCGAGAGGAGCAAAATTTGTTTAAATGAAAGAGTTCTTTGCATTGTACATTGTAAATTGTGCATTGAATCGTTGAAGTTTAGCAGAAAGTTTAGCAGAAAATTTCAAATTTAACCCCAACTCTTTTCAGCGACTCGTACTCGATGAAAGCGGTATACACGGTCCACGAATGGTTTCCCAAACACCAATCATCACTCCAAATAAACCAACGCTTTCGGCGATCACCGTCGCCTCGGCGGCAAATGCTTTCACCAAGAAACTACCGTCACCATCATAAATCAATTACTTTAAATGAACTCATTTGATTTGTTTCAATGTCCAACTCTATGTATTGGGTAGGTGGAAAAGTCCTTTCGGATTTTTTGGGAGAGTACCTTAAATTTGTCGAATTTAGACGTTTTATAGCTCATCCTAAAGCTGAATTCAAGACGGATCGATTGGTAAAAACCGTTTTGAGATATCTCTTTTCTAAAAGTTTTTACAGCTATTTTAGTAAAGGGCGGCAGTGCCAAAAAATCGCTGTTTTCACGTTTCGTTAGTTTTCCGTGCAGAAACCTAGGCTAAAAACATGTGTTTCGTGATCAGCGTCAAAAACAACCCCTAGACACGCATTTTCAGAAAATTAGCAAAAAATTTTTGACAAATATTGTCACCGGTGGAAGTCGAACCAGCGACCCTCAGATCAATAGCCGTTCGCGATTTTCTTTCTTTTTTTTTCTTTCTTTTGTACCCTGAAAAAGCCCTCTAACAACATCAAACAATGATAAAACAAAAAAAAAAACGAGAAAATCGCGAAAAGGGGCGGAAAGGCTATTGATCTGAGGGTCGCTGGTTCGACTTCCACCGGTGACAATATTTGTCAAAAATTTTTTGCTAATTTTCTGAAAATGCGTGTCTAGGGGTTGTTTTTGACGCTGATCACGAAACACATGTTTTTAGCCTAGGTTTCTGCACGGAAAACTAACGAAACGTGAAAACAGCCATTTTTTGGCTCTGCCACCCTTTACTAAAATAGCTGTAAAATTTTTAGAAAAGAGATATCTCAAAACGGTTTTTACCAATCGATCCGTCTTGAATTCAGCTTTCGGATGAGCTATAAAACGTCTAAATTCGACAAATTTAAGGTACTCTCCCAAAAAATCCGAAAGGACTTTTCCACCAACCCAATAGTTCGTAGAAACGTGTACCTACCTCATTTTGGTGATGAAATAATAAATCATATGCTCTCATTTTTTAACAGAAAACTTCTCGACTTAAATCTCCTTCGGAAATCTTTCTTTCCAATTCCTTACTTTACTTTACGACTATTGCCCGTCTTCTGATCTTGAAGTAAGACGGGAATCCACAGTTGTGAAGAGCCATGTATTTCCTTCTCTTTCTTTCTTTCTCTTCTCTCTTCTTTATTAAGAAAGATCATTTGCTCGTGCATCGCGTGGAACAATTAGTAAACCTTAATACAACTATTGCAAGTGTTTTAAAGTAAAACCAAAATTATCTAATGTTAGACAATTTTAAGAAACTTACAAAGGAAGTTCAACTGGCTGAGCCGGCCAAATGCTATGCAAGCTATACCATCCAACGCAGAATTTTATGCTGATTCCGAATCTGTATTCTGTTTTTGCTAAATGACAATCTGCCGGGAGTTATAAACGTCTAAAGTTTTGTTGGGTCTCTGAAAATGTAGTCATTTGTGTCTTAACGGTCCCAATTCGGTGCAGACGTGGCCGAGTGGTAGGACGTTCGTTTCTAGAGCGAGATCTGACAAGTTCGATCCCTACTCTGGGTTGTTCTCTGACTAAAGACAAGACTACAAGAACAAGACTAAAGACAAGACAGTCTTGTCTTTAGTTTTCATCCCAATCCATCTTCTGTAAAGGGAATAAAGCTAAACTCATTAAAAAAACAAAGCTGGTTTGATTACGGTAAGTTGAAGTGAAGCAAAACTCTACAGTAACTTTGAATATAAGTATTTTAAACAATCAAAGTTGAATAATTCATTGAAGCAGAGGTACTTTTGTAAATTTCAACTTCAAATTCACTTCAAATTTGTTTCTTTCTTTCCTATTTCTTTTCTTGATTGCAAATTTTACCTCAAAAATGACCAGAGTTTATTTCGTAAAGCTTTCCAAAAAAATAAACTCAATAAAATTGTTTGTATCAAGGCTTTTTATCATAAAATAAGTCAATTTTTGCAAGAAAAATGATACAAAGACTAGAAAATTGAAGAAATTGAAGAAATTGAAGGAATTTTGCTTTACAAAATACCGGATAAATCATTATCTTCAAAATCTTTGAATTTATACATAGGCAATTGTTCTCATTAAAGCACAGAAAGCAGCATAAAAGAGAGAAAAATCTCAAAAAAAATGGGAGAAAGACAATGTTCGTAAAAATACTTAGTTAAGTTAGTTTTTAAGAATGGTTAGTTTAAGTTACAAGTTGAATTTATCGTTCTTTGAGCGAACGGAGTCGTAAACACGAGTTATCTGGCACAGATGAAGCAATGAAAAGCACAGATGGCACAGGCACGGTTGTGCATTTTTTGACGATTAGTAAACGGAAGCCATTTGGCCTGGTCAGCTTATGCATTCTCTGATCGAAAGCAGAGTAAACGCGGGTCGTCTGGCTTCTCATTTTGGCAAATAAGTGCGCCAGATTGCTCGAGTTTGTCCAAAAGAAAAAGAATCTGACAAAAATAAGTCAAAATCAGCCAAAATAAGCCAAAATTTCTACAACCACAATGGAAAAAAAGCTGAAAATTCTCATAATCGTAGGGTATTTGATATAAAAAAGTTTAAAATGTCGCTTATTTTGTTTAAAATAAGCCTTAAATGAAATTTAGTGCACCAGATTCTTTCATTTAAGAAAATTCTACAAAAAAATGTTTTTTTTTTGATTCTTGTTACAACAAGAATTTGAGATTTCAAGTTTTTTTAAAAATTTTTGAAAGCTCTGCAAAGAAATTTTTGAAACAAATGGCCACAATTTTACATAAAACTCTTTCAAAATTATTCTATTTAAGTAGCCGTACGTGAAAATTATACACATTTGAAGTAAAAGAAAGAAATGCGGAAATGCGAAAATGGGAATTTTTGTGGGGAATTTCCAGGATTTGAGAAAAATTTGTACAAAAACGAAAAGTAGAGAATAGAAAGGAGAGCACCAAAGCCAAAAATGAGTGAAAAAATGAGGTGCAGTAAAAATTTGGTGATTTAAATTTGATCTTTTTGACAATGCACTCATGATTTGAGAGTTTTTGATGTTTAAATTTTGATTTTTCAAAGGAAAAGTCTCATTTTTAAGTCAAAATCTGGGATCAACTGCTAGAAAAGTAGTCGTTTTGTCAAGTTTTCTCAAGTTTTGTCAACTTTTTGTCAAGTTTTTGAACTTTTAAATTTTAAAAACGCGTTTAACAAGCAGTTTTTGAACTTTTAAACTTTAAAAACGCGTTTAACAAGCAGTTTTTAAAGTTTAAACCCACCAAAGATACTGTGAAAATGGGTTTTTTGATCTTGGTATTGTAAAAACAGATAAAAATCGTACTTGAAACTAAAATATTAAAGTGTCGTGAGCTACCCTATCGGCTAATTTCTTTTCTAAAAGATAGAAAACTAAGAAAACGACCGTAACCCTTTAGATTTTTGGCGAAATATAGGGAAATCTACAAGTTCCTCATTTGAATCCAAAGAAATTCCAGTTCTAATACTTGAAGTTCTGTCATTTTTACTGTAACTAGATCCTTTACAGTATCTTCTTTTAAATATCATCAAAATCTTCATCATTTGCCGCTAGTGGAGGCGCGGCGTTGAGAAGATCGGAAACATCAAAACCGTCATCGGATTCGGTTTGAGCTTTCAATGGTTGAAGAGGACGAGGAGTGAGCGCTTTCTCCTCGATTTCACCATTTTTCTTCCCAATCTTACTTCTAGCGGCGAAGAACTCGAGCTCCTGAAAGGAATTGAATAATTTGGTGGAATGACTTCAGTGTGTATTCACTGGGTACGGCATTTATAGTGTTGCGCTTAATGCATTTTTTTTACTTTCTAAGACAATACATTAACCTAAGCTTTTTTAATGACTTTAACAACCCTAGCCGAGCAGTACAAAAAATGCTATGCGTACGATGCTAAAAATCAGTTCAATCCGGGTTTGGGATCTCTAAAAATCGTCCTTTTCCGTCTTCTTCTGCATTAATACTTTTTTTTAGAGTTAATTACTATAAGAGTAGTGCTTTTTGAGCAAATTGCAAATGCGAGGTTATCTTGGCTAACAAAAATGGGTATATTTTTGACAAATTTCATTTTTTCGAGACCAGCAATCACGTTTAAAGTCCTATAAGAAACGAATCTTAAACATGGGATTCTACATAGAATAGAAGAAGCGTAACATTATTTTAATGACTTTAACAACTCTAGCCGAGGAGTACAAAAAATTCTATGCAGCAGCAATCACGTTTAAAGTATTACGAATCTTATACACTACTGGACAATGAAATATCATATTTGATAAAAGATCGTCACTTTCGCGCGTCTATAACTCCCTTGTCTTTACCGTATTTCGAAATATTAATATTACCATTGTGTAGCCCTTGAAAAGAGCTTTCAGAAAAAGTATAACACTAATAGTTTAAACTCAAAGACAAGGGAGTTACAGACGCGCGAAAGTGACGATCGTTTTTCAAATATGATTTTCATTGTCCAGTACTGTACATGGGATTTTACATAGAATAGAAGAACCGTAACATTTTCTTAATGACTTTAACAACCCTAGCCGAGCAGTACAAAAAATGCTATGCGTACGATGCTAAAAATCAGTTCAATTCGAGTTTGGGATCTCTAAAAATCGTCTTTTCACATTTCATTTCATTTCGAAACATTTCACAAAAATAGGCGCTTCAAAGTCTGATATCGATATCGTTAAGTTTCGATAAGGTTCGATAGCGTTAATTCTCGATAACTCTCTTAGCAGATCTACTCTTGAGTAAGTTCTCCTTTGTTTTGATTGTTTTGATTATCTTTAAATAATCAATAATCACTTATTCGTTCTTATTCCGGAAAAGAAAGCTATTGATAAACAAATTTTTCTGATATATCCAACCTCTTCTTCTCCGAGACTCCTCTCATCACTGCTTTCCTTATAAAAAGCATCGTCTCCATTCGCAGCTCGCTCGAAGTTCCGGAACTGCGATGATGCAGCCGGTGTCTCCATCTCGTACTCGTACTCTTTTGGTGGATCTCTGGACCCATACAATGTTAATCAGATCATAGAAAACTTACGGTAATAACTTCTTTAGCTGAACCGGTGCCAATGTTCGTTTCTTTCCCACCTCGGCTCGATCTTTCTTCTTCTTGTAAACCTAAAATCGCTCTATCTATGGTTTTTTATTTTGAGCTTACTTGTTTTCGATTTTTATTTCGATCAACCGGCAATTGATCCTCATCATCACCGGAGCAAGCCGTGTCCCGAGTGTCCGTCGAAGATTCGGCTGACTCTGAAAATAGTCAAAAGTCTTTCACTAAGTATATCTATATTTTGAAATCCAATCAAGTACTTGAAGCTTTTCAAAGTTATCTAAACGTTTACCTATGAATGGTTAAATGTTAGATACAATTTTTAGACCTTATGGTAAGGTTGTTTCCATTAAGAGCCCAAATTGATCTGGACCGGGCCGCCAGAATTGAATCTGGACCTAGATCTCAGCCTGGACCTAGGCCCAAGACAAATATGGGCTTGACTTCTGGCTCTGGACCTGGCTTTTCCTGCCTTATTGATCCTAGAGATCGTTTGGAGCATCTCTTGCTCTTAAGCTTCAGTTAAAAGCAATTCTCCTTCTGGTTGCTGTTTCTTTAAATTTTTGAACTCATAGATCTCAAACCTCTGAAAATATTTCTGCAAATTTGCCGATGCGCATCGGTGACGAAAGCTTTTGCTGTTTGATATTGATGAGCTAAGCTGAGTTCTTTTCCCATCAACTTCATCGCCAATGATGAGAGACGATCACGTTCGAATTGATCTTCCTAAATTTCAAAGGTAAATGTGATATCTTTATAGATTTCTAGATTAAAAGTATTAGAAATTTTGTAGTAAAACAAGTCCACGGCTTTAACTGAATAGATTGCGTGCGAGAATTTTCAATTCAAGAATTCCGCAAGAGGCGGAAAATCATAAATTAGGGATTGTTTTTGAAAAATGCTTTGAAAACGGAAATTTATCGCTTTGACCAGGAGTTGGAGTGGATTAAGGAGAAAGTGCTAGGGAAAAACTTGCAGAAGTTTTTCTTGCAACAGTTGGGTGTTGGAAAATCGTTGAGTTGATCCAATTGCTTTAGACTAACAAGGTTGATCATTTGTGCAAAAACTGATGTACACAAAACACAAAACAAATGTGCTAAAACAGAGAATGAGTAAAGTAAATGAGTAATGCCATTTCTTGCTAAAGAAAATGTTACATTTACTGACTAATCTCAAAAGTAAAAAGGAATGAATCATCAAGCTCTAAAAAAATATAGAAATCATCGAAAACATCTTTAGCTTTTATTTAAATGATATTCAGTCAACTATAATACTTTTTAGTTTTTGCATTGAGAAATGAAATATCTTGGTTCAATTTCTTAAAATAAAGTTGTTTATAATTAGATCAGATTTTATTGAACCAGATCCGGCAAACCTTTGACTATTGCTATTCAGATAATGTAGAGAAAAGTGGGTCAAACTCTAACGGAAAAACAAAAGAACTTCAAACTCGGTCAAGCATGGTTAGAGGTTAGTCTAGCTATCGCCATGCTAACTGAATTTTTGGCGAAACAAACCACATTTCGGTACAGAGTATCCTCGGGTACATCAGCTCCATTTTGACAATTCGAAAACTTTCGATCCAACTCCAGCAAAAAGAGTCCGATTCGATGCGAAACGATGTCCGTCGGCGCATCGATGTCGGCCAAAGCGGTGACCACCTGGAAAAACTGAATCAATGAAAATTTCAGTTCGCACCTCGCTGAGAAATGAAAATCTATGGGCTTGCTGAAGGAAATTACGCTTGGAATCTGGGATAGAACATTCTGCAATTTGTGTGACTACTTATGATTACTTTCAATCTCTCGCTATTACTCTAATAGAACGCCACCCCCATAATAACGAGTGTACAGTCGCGTAGTCTAACTTCGAGCGTCCCGTTCTCCGCGCTGCTTTATGCTACAGTGTGGGCTTGGGTGTGAAATAATAGTCCTTAAAATCTAATATTTTTGGTATCAAAAGTGTAGTTAGGAAAAATCTAGGGGCTGAGAAAAAAGAAAATGAAAAAGTGAGACCACACGACTGTACGAGGAGGTGGCGTTCTACTAGAGTATTTACGGTATCTTGGCTTAAAGCTTTAACTTAAAACTAAACTAGCAACAAATAATCCTAGCACTATAAAGCATTTGATTCGATTCGACACAATCTTAAAAAAACCATGGGAGTTAGGCCTAAATGTTTTGGAGCAAAATACAGACAAAAATTGATCCCCTGAATTTTGGCATAGTGATGCTCAAAGTGGCGAATGAGCTCAGTCGCTCACTGCTAGCCCTGGAGCCTGATAAGAAAGGATAAGAAAGGATAAGAAAGGATAAGAAAGGATAAGAAAGGATAAGAAAGGATAAGAAAGATAGAAGTTAGCTTGAAATTCGTAGACGATTCGTAGACAATTCGTAGACAATTCGTAGACAATTCGTAGACAATTCGTAGAGAATACGGAGCCGAGAAGGAAAGTCCCTTATGCTAGGCGAGTTTGCCAGATGATGAGCGATTGTGTGCGCATTGAAAGAACACCTTGGCGTCCTTTTACACAGGGATTTTTCTCTTGCTTTCTAGGTGGCACAAAAAGAAGATATTCAGCTGGAAATTTGTACTCGGCGGTTTTCGGGATCGTGTAATCGATTGGAGCTATTCATTTTATTCATTGAAACTAACTAAATTGCTAAACAAGCAGCTCAACTGATGGTGAGAGAATAATGCGAGCTGACTTGAGCATTTGTCTCTTGATTTTATTAGAATTGTGTAGTCGAATCAAATTCTATTTCATATCATTTGAAAGTCTGGAATTTCCTCTTTAAAATTATACGCAAAACTAACAATAATATTATCTCTAATCTAATATTTCAACATTGCTATATTGATTTCAAGCTGATTTCAAGTGAACTATCTGTGAGCTAAAACAAGCTTCCAATTCAGCCCTGCCATCAGCCAGCCAGTTAATCTAACTAATTAAAATTAAAAAGACATTACTGATAAGCACATCAGATCCCAAACGTTTCTATTTTTATCTGATTTCTGATTTCATTCAGCAAGCCACAAAGAGAAAAATAATGATGCTCTGAACATGCTCGATGAAAAGCACGAAAACAGCAGGCTCACAATACGAACGCTTTTTTTTTGTCTGGACAGCGATTTGACCGGGATTTACCTTGTTTTTACTACAAAATCTCACCCTCTAGAATTTCAATCGATTAAAGTTTGCATCTAAAAAAAACCTTGTAATCCCGATCGCTGACTTCTACATGCACCATCACTTTCTCAAGTTGATCGAGCAGAGCTTCGAGGGACTAAAAAACAGTTTTAGTATTGATTTTGCAGCATTTTTAAGCTTATCTTTACAATGGCTTTTCTAATTGCGAGGATTTCATTCTAAATGTAGAAATTTGTCGTACTATCAACGCATTTCTTCAGACTAAAACCTCCAAGAGATTTCTGATTCATTGTCAGTGTTTTAGTTGAAAGTTTATTTACTTTGAAAACTTAACTTTCATAAATTCGATAAATTCGATAAATTCAGCAAATTCCGCTCTGAAGAATTTCAATACGAACCTCATCCCTCTCATCGTCAGCAAATCGACGAATCGCTTGCGAGAGAAGATCCGGTCGTTGCCGAGCAATGTAGGCAAGATTGTCAGGCACACTCACTCCAACACTAAAATGTACAATGTAATTGTAACAGGTGGCTGTTGTAAAGTATTATATCTATTATATCTATTGTATCTATTGTAAAGTACTACAGTACGTTGCAAAATGATAGGACCACCCTCGATTTTTGCGATTTTTGATTTTAAATAAATAAAAATTTCTAAAAGAACCAAACCATCGATTCTTCTGAAATTTTTTACTCAAAAATTGAACATCGCATAAGAAAGAGGCTTTCTTGAAAACTAAAGCTTCGGTTAAAATTTGGTTCCATTAGAAATTTTTGTTCATTTTTACGTTAATATTTGTTTTCAAGTTTAGTTCAATTTCAAAAATTTTGACCACAAAAAGTTTATTTGAAGGCAAACACTCAAAAAGTGACTTGAGACACTAGAATCGGTGAAATCTTCAAAATGATACCAGAAGCTGGTTCTGATTTTTTGGCAATAAATTCTCAAAGTTTATTCAATTTTTGAGTAAAAAATTTCAGAAGAATCGATGGTTTGGTTCTTTTAGAAATTTTTAGTTATTTAAAATCACAAATCGCCAAAATCGAGGGTGGTCCTATCATTTTGCAACGTACTGTATATCTATTTTAAAGTACTATATCTATTGTACAAGTATTATATCTATTGTAAAGTATTATATCTGTTCTAGTCGCCTCACCGATTCATCCCGAATCGTTTCTGCTTTGCGATGTTGATCTTCTGTTGAACGGCCTCGGTAATCAAAATGTTTCTCGTTTGGCGTCCAAATTTACGAACAATCTGAAAACGGCAGGATTATTTAAAAAATAAATAACTTATATTAAAATTTGCTAAGTAATCTAATAAATTTACTTCAACACCCTTCATTTTCGGATTCGCTTTCACCACGTCCGGTGATATGCAATGGAGAACTCCGCCACAACCATAAACCTAAAAATTTCCATATTTATTCAATTCGCATATAAATTTATTAGTTTATTCTCTAAAAGCCGAATCTTTACTACTTACATTCTTTGTAAATTGCCCGGGAATGTTGGCCCATTTTGGGATGACCTCGTTTCGATCACACTCGATGTAAAAAGGATTCCGCTTATCGTCGTCAGTCGAAACGCTAAACGAATGATATTATTATTAATTTATGTATAAATTTAAGAGGTATAAATTAACATTAAATTTATGTATAAATTTAATAATATTGTAGAGGGTGTGCTAGAATTACGGCTGATTGCAGATTTCAGCAGATTGCATGCCTTTCAGCAGATTGCGTGCCAAACGCCACAATCAATTCAAAAACCCTAAGTGTTAAATAGAAAATTGAAGCCTGGATTCTTGCCTACATTTCTGTACCAAAAGATCTTTAATTGGAGTTTTGCAGACGATTTTTCAGACCCTCAAATGAGCCCAATCCGACACACTTCTATTTTCAGCTGTTTCCTAACTAAAAAATTTTTCTAAAAGAATTTTTGGGTTGTTTAATACATAAAAAGATAGCATTTTGAATGATATGAAAAATGATGATAACAAAAAAGTGTTTTGACAATGTTAACATGACCAGAACTCGAATTAAAGATAGCTCTCTTTGGATGTTTGGTGATTTTGGCAAATTTTGGGTTTTTGGGGTGTTCAATTCTTAGTTTTGATGTCCATACGTGCTGTCCTAAAGCTGTAAATTAGTTGAAAATAATTTCTAAATGAATAAAAATGTGCTTTTACTAAAGAAAAACTCTTTCTACATACAAGTTTTTAGTTAGAAAACAGCTAAAAATGGAAGCGGAGAAGTGGTCGGATTGGGCGCATTTGGCAGTCTGAAAAATCGGCTGCAAAACTCCAATCAAAGATCTTTTGGTACAGAAATGTAGGCAAGAATCCAGGCCTCTATTCCCTATACAACACTTAGTGCTTTTGAATTGATTCTGGCGTTTGGCATGCAATCTGCTGAAAAGGTTTAGCCGTAATTCTAGCGCGCCCCAATCAAATATAACCAAAGTAAGAAGGATTTAAAATATCTAGTAGATTTTATATTCATGCTAATCCCACCTGAACACTAATCCCTCGAACTTCTCGCTAAGCCGAAAGAGCACGTGAATCGCTTTCCACAAATCCATCGGAGTTTGCAAGATCTTCGAGGTTCCGTGTTGCGAGTAGAAGCCAGAGTAGCCTAGAATTTGGAGATGATTGTTCATTTTTCATCACAGGCTTAAATATTGAATAGCTTGATCTACATTTCTCAATTTGGCAGTTGCAGTTAGCATTTCAAGACTGTTTTTGCCTAAATTTAAGGCCTGGAAAGCGATTTTAGAATCACGATATTGAGTACAATATTCCAAGTCGAGAACTACCGTTATGGCTTTGCACTACTCTTGCATAGTTAAAGCTTGAATTTAGCTTTTGCACAGCTACTTAGCTTCATTCCAAACTTACGATTAGCAGGTCAGCTCAATCAAGCGACATAAGATATGGGGAAATTCCAAACTGAACCTAATTCCATCTTCATTTTCTCAGCCGTCTCTCGCCCGATTGCTCTGAGATTTTGTCTACAAGCAGAGAATGCCAATTCCTATTTGTAAACAAAATTTCAGAACAATCGGCCAAGAGACGGCTGAGAAAACGAAGGTGGAATTAGTCACCTAGTATCCCTTGAGCAGTTCAAATTTCTTTTTGCCTTGCTGTAAGCGCAAGATTTACATAAAACATATGTCAGACTTAGACATAAAAGAACAGTGGATAATAGCAAACGATCAGCTTGATCAATCTTTCAGCGAACTTTCCGCAATTCTACTTACCATCGTTCGTCTTCAACGTGATTCCTTCAGCTTCCCAAACATGATCCTTGATCTCCTCAATCACTTCTTTGCAAACGGCCTCATTCGTGCAGTTCGAGTCACGATAGATTGTGTAATAAAGACAATCCGATGTATCCGACACCATTCCCATTCAAGAAAAGAAATATTAGAAAGCTGTAGAAGTATTTGTCCCGTTGTTGGAGCTTATCGTCTCGTCACCATCTATACATCACCTAAAATTGAATCTTTTGATCTTTTGGTAAAAACACTGATAAGAAAAGTAAAGGCGAATAATACTGTTTACACTTGTGGAAAATTGTGGGAACAAGTGAAATGAAATAGAGATATTTAAAGCAAAATGAAATAGGGACACTTAAAGCAAAAGCAGCAATTTAAAGAATCTTGTGACAAGTGTGATTAGATCGAAAACAAGATAAGAATTCAACTACGGCATTTTGAAAATAGTCAACATCAACATCAGTTGCGATTTTGCGTCACAAACAAGCTAGGATAGTGGATTTTGTAGTTAAAGACAAGGCAAATATGTATATAATCAAAAATTTTCGGTTTAAATTGAAACTATAAAAGAATCAGTTGAATGTGGGACTCGAACCTGCGAGGTTTTGCTTAAATAAATTAGAAAAAGAAAAACAATTGGGAAAAGACAAACAAAAATCAAACAAACAATTTACAAAGCAATAAACATCAGCTGTTTCTCCCCTGGGCTAATTAGCTGAAATCGCTTTCGGTCTTGGCATTTTGCCAGCTTTACGAGAAAGGCGATAGAAAGGAAATCGGTGAGAGGGAAACGGGGGAAAAGCGAGAAGAGCTGAATAAGTGAAAAGGGAAAAGACGGCTAAAGGTCGGCTAAAAGGGAAACCGAAAAGGGAAAATGAGAAGGAAAAGGAAAAAGGCACTGCTCACTTTTAGAGGCGCTTTTTCGAGAGAAGAGGAGAAGATCCAAGGGACACAGCCAGCCATTGCCTCTTATCGATCTTTTAGGGGGAAAATGCAGAGAAATGAGGGAAATGAAGGGATTTGAATTGACCGGGGAATGAGAAAGGGAAGGGATTGATGAGATGGTGCTGGGAGGAGCGGGAAGAGTTTGAAGTTCGAAAGGGGAGAAGATGGCTGAGGAAAGAAAGATGATGGATAAAAATAGTGTGAATAGGCTAGAGATTTGGGAGAGTTGGCTTAAAAAAGAGCAAGGAATAGAGGCATTGAAAGCATTGGAAATGCTAAAAGAGAGAAAAACAGATATAGAAGGAGGATTACTTAGAAAAAGATTAAGAACAAGGCATAGAGGCATTGGAAATGTTGAAAGACATAGAAAACAGATATAGAACACAGATAGAGGAAGTTAGAGAAGGAAGAGACAAGAGTATAGAGGAGAAAGCAGGAGATGCAGGAGATCCTTGACATAACAAAAACGAGAAAGATCAGAGCTCTATCTAGAGCAGAGAACAACAAGAAGAGAGGGACAAGATATAGAAAAACGAGAGAAAATGGAGAAAGATCTAGACGTGGCGATTAAGAGTGAGATAGAGGCAAAAGCCTTCACCCATCAGTCCCTCACTCCTCCCAGATCTCTCGATACTCTACCACTTCTCATTCAATCTCTATTCTTCATGTCTCACAGATTTCTCTGTGGCTGCCATTTCTCTATCTCTCTATCCTTTTCTACACCCCAACCTCTCCACGCTATCAGCGGCACATTGCTATTTCCCTCTCAATGCTCCTTTCCCTCTACTATCTATCTATATACCTCAACCTCTCCTCTCCACACTATCTATTGCCCTCCCAATCCAACCTCTCCTCTCTACAATGCCTTCATCCTCTTCTCTTTCTCTACATATCGGTCGTGCTTTTCTCATTCACAGATTGGCATTCTCTATCTTTCTCTGTACTATTTCTCAGCTCTTCTTCTTTCTACTCTCCACATATCATCCCTCCATTCTCTCCATTGGCATTCCCTATCTTTCTTGCTCTCTTACTATTTCTCAATTCTTTCTCTTTCCACTCTCCTCATCCCTTCCTTCCCCATCCACAGGTCTCATGGCTGTGGCTGTCCCCTCCCCTTGCCGCATCTTTCCCCATCTCCACCCCTTGGTTGCCCTCTCTCACTGCCTCTTCCCAGTGCCCCCCTTTTCCTTTTCTTCAGCCCCCAGCTAGCTCTGAGGAGGCCACGAGTGATTCCCCCCAACAACCCCCTTCCTTGCCCCTCTCATTTCGATCCTTTCCCCTCTTCAAGATCAAAGCCTCTCCCCGATCTTGTCTTCTTGTTCTATCCCCGTTTTACTCTTGCTCGTTTTCACTTCCCTAATCACAGCTAATCGTCTCTGATCGATGAAGAGGCCAATTGTTGAGATTCTCTATCGATAGAATTTTTTTCTTTTCGATAAGATGGAAATCGAGAACATCGTCGCCAACACAGTCTACATCAAGGCCAGAGAAAGTTAGTGATTCAGAGACTGGGATTGCATTTACTAGCATTCAGAGATTGCATTTACTAGCATTCAGAGATTGCATTTACTAGCATTCAGAGATTGCATTTACTAGCATTCAGAGATTGCATTTACTAGCATTCAGAGATTGCATTTACTAGCATTCAGAGATTGCATTTACTAGCATTTACTCGTATTACTAGCACAAAATAGCATTTACTCTCTCTTGATCAATCTTTTAAGTTTCAATGGCACAAATATGAGTCTTTCAAATTTAGCTACTTTATAATCAGTGTAAGAATAAATTTATGAGTTTTAAAGTTAGCTAGCATAGCTATCTTCTAAGATTGGCACAGACAATTCTTTCAAATTTGATTTTTATGTTCAACACCAATTTCGAATCCAATTCTAGAATGCTAATAGTTCTGTAGAAGGAAAATTAATGAGCAGGGTGAATTTATGAACTTCAAAAGTCTTCAACTTAATCCAGCGATTTCATTTTAAAGTTCTTACAATCTTAGCAATTTCTAAAGATAATATTCTTTTAAAATTCAATTTTTAAACCTAATTCTAGACCTTAATATTCAAGAAATGAAAAGTATTGATTAAAATGGCTAAAATATGACCAAATTAAGGTAGAATTTTAAACTAGATCGAATCTATTAGATAGAGTTTTAAGTGGAGACTCTGATGAATGAATTCTGATGCAAAATTACAATGAAAATCAAAAGCGGTTTTCTTTTAAAACTCTATTGAAAAAAAAACTCGTCCCCTAGTGAGCTAAAGTTATTCAAATTTGATCTCTTCTCCTTCATCAACACACGACTTTTCGTGTTGTCGCTTCCCGATTTTTGAGGTTGCTTCGTTGGGCATACACGCACAGAAAAAAAAAAGAAAAAAAATCAATTTCCGGTTTTCTTTTTCAGTTTCCCTTTTTTAGGTGGTGGCCAAAAGAAAGGGAAAAGCAAAAAATGGAAGAACTATTTGCAATTTCCACACTACATTGATTGTCTTTACTTGAGAGGACAAATCGAATGCAAGTGAGTTTTTCATCGAAGTTTTCACTGGTTACTGGTCACTGGTTTTCACTGGTTTCACTGGTTTTTCACTCATTACTAAACTCTTACGTCAAAGCTAAAGAAAATCGTTGCTAAAAAAAGTACCGGGTTTTGGTTTCGCGTAAGATTTTTCGAGTTTCTTTGTAGAACATTGAATTTAAAGCTAAATTACTCAATTATCAGCTTTTTTCGTGGTTGCATTTGAGAAGCTAGTTGAGAAGTTATTTGAAAAAAAGAACAATTTTTGAAGTTTGTTGGCCGAATTGTTGATCTATAAATTGATTTTGTTATCAGAAAGAAGAATTACTGGTTTACTGGTTAATTTACGATTTAAATAGTTAAAGGCTGGTTAATTTACCATTTATATTGAACAAACAAAGTTTTTAGATGGTTTTAAGCTACTTTTAAGCCAAAACTCGTCAACTTCTTGGCTTTCTTAGCCAGTTTTTTCTTTTTTAACATCCAGTTCTTCACTTTTTCATAATTTGAGCCATTTATTTCCTTCTCCAATTCCCCATGATCATGTTGACATGATGTTAGCTATTTTAAGCGTTCCTTGTTTTCTCCGAGAGTCCCTCTCTTGTTTTCAGCTTTCATTTTTCAGCTCGGAAAGATCAATGTTTAAATTTCAACTCAGAATGCAGAAATTTCAATACTTTTAGATTTTACGATTAAAAAGCTTATTTGTTACAACTTTAAAGTCCAACTTTGATGTAAAAATAGTAGAAATAGAAATAGTAGAATTGAAATCACATTTACGACAAGGTTTTTCAATCTTTGCGTAAGTTATTTCCCTTCCAGCTCGTCTAAAAACGTTCTTTCATCAAGTTGCTCTAATTTAAGCAATTTTTTTTCTAGTTCTCCTTCAGTTTTTTCGTCTAGCTGTCGTAAAACGAGCAACTACATCATAAAATTCGTTGCTAAAACTAATTAGAGTTTAAACTTTTAGTCGATTTAGATGAAAAATTGTTTGAATTGATTGAATTGAAAATTTAAAGATGATTAGGATCTTCAGCTAGCTTTTTAAAACTCTATAGAAACTCTTTTTAAAACTCTATCTGTTTAGAAACTCTATCTCTAACAACTCTTGAAGCACGAGCATCAGTTATAACTAGTTATAACAGTTATAAAATCAGTTATAACATCAGATAACTGAATATCTTAAGAATACAGTGATTCATTTGATATTCAGCTTACATTCTACTTTTTAGATCTTTAAATACAAGCTAGTTAGCTGTTTGAATTAGCTGTTTGAAAATCAGTGTCAAAGTCAAACTAAGCCCTCAAAGAAGACTTCTGAATAACTTCTGATCCTTGTTACTCAAAAAAAAAATGAACTCTTCTCAACTACAACCACTATATATACTTTTATTTGACAGCTTTTACGAGTAAATCTTTTTATTTCTTGATTTTCCCCCACTTACATATAGATTTCTTCTTATGCACCTGTTCCCTTTTTTCCTCAAACCTCTGAGCTTTCCTTCTGCTTTTCCCGAGCTCATTTGGACCCTCAAAAGGGGGAAATTAATATATTGGCCTGCCAACATCCAAAGAAAACCCATCAAAGAAACTGAAAATCTGAGAAATTATCGATTGCGGAGAAGCTTTGCTGTACTTTAAGCTCAAAAATCGAAACACAAATGCTCTGGTGTACTTAAAAGAATGCTAAGTTCAACAGAAACATTTCTTTTCTTTACTTTCTCTAAGGAACAGGTGTGATCTGCTAGAACAGTTGTGATCTGCTAGAAAAGGTGTGTTTTCGATTCTAGAGCACAAAGTACAAAGAAACTTTGAGCTAAAGAATCGAAACATTTCTTTTCTAGCTCACTTGATTCTTTATTTTTCTAGCTGACAATAGTGATTTCCGTTTTCTTTGTCATTTCGCTTAACAAATTGAGAATTCATTGCACTAAAACCTTTCATTTCCATTCTTAATCACAAAGTAATCAGAAATCTATTGTGAATTTAAAATTTATTGAATAAAGTTTCCTTTTGCCTAAAAGTTGACATCAATTTCGGGGAAATTCAGGGAAATGCCATTAATCATTTGAGGTTTTCCCGTTTTTCTTTCACTTTTCAAGAACTTTAATCAAAAAGACTATTATAAAAAGTAATATTATAAAAGAAAAGAATATTATAAGAGTTCGAAAATCCAAATCTTTCATCTAAAATTCTAAAATTTCGCACTAAATTTGGATAAAATGAAGACTTCTTTTCCCTTGGGAAGCGCAAAAAAATACACCCACGCTATGGGAAAAATTTGGGATCCAATTGCAAAATGTTATGTTACTAAATAAAGCTTTAAATAGTTTTAAATACAAATTTGCATATCTAATGGATTTTGAAAATAGTTATTACTGGGTTTTTTGAAAAAACCTTCACTTTTTCAGTATTGTTGACCGAGATTGTGGTCATCGCTTGTTGACCGAGATTTTTGACCTCTTCCACTCTTTTTTGACTTCTTCCACTCTTTTTTGACCTCTTCCACTCTTTTTTGACTTCTTCCACTCTTTTTTGACCAATCTTTCTCTTGTGCACTCAAGAAATCTAATCAAACCCCTTAGAATTCTAAGATTTTTTTAAAAATTCGATTAGCTACTCATAAATTATTGTGGAATTTCTTTTTCTACAGAAAAAGTGATCGGCTTTTGCGCGTTATCACGAAAATTTCCACACCCACAAGCTTTGCAAGGTTCAAATATTTTTTGGAGAAATTTGGAGTTGATTAAAAAAGAAAGAATAGTTGGAAATAGAAATAGAAATAGAAATAGAAATATAAATAGAAAACCCAGTACTCCAGGTCTAAAGTAAGGCTAGTAAGCAAGTAAGTAAGTGAGTAAGTAAGTAGTAAGTAATAAAGTAAGTTTTTGGTCGACACATCAGTTCCTAGCCCTATTTTATAGACCAAGCCAGACCAAACAAAGCCAAGGAACGAAATTGAACAATCTAAGGATCAATTTGTAGATGGTTTTATTATTAAACTGAAACGGTTGACAAGTTTTTCTATTGGCAATTAGAAATTTGGCTTGCCTTTGCCGGTAATGACTAGTAATTTGCCCTTTGCCAGTAATGACTTTTGGGATCATTACTGGCAAAGGGAAGTCAGTAATGATGCTTAGATTCAAATTAAATAAAACTCTAATAATTGAGCTTATTATTGAACCAGATAATACAGACAAGACTAGGATTTGCCCGTCAGAATCGATAGAATCCAGTTCATAAACCTGAATCTTGTAGACCTGAATCAGAATCCAGCACAAAATCCAGCCTTTTGGAACTGGATTTTGGCCTTGTCTAGCTTAGCCTAGGACCCAGCTGGCTCATCTCTTGTCCAGATCTTATAAATTGTTTTTTTAATACATTGATTCACTCGGTACAAACAATACAAAAGCACAACCTCTCAGCTCTAAAAAGCAAAAGAAGTTTGGCTGGGCATTGAACCCGTGAGCAAAAATGGTATAGTTTCGTAAACTAGCGCACTATCCCCTAGGCTTCCCCCGCTCTTTTTTCCTTCCCTCTTGGTGCCGTCTTATAGGTGTGGTGGCAGTTTGCCAAAATTAGCCGAAGCTTTGCATACGTTTTTCTCAAAAACTAGCCTCTACTAGGAGGAAAATAAAAATCTATGTTTCGGGATCCTTTTCTAGATAGGTCCGGTTTTCTAGCTAGTTTTCTAGCTAGGAAAATCGGTGGTAAGTTGAAACAGTTTCTTAGTAAGATCTCTTACTCTTAAGGACTCTTAACCAGTCGGCCATGGCGTTTATAAATGATCCACTTACAACTATGTCACGGAACTCTTTTCCTGACCCAATCAAGCCACTTTGAATTGATCGCGTTTTGTAAAAAGTATTGACAACTGTTCCGGGAGCCTCTTGGGAGCCTGTTCCAGAAGTTCGGAAACCACTTTGTTTCTATTTTCAGCTCAACACCCAGTTTGACGCATTTCCGTGTTTTTCTTTAAGAAATTTTCTCTAAAAATGTGCTCAGAAGTTTTTGAGACAAAAACTTTCATATCACATTTCACTTTACACATCCGCATCGCAAAAAGCCATAGACCTCAACTGGTTTGTGGGGGAAAAACCGCAAAAATGCACTGATTGATCTCTTTCATCGGTCTAGCACCTGTCCTTTTCAGCGAAATATCGAAATAATTCTTTCTTCAGAAGAAATGAATTTGTGACAAGATCAAAAAACTCATTTATTCTGGTAAAGCTAATTGAATCAATAAGTGAAAATGGAGCTTTGAAAGATAGTTATGAGTCTAGGAAAGTCTAGGAAAGTCTAGGAAAGTGATTAGTCTCTCTTTAGTCTAGGAAAATGATTTTTTTTGAAAATGTAAAAAGGAAGATATTCAGTAGATACAGTGAAATCCGTCAAAACTTAAATTCGCCTTTGTTTTCTTGGCGAATTCTCCAGAAATTTCATCCATAGATAGAAATTTCATTCATAGATACAAGGAATTAAGTTCAATCGAAATTGGCTCATGTAGATTATCCAGTTCTACTTACTTTAGCTATAGAAAAGGCTCTATTTTGAGTATTTGCATAGATAATTTGCCCCACCAGCTCATATTAGCGAAAGAAGCCTTTTAAGTGAGATGTCGCTATGCCAGATTTCTCGCTTTTGCCGGCATATGAGCAGCTTATTTTTGTTTGTTTTGGGAGTGGTTTTGCTCATATCCATACTCGAATTGGTTTGATTTGATCTGATATGCTAAAAAGCTAGTACTATGCTCATTTTATTCTAAAAAAAATCTATTAGCTACTGTATTCAATTAATCAGCTTTCCTTTCGACCTAACAAGGGAAGTACCTCAGCTCGATCGCCCAATGCCAAAGTAGAAGTTGTAGAATTGACTATGCTGATTACAATGGTGCAAAAATCAGCTGCCCATATGTCCGCAAACGCGAGATGTCTGGCATAGAAGTTTGCGACATCTCACTTAAAAGGCTTCTCTCGCTAAGATGAGCTGGTGGCGCAGTGGATAAAAGACCCGGATACAAGGCACGCTATGTATCTTTTGCTTGAGTTCGTGTCTTCATCTAGCAATACTTTTTGCTTTTTTTGATTTTGGCATCGGGAGATCGACTGGGATACCTCACTTGTAAGCATTTTCAAATTGATCACCGAATTTTTTCATCACAGATCACAACCATCCGCTGAGTCAGGGTTTTCTCCATTTCTCCCTCATTGAAAGCCTTGCCTCTGTTTTGCACTCACTCATCCCCATCCCGAAAAGTCAAGAAAAAGATTTCGTGGTTTCTTTTCGAATCTAATCTCTGAGCAAAATCTACATTTGTTTTTCGAGAAATGAAACGTGACAAAGTGTAATTTTTAAACCAGAAAATGTACTAAAAACCCGTCAATAACATCTAGCTAAGATCAAAAAAACAGATACAGACTTGATCCAGGGGATTTATAGACTCGAAAATTTCGATTCTGATAATTTTTTAAGATCTTTAGATCCAGGAGAGCTTATTTAGGCAATATCTACTGTTTTACAATGATAAAAATCAGATTTGAAAGCTTGAAAGAAATAAATTTGATTAAAAGAACCAATTAATTAATATTAATATTAATTAAAAGTATTAATTTCTTGCTTGTAAGTGTCTTTAGATCGAATCAAAAAGATCTCATGAGGAAAATCCATCTGATCCAAGATATCTAGTTTTTACTTGTATCGGATGTAGATAACAGGCAGGCTGACTTCGATCAGTATGCTCCCGCAATTTCAACGTTTTCCGTTCTTTTCTTTCCCAGTGAAATTTCTCTCTCTCAAGAGTGGAGATTGAAGCACTGCTCTGCTCTGTTTCAGCTCTGCTCTGTCTCAGCTCTGTCTCAGCTCTACTCTGTCTCAGCTCTACTCTGTTTCAGCTCCACTCTGTCTCAGCTCTGCTCTGTCTCAGCTCTGCTCTGCTCTGTCTCAGCTCTACTCTGTCTCAGCTCTTCTTCGCCAGCCTCAACCGACCCGTAATGAGCAATCCCCAATTGCCCGCTCTTCCCTCCTCATCTCCTTTTTTGTTGCTGTTGTCCTGATGAAAGTCTTTTCTCTTTCATTTAAATCAGAACCACCTCGTGAAAACGGGGTTTATTGGAAGAGAAATGAATGGATTGAGAGTATCGATGCAAAGTTGATTCAATCATTTATTCATTATTCAGTAGACATAAAACTAGAGACTAGATTAAGAAAGCAAAAGAAAAAAGCAGTAAGCTCAAGAAATATTTATCAATTTTGTTTTAACTTTAAATGAAATCCTGATAGTATTGACTAAATTTTGTTAAATTTGTCCAAAAATTTGACCAAGTTTGACCAAAATGGCCAAATTTTGACCTAAATGGCCAAATTTGGACCAAAATGGCCAAAATTTGACCGAATTTGACCAAAATCATCAAAATTTGACCAAAATTACCAAAACTTCATCATCAAATTTCTTTTGACTTCTTCATTCAAACAAAAATCCGAAGATCTTGAGTTGTTTGAGAAAATTCTTGGCGCTTTGTTGTATCAAGTTGCTGAGAAACTTGCTGAGAAACTTGCTGGCTGAGAAACTTGCTGAGAAACTTGCTGAGCCAGATAAGCTTTCAAAACTGTCTCCAATAAACCTAGCCAAAGCCTGTTTTCAGCTAAAATCTATTGGTTAACTTATTTGCTAACTGAATATCATTAAAACTTGGTATTTCGAAAATTGAATAGTATTAAAGGACTATAGTATTAAATAGTATTAAAGGTAGTATTAAAGTATTAAAGGCAGTATTAAAGTATTAAAGGTAGTATTAAAGTATATTAAAGTCTTGAATAGTATTCAAGGACGGTGTATTGCTTACAAGTTCCGGCAGATCTTTTTCCGTCCCTAAAACTTCATCCATATCTTCATTTTCGAGCCAGGGATGACCAAAAAAAACTGCCCTTTTCCTGTCGTAGTGCTCAAATTTCGACTCACTGCTCAAAATTGCCAGTTTTCTCACGACTAATTACTGGGCACTCTTGATGGAAAACTTTTGGATATAAATATATCCAAGAAAATGCTAGTTACTTATTTAGATTAAATTTTTCATTAAATTAAGAAGTAATCTGAGATCAGAAGAGGAAATTTTCATCTAAAACTGATTTTTTTGGCTATATTGTTGAACAGCTTAAATAAAAGATATCCAATCGACTGTAGAACGGAAAAACGGAACTGACAACCGGACCATTCATAACCAAACCTTTCTATTCTTCATTTGTGAATTAATTTTGATGAGTTTAACTTCTCGATTTTGACACTAGTGGGAGCATGTTTTTTTTCTGGAAGAAAGGAGAAAATGAGGGGGGAAAAAGGACTTTGGGGAGATTGATCGGCGGAGGCGGTGAGGGGGATACAGAATGGAAAAGAAGGAAAAGGGGGAAAATAAGAGGACAACCAACTGGGTACTGAAAGGGAAAAGAAAGGGAACATGCCTTTTTTTTCTTCTCACAAGAATAGGCTTCTTCTTCTTCTTCCTCTTCTTCCTCCTCTTCTTCTTCTTCTTCCTCTTCTTCTTCTTCCTCTTCTTCTTCTTCCTCTTCTTCTTCTTCTTCTTCTTCTTCTTCTTCTTCGTCTTCGACTTCTCTCTCATTTTTTCTTCAAGAATTAGTATTTCGGCTGGGTCATGAGCCGGGGATCTTCTAGAAATGTTTAAATTGAGAAATTTATCTGAAAACTAGTTTGTGATTAAGCCAATTTGTCAATGTTTAACTTAACATATTGGAAACATTTAATTTGAGATTAGAAAATTTGGGCTTTGAAACATTGACTTGTCAAAGTTGTAAGTTGGTTGAAACCTTGATCAAATATTTTTTGAGGTAAAGAGCAAATACCGTATTTCCTCTAATAAGTAATGCATCCGGAGAGCCATCTAAATTGATCGAAATCTCAAGATCTTAGAAAGCTGAGAAGGTACCATTTAGAAATAAAGTTTTCGATAAAGTTATGAATAAAGTTATGAGTCTTCAGAAGCATGTAATGTCTAGATTTTCTGATATTCATGATCCAAAAAGAGTTACCTTATTTCCCCTAATAGTAGTGTACCCTAAGCTTTGCCTAAATTGCTCGAAATCTCGAAAGCCGCTTATCAGAATCTATCGATGTGGGGTCGGAAAATGTAGCTGAGATTCAAATCTTGTGGAGGATTAAAATGTTGATCTTCTACAAAGAATTGTAAAACAGTCACCAACTCGGCTCGAGCAGGTGCACTACTATTAGAGGAAATACGGTAATTGCGAAACAAAATCCGGTAATTGCGAAACGAAATCCGGTAGCTTTTATGTAAACAAATGGTGTATAACAAGAAAATGTACAAGATTAAACATTTGAATGACCACTTTTTGACTAGACAGCCTAGACAATTAGAAAGCAAAGTTATGAAAAGACAATCCAAGTCGAAATCAAAACAAGGTATGATTAAAGATTGAAAAGAAAAAGCGGTAAAAGGCCATGCAAAGTATCGGAAAAATAGATTAAGCTGAAAAAGATCAATCGGTATGAATCGGTTGAATATAAAACATTTTAACTCTTTCATTTCAGCTATGGGTACATCGTCGAACGGCAACCGATCGGCAAACTCCTTTTCCAGGAATTCTGTCAATCCACCGAGCAATACCGGCTTAGCTGTCTTTTCATAAATAAAGTAAGCAAGAATTCTTTAACACGACATCAATTGACTCTGTTTTTAATTATTAGGCTGTCCAGAAACTCTAACAATATTTAACAGCTTAAAAGTTTAGAAGTTTCCTTCCAATTCCAACGATCGTCACTTTCGCACGTCGGTAACTCCCTTGTCTTTGAGTTTAAACTATTAGTGTTATATATTTTCTGAAAGCTCTTTTCCAGGGCTACACAATGGTAATATTAATATTTAGAAATACGGTAAAGACAAGGGAGTTATAGACGCGCGAAAGTGACGATCTTTTTTCAAATATGATATTTCATTGTCCAGTAGTGTACTTCCGTTTAAAACCAACAAATTCACCAACTGAACTACGGTTTATTTTATTGAAAAGGCTGAAAATTTCTACAAAATACCATTAAAACGGGTTTAAAATGTCTTATGTCTGCTTTTTTTGAGAGCATAAAGTCGGGTAGTCAAAAATGCGGCTTGATGATACGGTTTAGACACTTTAGCTAAAGAAATCTATCTTTGTATCAATAGATAAAATAGATAGAAAACTAATAAATAAATAGATGAAACAAATGTCAGTAGATAGAGCATAAAAAGTTAGGTATTTAGCGAAATTTTTAGAGAAATTCATTCACCCAATTTCTTCTCAGAGGTTTTTATAGAATTTTTACGAAAAACACGATTTTCATGCTCGAATTTGCTTAAAAGTAAACCCAAATTGACTTAAAAAGATGGGAAATTGAAAAAGAAAGACTTTTTATTGAAAGAAAACCATAGATTAATTGGTGAATTTGTTATTTTTCAAAGGAAATATGAAAAGGAATGAAAAGATTTTCTGGATAACCCAATATTTACAGATTTAGACTGTATGCTTTAAATTTACATTTAAATTTGAAATTTTTAGGTCGAAGAGTATGAGACTTCGGACGATGATGGAGAAATTCGAAGGAATCTCGCGAAAACCATTGCAACAATGCTTTCCACGACTGGAGAGGTTCCATCGGTAAGGTTTCTATCGATTTAAATGTCGGAAACGGTAAAGATATTCAACTAAAGACTAAGAATATCTAAGGGATCATCAGCTGAACATTGTTTAGTCATCAACCGAAGAACCCTGGTGGTCATTTCTCCCGTCGGAAGCGGTGCAAAGTGTGCTCTCGGCGGCTGACTCGGCCACCCACGATCAAACGCCAGGATCAGAGATTTTTGCTGAGGCTTGCAAGTGAGTTTTTAAATTCTAATTTCACAATAGATTTTAGACTCTAGAAACTAAAATTCTACAGGTTTTATTCTAAAATAAAACTATAGATAATTAAGATTCGAGAATTGATTAGTTGATTGGATTAAGCCGTTTAAAATCTTTGAAAACTCTCAAATTTCCAATAGTAAGCGAATTTTTGAGTTTATCACTTAAATATTAAACATTTTCATATGTTGCTTTTGAAAAAAATGCTTTAAACAAACGGTTTTTTGAATGGTTTTTGGTTTTGAAGCAGTCGTGGTTTGTTAGGTCAAACTTTTTTGAGATTTGTGGCTTGTATACTGCCGTAAACATTCTAATAGAAGAAACGGCTTTTATTTTATTCTATTTTTCTATCTTTCTTCTTCTTTTATTCTTCTATTTTCAATCTTCTTCTAAAATTCTTTTCCCTGTCCTAGTTACAGTGATGCAAGAGCTCAAAAAAAGGTGTTTTTAATTGGATTTTAATCCAGTTGTAGACGTCATTAAGCCTTTGTAGTTTATAAACATTATTTAAAACTTTAAAAAGATGATTGAAAAGATGAAAAAGAGTGCATTTTGCTATCCGAGAGTTGAGAAAGCCGAAAAAATGAAGAAGAAGTTTAAAGAAGCAATTGGAATAAGTATTTGATTTCCAGACTCGTTCGCGTTTTTCTCTCGGAAGCCCCATTCAAAGAATTCATCGATTCGGTGTATTTTCGGAGATTTCTTCAATGGAAATGGTTAGAAAAGCGTCCAGTCGACAAGCACACATTTCGCTTGTATCGAGTTCTCGGCAAAGGCGGTTTCGGTGAAGTGTGCGCGTGTCAGGTTTGTCGATTTGAGTCAAAAATAATTTGAGCTTTGAGATTTGAGTCAAAAACGTAGCAGCGGATCAAAATGTATCAAAATATATTAAAATATATTAAAATCTATCTAAATATATCTAAATATATCTAAAAAATGTCAGATTTGATTCAAAAATGGATCAGCGGCTTTGTCGAGTTAAAATTCACGTTAATCCTTGTTTGCTAAGCCATATTTAAGGGCTTGAAGTTTGAAAAGAAGATCGTTTTGTGGCTGAATACTTACAATACTTGTTAGTCAAGGATTCTTGACTAAAAACTATTCTTGATTTATTCTAAAAACTACTGCAAAAATAAATACTAGCATTAAAAAACGAGTTTCCGATTGCATTTCGAAGATTTTGTACCAGAAAACTCGGCAAAGTATGGGTAGTTTTTGAAAAGCAAGGGTCTGAGCTTGATTTCAAAGCTGTAAGCTGTAATGAAATATTTCCAATCATGAGAAAACTGATTGATTTTGATAATTGGTTTTGAATATTGATTTTGAATAGAAATAAGATTTGTTTCAAATTTGTTAAAATAAAGCGATTAAAGTAAAGCGATTAAAGTAAAGTGATTAAATTAAAGTGATTAAAGTATTTCTGCTTGATTTTTGCAGTACTTCTTCAAGGTCAATTATCGCTTCAAGGACAATTATCGGTCAATTACCTGCCAAATCTAGTTTCAAAGTGATCAAATTTTCAAATCAGCTTTGCAAAAACAAGATTTTAAATGCAATCTATTCATTTTTTAAACTCTTAACCTTTCGACTAAAAGAAATTCGCTAAAGTTTTAACCCGGAAAAGTCTTTTCTTTTCCCATTCACTCTTGCCATTCCCGATTTTTCCCGTGTTTGGCAAATTCTCCCAAAAATCCTTTAACTTATTATACTTTTCATGATTTTGAGCTGGGAAGGGCAGTAAGAACACTCAGAAATTAATCAAGAAGCAAACAAGATCATCGTTTTTTTGAAATCGATCACTCCAGGAAAGCAAAGCAAAGTTGATCAAGCTGAATCTAATTTTTGAAATCCACAATATTCCAATTTCTCTAAGATAAGCATACTAAGCTTTAAGGTTGTAGATTCTGAAATAATAGTAATAGAAGAAGAAATAGAAGTAAAGAAATAGAAGCAAGTCTAAACATTCCCATTCTAGTCTACAGGTGTCCCAAAATCCACAATATTCCAATTCCTCTAAGATAAGCATACTTAGCTTTAAGGTGGTAGATTTTGAAATAATTTAAAAGTCTAAACATTCCCATTCTAATCTACTAATCTACTAATTCAAATCCCATTCTAATCCCATTCTAATCTACAGGTGTCCCAAAAGTTCTTATATTTTTTATAAACGGACAGTTTCACGCGAAAAACACGCTGCTTTTGTGAAACTAATGCCGGATTATGAAAATTCAGGTATTTTTACCTTATTATACTCTTTTTTATACAAAAATGGCAACTCTAAACAACTTTTGATGAAGATGTTTAAAGGTAGCTTTTCTTGCTTTTAAGTAAGTAGTAATAGAAGAAGAAATAGAAGCAAAGAAATAGAAGTCAGTCTAAACATTCCCATTCTAGTCTACAGGTGTCCCAAAAGTTCTTATACTTTTTATAAACGGACAGTTTCACGCCGAAAACACGCTGCTTTTGTAAAACTAATGCCGAATTATGAAAATTCAGGTATTTTTACCAAATCTAGTTCAAAAGTGATCAAATTTTCAAATCAGTTTTGAAAAAACAAATGAAATCTATTCATTTTTAAATCTAATCTATTCATAAATGAAATCTATTCATTTTTAAACTCTTAACCTTTCGACTAAAAGAAATTCGACTTTCGCTCAAGTTTTAACCGGGAAAAGTCTTTTCTTTTCCCATTCTCGATTTTTTCCCGAGTTTGGCGAATTCTCCCAAAAAAAATCCTTTAAACATATTACACTTTTCATGATTTTTTTTCGCCTGTGAATTTCTCAAGGATTCTCTTTTCGAGAGACAAAATATGAAATTCTTCATAGTTCGACTATCTTTAGTTTTTTGTTTGGTGAAGATTTAGGCCGGAGATTGCTTGGGGTGAAAAGGGGATTGAATTCTTTAAAAAAAAAATAAACACGGTGAATAGCAAAGCCAATCGAAACCAATCAACAAAGACTGTTGTTAATTTCTTTTTTGATTTAAGAATGGTTGTCAAGGAATTTTAAAATGAATCGTTATGAAAAATGATTCGACGCAGACAAAACAATGTAAAAATTGTCTCAAAAGGCGTCTACTTTGGTAGCAAAGAAATTTTCAATGATTTTGAACTGGGGAGGGCACGAAGAACACTCAGAAATTGATGAAGAATCAAATAAGATGACGACTTTTTGAAATCCATTATTTCAGCAAAGCAAAACAAAGTTGATCAAGCTGAATCTTTTAAGTTTTAACCGGGAAAAGTCTTTTCTATTTTTCTCGATGGGATTTCGCGACTTTTTTTGCCGTTAGAAAGCGTTAGAACCAGGCTCGGCATCGGCTTTCAAATCGGATCCGATTCGATTGCAGCCCTCAAAGTATCGTTGTCTACCGCTTGAGGTCGACGAGAGTGTTCATGATCCACGAGACTTTCATCACCATTCCGAAAGCGTTAGAACCCGGCTCGGCATCGGCTTTCGAACAATACATCATTCCCAAATGCTTTGACCAAATCTCGATGGGATTCTGCGGCTGTTTTGTCTAGTTTGAAGTCATAAAGTAAGCAGACGCGAACTTGATGTTAATGTTAATGATAATCTATAGTAGATCTGGCTTTCGGTGTGGCTTTTTCAAATCGAATCGGTCCATAGCCACAGCCAAAGCCTTGTAAACACTTTCACTAGAAGAAATTTTGCATTTAAAAACAAGATAACGTACTTTTAAATACAGAAAGATATGTTTTAAAAGCTTCTCTCACAACAAAAAGTTTAGCAACGCTTATTTATATCCGAACAACCTAATAGTTTGGCGAATTCTCCCCAAAAATCCTTTAACATATTACACTTTTCATGATTCTGAGCTGGGGAGGGCACTAAGAACACTAAGAAATTGATCAAGAATCGAACAAGATCATCTATTTTTTTGAAATCCATCAGTCCAGCAAAGTTGATCAAGCTGAATCTTTTAAGATAGAAAAATATGATTTCAAAAACTTTTTTTATCATTATTTCCTGTCAATACCGTTTTTCAGTTTGGTCAATTTTCCACAAATCGTTCACTAAACCAGTTTTCGTTTCCTTAAAAGCAAATTTTGATAATCTATCTGAAAGAAGAAGAATTTTTCTTTAAAACTGTACTTTTTATAGTCAGATTACTTTGAAATTATCGATTTTGAGAGCTTTAAACTAATCGAGTTTAAAAAACGCAGGAATTTAAAGGGAATTATCTCAATAATAAAGATTTGTCTCTATAATAAAATTTGTAAAAGCCAAAAGTGTCTCAAATCTGTATGGTTACACAATTTTTGACTTTACACCAATCATATAAACCTCAAGATACGAAAAATATGGTTTAAAAAACTTTTTTATCATTATTTCCTGTCAATACCGTTTTTCAGTTTAGTCTAGCTTCTACAAATCGTTCTCTAAACCAGTTTTCGATTCCTTAAAAGCAAATTTCGATAACCTATCTGAAAGCAGAAGAATTTTTCTTTAAAACTATACTTTACAAAGTCAGGTTACTTTTGAAATTATCGATTTTGAGAGCTTTAAACATTGTTAATCGAGTTTAAAAAAACGGAAGAATTCAAAGGAGTTCAAGGGAGAAAAAAAACATTGAAAAAGCACTTCAAAAAACAAATTTCTCTGAAAACATACATATAAAAAGGATAAAATAGTCAAATTTTTAAGATCTGAGTTTCATTTTGCTCTATCTTGATGGAGTTTTATTTTAAAACACGTCTATTAACGCAAACAGAACTTTTCAACCACTGTGGTACTCCTTCTTTTGCGCAATTTTGATTTCCCCGACACTCACACTCATCTCATGAACATTTTCATCATTTGGATCAGATGGAAAACCAATTGGAAATTCATTGGCACCGAGAAGGACCTATAAGAGGAACCCGGAATGAATTCTCCTCCGTTAGATGAGAGAGGACTCTCCTCTACCCATCGTTTTCTCCCATTTCTCCGCCATTTTGCCAAGCCAGGGTCGAGATTCTTGATATCGACCCCTTTCTCTATCTCCTCTTCTTGCTTTCCCCCTTTTTCTTGCTCATTTTGAGGGTGACTGGGGGACTGATGAGGCCTCAAGGGCCCAAGACTCCCTCTTCTTCCACATCTCTTCCACTAAGGTCTCCGAATTTTGACTATTTTAGGATTTTTTCAAGGGATACACCTTAGTTTTGAGGAAATGGAAGATAAAGATGTTGTAGACTAAAGATATTGCAATGTAGCAGTCCTCGTTTTAAGTCGAAATAATAGATTGAGATTCTAATGACTCTATTCAGTCTTGGGTTGAAGGGATCTTTGATTTGTTGGATGAATATTGCGGTGAGACTGAAATTTTGCAGACTCAAGAAATCGATCTGTAATTGGTCTGGGATCGATCTGGCACTAAAACTGGTCTACAAGTTTTAAAACTATTGACCTTACTGTTTTCAATGAAAAAGAAATGGCTAATTCGATCGGTTTGTTACTCAGTTTAAAGTTTTGGCAATGTAAAAACTCGAATTTGAAACTAAGGACTTATCAATTGATAACTTCTAGTAAATCTAAAGTTTAAAAACATTCTTCAGATCAACTTTGATCCCCTGAAAAGCTAATAAGATGTAAATTGATGTAAATTGATTAGATCAAAGCTCTATTTTTCATTCCGAAATTGGGAAACTGATGAAATGGAGTCAAGAAATGCGTCAATCATTAGAAAACGGGAAAGAAAAGTTGATGGAAAGTGATGAAGAAGTGAAGGAAAAGGTGAAGTAAAGAGTAAGAGTCGACTGTATTTGATCCTTTCCGTTTCGATTCCCATAGTCATACATCACTTCATTTGACATCATTCTTCAAATAATCCGTTTTACCAAAGATAAACGAGCGAGACTCATGAGAAATTTGCGATTCCCATAGTTGCTTTTTTATTGGTCTCATGAGGGGAAATGATTAGTTGACCACGTGGCGCGGCTAGCTTTTACGATGAGATGAATTCCCTGCTTTGATCGGATGGGGAAATGAGAGAATTGAAATATAAATCGAGTGAATTTATAATCAACCACATCCAATGCGTTCAACATTCAATGATAACGCAAAAATGGTCAATCAGAATTCTAAGATTCGGGTTTTATGAAAAGTTGTGCTTTGAGCTGGATTTTAGAATTAGATTAGATGATTTGGAGTAATAAGAAAAACTTGGAGACGCTTGAAAGCTTGGAGTAAGAAGAAAAACTTGTAGAGGCTTGAAAAGCTTTTACTTAGAAGCTTTTATTTATAAGCTTTGACTTATAAGCTTTTACTTTCAGGTCCGATCCTCCGGCAAGATGTACGCGTTGAAGAAATTGGAGAAAAAACGGGTAAAGAAGCGACACGCAGAGACTCTATCGCTGAATGAAAAGCAAATTCTGCAGAGGATCAATTCCCCTTTTGTGGTGAGTGATTGAGTGAAAAGGCTCAAAGATAGTTAACTAAAAGATACTATTAAATGAGATCTGAGAGAAGGATTTAAAGATTTAGTGTTACTTGTGACTCATTAAAGGTAAGTAACAGATGTGATGACCAAACACTAGGCTACAAGTTACAAGTAGGCTTATGAGTAGGCCTTCTTTTAACTCTCACAATCAGCTTTGCCACTTGTTACTCAACTTTCAGCCAACGGAAATTTTACTGTTAAGCAAATCAAGCTCTTAAAGAAGTTAAATCTAACTGTAAAGTGGCATAAAATTCAAATTTCGTTAATCAAAAAGTTTCGAATAAGAACTTGTCACTTTTTGAACAAAACAAAAAGATACACTTAGTAGTTTTTGTAGTAGGATTTTGGTTTGTGTGTGAGACAAGTGTGAGAGTCAAAAATGGAGGACTGGAGATGTTAGCTGTCAGCCCAGTTTGAGCACTTTCTTCAAAAGAAACCCATTTTGGTGTCAATAGAAAAGTTGTAGAGAATCAAAAATTAGGCTTATAGCCAAATTTCCAAAAAGATACACTTAGTAGTTTCGCTTAAAATGCAAGCTTTGTTGCAAGTTTTGTGAAAATTCGTACACTGGCATTTCTTGAAAACCAGTTTTTGAATCGTTCTGAAAATCTGGATATAAGCTTTATTTTTGATTCTCTACAACTTTTCCATTGACACCAAAATGGGTTTCTTTTGAAGAAAGTGCTCAAACTGTCACATATGACAATAGCCCGCAGTTTTCAATTGCACCAACCCAATAGATACGCCATATATAATTATAAGCCTGTAGAACTCTATTAGATTTGTTAGTTTATGGATTGACTCTACTAGAGTCAATCCATAAACCATTCAAGACATAAACTCATTGGTTGCATTTAGGTCTCCCTCGCGTACGCCTATGAGACAAAGGATGCTCTGTGTCTTGTGCTCACATTGATGAATGGAGGTTCGTTCCAACGAGAAGCCATCTTGGAATCTTTTGTTTCTAGGCGATCTCAAATTTCACCTTTACAATATCATGCCTGGGGGTTTCGAAGAGAAACGGGTACAATTCTATGCGGCTGAGATCACCCTCGGACTGCAACACTTACATCGAGAACGGATCCTGTATCGAGATCTCAAACCCGAGAATATTTTGCTTGATGATTTTGGTGAGTTTATAAAGAATTCAAGGGAAATAAATTGAATCTAATGCCCTAAATTTGATCTAAATTTGACAAATAAAAGACTTTTATTACTTTAAAAGCAAAGATGATACGGGAAAACTGTTATGGAGACAAGTAAAGAGATCAGTCCTGCTTGAATAGACAATACAGTAGTAGCTATAACAGTAACTGTATTCAAGATCTGTAATAGAAAGTTTTCAGAGCTGAGAACTAAATAAAGGAACTAAATAAAAGCGCTAAATAAAAGAACTAATAGGTTGATGCATAAGTCTTTTCGTTTTTTTCGTACTTCTGTTAAAAAGTAACAAATTCACCAATTAATCTATAGTTTTCTCTATAAAAAAAGTGTTTTTTTGTTCAATTTGCATCTTTTTAAATGAATTTCGGTTGACTTTCAAGCAAATTCGAGAGTGAAAAACGCCTTTTTCGTAAAAATCTATAAAAAACTCTACGGAAAAATTGGCTGAATGAATTTCTCTGAAATTTTGGCGAAATATCAAACTTTTTTTTCTCTATCTTTTATCTATTGACACGAAGATAGGTTTTCTTTAGCTAAGGTGTCTAAACCGCATCATCGAGTTAGCCCTTTTTGACTACCCGACTTCATACTCTCAAGAAAATCCAGGCATAAAATATTTTTAAACCCGTTTTAATGTTATTTTGCAGAAAAATAATTGGTTTTTCTAATGAAATCAACCGTAGTTTAATTGGTGCATTTGTTGGCTTGAAACGGCAGACGAAAAGGAACAAAAAGACTTATGCATCAACCTAATAAATAAAATAAGTTTTACTCATAAACTTTTTGATCAATCAAAAAAGCTTTTGTACAATTTAACTTAACATCTGTTTTACGAAATGTTTTACTAAGAAAATGATTAGAAATTTCAATATATTGGACAACTTTTTCTTTAGGCCATGTTCGAATCTCGGACCTCGGACTGGCTGTTGAGTTGAGAGACAACGAGCCGATCAAGGGACGAGTGGGAACTGTTGGTTACATGGGTAAGTACAAGGGTAAATTGGTTTACAGGGTAAATATATAGTGTTGCGTTTTCGTGAACCTATTTTCCTGAAAGAATTCCCATCAAAAGTACGGAGTGTTCTACGTTTCCTGAAAGCTGAAATGTTTCTCTATCGAATGGTTGTAAAAATGTGCTATTTCGGTTAGGCCTTGTCGAGTTGTGACGCTGGAAAGACGACTAGAGTTTTGGTAAAGTTGAAGTTACTGAAATTGAGATCAATATGCCGTTCAAAATTCATTTTTTCAACCTGTAGGCATTATTAACTTAAAATGTTTTGAAGAGATCTCGTGCCATGCCTTGCTCGGCTTAGTCGGCTTGAAACCATCACAAATTGACAAGGAGTCATTGAAAATAAGATCGTTTACTACCATTTGATAGAGAAAGATTTCAGCTTTCAGGAAATATATAAAACACCGTACTTTTGGTGGGGATTCTTTCAGGAAAATAGGTTTCCCGTGAAAAGCACAACACTATAAATGCTGTACCCTGTCATTTAAATCATTCATTGATAGTTATTAAACCTTTGTTTAGCCCCCGAGATCATCAAGAACGAGCGCTATTCGTATGGAGTTGATTGGTGGGGAGTCGGGTGTCTCATCTATGAAATGATTGAAGGAAAGGTGGTGTCTTGAAGCTATTCAAAGATTCAAACAAACACAACTATTTGTAGAGATATTAACAGCTTAAGCAAGCCTTAACCCTGTCTACTCAATTCAAATTTTATCGTCTTATTCGCGGGAAGAGTTTTCGTTCAAAATTTTGGTGGGCAGGGTTAAGAAGTTTAACAATTTGCATCAATTAGTATTGGGATGAAATAGTAACCGTATTGGAACCGTATTGGAACCGTATTAGATCAAAAGAGGAACCGTATTGGAGCCGTATTGGGACCGTATTAGATCAAAAGAGGAACCGTATTAAAGCCGTATTGGAACCGTATTAGATCAAGAGAGGAACCGTATTGGAGCCGTATTGGAACCGTATTGGGAGGAAATAGTAACCGTATTGGAACCGTATTGAAGCCGTATTGGAACCGTATTGGAACCTTATTGGAACCGTATTGAGATGAAATAGTAACCGTATTGGAACCGTATTAGATCAGAATAGGAACCGTATTGGAACCGTGCTATTTCTAGTAAACTTTGAACATTATCGATCAACAAACTTCTAGGCTCCGTTCCGACAACGAAAAGAAAAAGTGAAACGAGAAGAAGTGGAGAGAAGAGTGAAAGAAGATCAAGAGAAGTATTCGGACAAATTCTCCGAAGCTGCGAGGACATTGTGCAGGTTAGTCAGGCTTGTTATCTGTCTCTAAAATAGTTCAGTTTTTAAAAATACTGTCGTTTTAACATTCAGAAATTACTATAAACAATTTAAAAGCTTCAAAAAATTAAGTTTTATTAAGGGATTAAACTTTGAAAACTCAAAGATGACTTGCGCGTCAATAACTCTAGTTTAAGAGACGATATAACAATGTTGAAAACTCCAATCAGCTAGAAAATAAGCATCGAGAGTTACTTAAAATTTATTTCCCAAAAATCAAACCAAAAATTAAAATTTCGGCTGAACTCGACATTCTGGAATGAAGCGTTATAATTGTAGATCATTCTGTAATCTAATTGCTATTTCAGAGGCCTTCTACACAAAGAACCATCGTTTCGCTTGGGATGTCGACGAGTGGGAAAACCGGAAGATGGAGCTGAAGAGATGAAAGTGCATCCATTCTTCACACAAGGAGACGCCGATCGAGGCAGAGAACCGGTGCCATGGAAGAAAATGGAAGCTGGAAAGGTTGGTAGTGATGTTATTGTTTAACTTTTACTCACTAGGAAAGTCAACTAGAAAAGGTGAACGAATTTGGTGGACCAACCAAAGAATTAGACCAAGGCTAGCTCGAAAATAGTGTGAAATAGTCTAGGTTTCATCTGATTTGGCCAGCTTTGTCGGTCGGTCGGTTGTCAGAGAGTCGGTTGTCAGCCGGTTGATCTTCTCTAGCTCAAGCTTTGTCTTTACCTTAACCTTCTCAAAGATTAGCGTACTTAAGCAGCTAAAGATAGTAATTATAAGAAAAAATTCAAAATTCTCTTTCAGTTAACACCTCCATTCTGTCCGGATCCGAGAGCTGTTTATGCAAAGGACGTTCTCGACATCGAACAGTTCAGCACGGTGAAAGGAGTACGATTGGATGCCTCGGACACTCAATTCTACGGGAAATTCAACACCGGTTCTGTTTCGATTCCTTGGCAAAATGAGGTGAGGGTTCACTAGTTTACTAAATGTTTAAAATAGGTTAAAAGAAAGTTACTAATTTGTTCTTTAGATGATTGAAACCGAGTGCTACACCGAGTTGAACGAGATCTACGTGAATGGAGAATTGGTGAGTTGAAAAATTCACCCAAAATAAGCCAAAACTAACCAAAAACAGCAATCAGTTTTTTGTAACATCTTATTGATTTGTTTCTAGGCTTTCAATCTTCGTGATGACTGTGCCCCTGGGGAACCAGGCGCTCGAAACGGTGTCTCCAGCGGGAAACCGGGTTTCTTCTCGCGACTCTTCAAGCGAAAGGTATTCAAAAGAATCTAAAACTTCTAAACATAACAAATCAACCTTCTGCGCACTTTCAAAACCGCATGAAGTCTTTGAGTTTCTTTGTTAAGCGCTTCTCCTCAGCTACATTTAGCTTCGGCTACATTCGGGGAAAAATTGAGCATCTTGCAAAGGAGAGATCTTGCAGTTGATTGTTTAAATGTTGTAAAACTGGTGGTAATGTGGGGAATGATTGATTGAGAATTGAAAAATTAAAGTGTTAAAGTAATGATAACTAACTATGATTCAGAATTGGCTTGTTATTTGTATAAGTATTGCTCAAAAGTGGAAATGTACGCTTTCCGGTGCACTAGTTTGGCACAACAACTAAGAAAACGGAGAACTGAGTGTGCCAGGAGACGTGTGTTTACATTTTTGAGCTTAAAGTACACGGTAAAGGATAGGCTAAACTTCAAAATATGGTTAAATCCTAGTACTTGGCTTGTTACAGGTGAAACTCTCTGAATTTTTTTAAAAACTCTCGGGATTTTTAGTTCCTTTCTCAAAAACTAGTGGATAGTTTTGGGAGCTCAAAATACCAGAGAATAGCAAATTTTTTTTGCGCATCTTTTGATGTATAAAGCATTGGAGGAAAGTTATTAGGTAGCGAGAAAATCTATAAACTGCAAAGGGGGAAAGTACTCGCCCTAAAGTGTCTTCTAAACTTCTAAACTGTCTTTTAGAAAAGAAATTCGAATCAAAACTGAACCTCTTTCAAACCAAAAGCTTGTTAGCTAAATATTCCATTTTGGCGTACTGTAATGAGACAAGTCACTGGGCTTTAAATCTTTATAAGGAAATCTGAAACTTGATCTATACCAAAAAAACCGAGCATGTCACTTCTAGGCGGGTATTTGAGAGTCGCCTCTTTCTCTCAAAATCACAGTTCGGGTGCTCTCTTCTCTCTGTGTCAATTTCCTCTCTATTTGATAGTCTTTCGAGGAATGGAAAAACTAAGCAATTGTAAGTGGCCTGAGCCTGCTTTTTGTGATGCGAGTTCTACATTGCAGTTTTCTTTGTCTTTGCCCAGCCCTCTCTTGCACGCTTCCCACAAAAAGTTCTGGTTTTCTTGGTCCCTTGGATGATTTCCCTGGCTCTACAAGTGTTTCTGACCGTTTTCTAAGAATTGCTCTTCAGAAAAGTTACCGTATCCCCTCAGCAATCATTTCTAAATGTCAATCAGCAGCCGATTCAAACTTTTGACTTTTAACCGTTTAGATCTAATACAAGTTTTAGCTGGGTTACGTTAGCTTACGGTAGCTTACGGTAGCTTGCGATAGCTTACGGTAGCTTACGATAGCTTACGATAGCTTACGGTAGCTTACGATAGCTTGCGATAGCTTACGATAGCTTACGGTAGCTTTTTTTGAAGCAACAGAAAGAAAACAATCAGCAGATGAAGGTTTTTTCGTGTTCCTGAGCTATTTTCTTCAGAAAAGCTACTGTAATCTAGATGAAATTTGTGTCAACTTTAAAAATCAACAAATAGACTTGATTACTGATCTACATTCTGTACATTTCATCTAAAATAGTATCTAAATTAATATCTAAAATAGCCGGGGTACGGTAACTTTTTCCAGAAACGATTTTAGAAAACCCTTAAAGAGAAGGACTAGTTTTTCTTCGATAGACTGTGTGCTCACTGGAAATCCACTCTTTCTGGGACACTAGATTGCTTGATTTTCTCATTAAGTGCACCAGATAGAATTTGTTTTCATGACAGACGCAAAGTACACTTACAAGAATAAGAATCAGGCTTCTGAGAAAAGTTTCTATTCATTTCAATAAACTTTTTAAAGTTCACAAGCGAAAAACCCTCTAATCCATAATAATTTTTGATGATTTTTAATAATTTTACTATCTCATAATGCTTTTTGTAAACTTTTCAAAAAGGAAAACTATTCAGCCGTGCATGGCATGCGGAACGTTGTGTCTTCCCTGTATCGGGTAACTTCTACAGTACTTTTAATATAAACAAAACACTTTGCAAACTTTTCCACAAAGCTTTATAGTACTTTGTGGTACTTTTTTTTTGGTTTAATTGCCTATTTTGAGATTTTGATTTTCAACTCTAACTGAAAAAGTATCACTATAGATATCATAGTGTTTATGCTATAGTGAAAAAGTATCACTATAGCATAAACAAAGCTTTTCTAGCTAAAGGTTGGCTGAAAAAGTTCTTATCCGCATTAGTAGATTTGTCTCTATAATATCTAAAACTTTTAAAAGTCTAAAGTGTCTCAAATTTGAATGGTTATACAATTTTTGACTTTACGCCATATAAACCTAAAGATACGAAAAATATGGTTTCAAAAGCTTTTTTATCATTATTTCCTGTCAATACCGTTTTTCAGTTTAGTCCAGCTTCTACAAATCGTTCTCTAAACCAGTTTTCGTTTCCTTAAAAGCAAATTTCGATACCCTATCTGAAAGAAGAAGAATTTTTCTTTAAAACTATACTTTACAAAGTCAGATTACTTTTGAAATTATCGATTTTGAAAGCCTTAAACATTGTTAATCGAGTTTCAAAAAACGAAAGAATTCAAAGGAGTTCAAGGGAGAAAAAACATTAAAAAAAGCACTTCAAAAAACAAATTTCTCTGAAAACAAACATATAAAAAGGATGAAAATAATCTAATTTTCTAAATTTGAGTTTCATTTTGCCCTATCTTGACGGAGTTTTATTTTAAAAACATGTCTATTAATGCAAACAGAACTTTTCAACCACTGTGTACTCCTTCTTTTGCACAATTTTGATTTCCCCGACACTCACACTCATCTCATGAACATTTTCATCATTTGGATCAGATGGAAAACCAATTGGAAATTCATTGGCACCGAGAAGGACCTATAAGAGGAACCCGGAATGAATTCTCCTCCGTTAGCTATATACAAATCGTTCTCTAAACCAGTTTTCGTTTCCTTAAAAGCAAATTTCGATACCCTATCTGAAAGAAAAAGAATTTTTCTTTAAAACTATACTTTACAAAGTCAGATTACTTTTGAAATTATCGATTTTGAAAGCCTTAAACATTGTTAATCGAGTTTAAAAAAACGAAAGAATTCAAAGGAGTTCAAGGGAGAAAAAAACATTAAAAAAAGCACTTCAAAAAACAAATTTCTCTGAAAACAAACATATAGAAAAGATAAAAATAATCGAATTTTCTAAATTTGAGTTTCATTTTGCTCTATCTTGACGGAGTTTTATGATAAAAACCCGTCTATTAATGCGGACAGAACTTTTGAGCCACAGAACTAATTGTAATCACTTCTAGCACTTGCAGCTGCTTCACGAACCTTCTTCTACTTACTCTACTTACTCAAAGCATACTCTAACGGTACCCCAAGCTGTGCACTTTGTGCTCAAAAATGGAAACACGCTCTTCTGGCGTACTCGATTCTCGATTTTCTTGCGAATTCGTAGAAGTGACTGCAAGAAAAGCAAAGAATTGACTACACGAAGTTGAGAGTTTTCATTTTTAAACACAAAATAAGCCTTTAACCTTTACCTTTAAACCTTTAAACTCTTTCTTTTCTGCTTGGGAATGTCAGCTTTTTTAGGAAACGGGTTTTTCTAATCGCTTTTGCTCTCTTTGCACGCCAGTTTTTCAAATCTATCTCATAATAACATTTTCTTGAAGTAATCGTCGTTTTTAGACGCCCCTCTCCAATGGAAACCTACTCAGCGCCTGTGCAAAGTGTGGCGCTGCGGGAACAAAGTGTGAATGTGGAAATAAAGTAGGAAACTATCTAGAAACTCTCAAAAATTCTATACTTTCTTGATGTCGTTTTTATTTTTTTTTGTTGTTTTGTTGAATGAGACTTTTCAGCACCATTATATCGATTATTTCAAGAAAACAATGAAAAGTTATACGCAAAGCTATTAGATAGTTTTAATTGTGTTTTAAATTTTGAATTTCTAACAAGGGAACCTTCCCAAGTTACTTAAATATGAGGTAGGTGTCAAAAGAAAGGCCTGAAAATGTACACTACTGGACAATGAAATATCATATTTGAAAAACGATCGTCACTTTCGCACGTCTGTAAACTCCCTTGTCTTTACCGTATTTCTAAATATTAATATTACCATTGTATAGCCCTTGAAAAGAGCTTTCAGAAAATGTATAACACTAATAGTTTAAACTCAAAGACAAGGGAGTTACAGACGCGCGAAAGTGACGATCGTTTTTCAAATACGATATTTCATTGTCCAGTACTGTACGTTCAGAAACTGTTTTCAAAAACCGCTAATCGGCAAAGCGCACAAAGAAAACAGTTTCTGAACGTACATTTTCAGGCTTTTCTTTTGGCACCTACCTCATATTGTAACTCGCGGGTAACTTGGGAAGGTTCCCTTGTAAGCTTTTTATAAGGCTAAAAGTTTAAGGAAAGGCTCTATAGATTGCTTTTGTTTGCCAGATCAACTTATGAACTTTTGCAATGCAAACTAAACAATCATCAAGAAGGAGTCTGATTATAATAAGTCTATGAATTATGAGTATTTTTCAGGTAACGAAATCTTTGCACGATCTTCAGCTGGCCACCGAGAACAGCTCCGATGATTTCGGGAAACCGAGGGCCGCGTCAACGAGTGGGAGACCTTCACTGCCACACGCAATTCCTAGCAGTAGTCATGGATAGATGTTATATATTTGATAGGATAGATCTATGATCAATTCATAACTTGAAAAAAGCGAAAAGTTCATAACCATCTAATAAATTAATGCATTTAGCTACTAAATCTTGTTTTTAGAGTACCCAGCTAATTTTGGATAGCTATAGATACAAATTAGCATGAACAACAATTTGTTGAGCGCTGTAAATTCCTTAAATCATCCGTTTTATATCATTTCTTTAAGAGCTCACCATTTCCAAAGCGCCAAAGCGCCAACCTAATCTCCCTTTGTTAGTATGGGATTTCATGAGTAAATGTGCAGGTAAAGATTGCGTGAAATTTGCCAAATGCCAGTTATACCAGTCAGAATTCCTGAAAATTGTTGGTGTTAAACAGAAGTACGAAAAGAAACGAAAACGAATGAAAGACTCTGGGAAGCCTAATCGTTGACTAACAGTTTCAAAGTTTCACTACAATTCAAACACCCTAAACTCTTAAAAGTCAAATTAGTGCTTTAAAAACTAGATAACTTTTTGAAAAGTTTAAGATTTTGGTCATAGATCTATCACCTCAAAAATCTCACAATTCCTCGTTGCCATTTTTCAGAAAAACCACGACATTTAGCTTTTTCTTTTCCCGTTCACAAAAAATCGCCAAAATTGCTTCAAAATGCTCCTTGCCGTTCACCCCAATTTTCCCGTCGATTTTCGTCAATTTTCGAAAAAACTTTTCAATCACTTGGGGAGTGGGACAAATGCGACCTTTTTTTTACGCACCCGGACATTTGCGCACCTTTTTTCCGCACTTTGCCCATTAGCGCACCTTTTTTCACGTTTTAAAAAGCTCTAAAAAGCTAATATTAACCAATTTCTATTCCAAAAGTTGTTTTTCTAGGTAATTTTAGGGCGTAGAATCGATATTTTGACATATCAGAGCTTGTGGAAACAAACGGATGGAGTTATACAAAGAGAAAGATCGACAATTTTCTATAATTTGATCTAGCCGTTTTGTCTTTCAAATTGGTTCCACACGCTCTGTTATGTCAAAATTTGAATTCGACACCCTCAAATTTTGTCGATTTTTGTTCCACCTTGCTCTCCTGAAAGCTCTTCCTCTTTCTGGGCACGGGCCTCCACCTTACTCTGCAACACGATTAACCAGAATGAAATTCTTTCCCACCTCTATTCTTTTATGTGACCAAAAAAACGCGTGTTTCAGGAAACGCGCCGTAGAATATACACAAAGTCTCAATTTTTAGGTTTAAAAACGGCAAAAGTAGTTTGAGTGCTGGCTTTTCAAGGGAATTTCCTTGAAAAGCCAAGAAAAAGTTTTTGACTATTGATGGTTCAGTGGTAGAATGCTCGCCTGTCACTTGTGCAACCCGGATCTAAGAAATATATATTTATACCTTGATCTTTATAATTTCTTGTGAGACCGTGTCTCGGTGTGGTTTAATGGTAGATGGTGTGGAACCAATTTGAAAGACAAAACGGCTAGATCAAATTACAGAAAATTGTCGATCTTTCTCTTTGTATAACTCCGTCCGTTTGTTTCCACACGCTCTGTTATGTCAAAATTTCGATTCTACGCCCTAAAATTACCTAGAAAAACAACTTTTGGAATAGAAATTGGTTAATATTAGCTTTTTAGAGCTTTTTTTAAAACGCGAAAAAAGGTGCGCTAATGGGCAAGGTGCGGAACAAAAGGTGCGCAAATGTCCGGGTGCGTAAAAAAAGATCGCATTTGTCCCACTCCCATCACTTGTAATTCTTTTCTTCAAATACATTGTTTTTCCTTGCATATCAGTAATTTTTGCGAAAATTTTTCCGAAATCCTTTTCTTCTTTTGTTCGTTTTGTTCGTTTTGCTATTTTGCTCACCATTCTCGTGGCTTGTGTGTCATTTTTGTGCGAAAAATTTTGTTGTTTCTTTTTAGGCAATTTTCAAGGCGATTCTTTTTGTTTTTTCTTCATTTCTCTAGTCATTTTTGCTTTATTTTATAAACAAAACTTGAAAGATTAGCAATTTTTTGTCATTTTTTTTTGTTTTTCGTCATTGTCAAGCTTTCCTGGCACTTTTTTTCTTTAAAACCACTTTTTTTTGGGGTAGTTTTATGCGTAGATTCCAAAAAAACAGAACGAGTCTTAGGAAAAGGCGTTTGAAGTCAAGTTTTGGTGCGCTATAAGGTATATTGTACTTCACTATTTGGAGCCCAAGCTATCGACTATTGCGGCACTTTTCAACGTCAAAGCTAGAGCCAAAACCATTTTTAACCACTAAATATTAGTCTTCTAGGTGTGTGTTGATGGACCGAGGTTTCTGGGGATGACGCTCCAAGACCTTGATGGACCGAGGTTTCTGGGGATGACGCTCCAAGACCTTGATGGACCGAGGTCTCTGGGGATGACGCTCCAAGACCTCTGCCCATCAACACATCAAAATTCCGAAAAACACACTATAGAAGCGCGCACTTTGAAGCCCCGAAACTCGGCTTAATACTCATTTTCCCAAGCTCTCGTCATGTTTTTGGAATCGACGCATAAAACTACCACAAAAAAAGTGGTTTTTAAATGGTAGTCCCTACAAGGCGAAGATTTTTCGTCATTGTCAAGCTTTCCTGTCAAATTTTGCCCCTGTGAAACTCTTTTTTTTTCGTTTTTCTTCTCCCACTCCCTAAAAGGCGAAGATTACGGTATTAATTTTATGCTAATTTCAGTTGAATGCTAATTTTTCTGTCTGCTGTTAATTGTTATAAGGCTTTTTTTTCGACTTTTTCAGTCATTCCAGCATTTGGTTCTTTTCCAATATCGGGGGAGCGGAAGGATTATCGGGGGAGCGAAAGGAAACTCGGGGGAGCAAATTTTGGCAGCGCTACATATGTCCTATATTATACAAACTACCGCCATAAAATCCGCGAATTACCCGTTATTCTCACAACCTTTAGATTAGATTTATATTAGCGAAATAGATCTTTTCCCTTTGAGCCGACTTTCATCGATTCGCCACAATTGCAAATCCACGACTGGATGACTCCTTTGGTGACGAAATAATCGATTGCCGTCGATTCCTTGAACGCACAAATATTGGAGAAGGCGCATCGTCGTTAAAGTTTGAAAAAAAAACGTTGCAGTTAAAATACAGTCCCGGAAATGCATTTTTCGAGGGGGCAAAATTTGCTCTCCCGTTTTTCCTTTCGCTCCCCCGATAATCTTTCCGCTCCCCCGATATTGGAAAAGTACCCAGCATTTTTCTCTCTCTCTCGATTTTCTTATGAAAAGCTTTGAATCATTTTTTTTATTGATTTTCTTTAAAAAAACAGTTTCCCTGGTCAGTTTATAAAGGTTTAAAATGAGATAAATAGTTATGTGCTGAAGGATTTTTACAGATTTATACATAAATGCAAATTTTTGGATTTTACCTTTGAAAGCCTTCATGACATTGCGTCTTTCTGCGCATTTTATGCACATTCTCGTAGGTAGATATGGTTTATCGGAAGTAGAGCTATCACAATAGACGCAAACACATCAAACACACAAAAACAACACAAACAATTCGCCCCTCGGGTATAAAGTGATGTGCTCTCGTTCTCTATCGCGTCTGAACAATCGGTAAATCACACTGACCGTCGATCTTCTTCCACATTGAAGGATCTTCTTCTTCTTCTACATACCTTTAAGATCTCCGCAATCGGCTTCATGACATTCTTGGTTCTTGATTTTGGGCTCTCTTCGGACTGTAACTGAGAATGCCTGAAAGATTTTTGGCTGGGGCCTAATCTATTTGTTGATGTTCTTGTTTGATGTCCTTGTTGCGATCCTTGTGGTGACTATCCTCGGCGATTGGACGAGATCTTCTTAAGATTTCTGCACTATTAGCCCTTTCTCATTTTGTGATCTGTCTTTGGGCCGGGTGGACAGCCCACAAGCCAGTACCCAGGGGGGAGGGGTAGAGTGTGTTCCTCGCGAGTAAGTAATTACTCGAGTAAATTTGCATGAGTAATTTTTTACTCGGGTAATAGCTCGAGTAATTGTCGAGTAATGCGTTTTCTAAAAAGTGCGCTTGGGCAAAAAAAATATAAAAGCAATTTTTTCGCGCAGGTTTTTCAAAAAAATCATTTTTTTACATTGGAAGGGAATTTCCCACCAAATCAGTTAAACGGCTGAGAATCTTTAAAAAGTGTCATTATAATGCGGGGCTCGTGATTTTTGGGGGGTGGGACAAATGCGACCTTTTTTTGCGCACCCGGACATTTGCGCACCTTTTTTTCCGCATTTAGCCCATTAGCGCACCTTTTTTCGCGTTTTAAAAAAGCTCTAAAAAGCTAATATTAACCAATTTCTATTCCAAAAAGTTGTTTTTCTAGGTAATTTTAGGGCGTAGAATCGAAATTTTGACATATCAGAGCTTGGGGAAAAAAACGGACGGAGTTATACAAAGAGAAAAATCGACAATTTTCTGTAATTTGATCTAGCCGTTTTGTCTTTCTCTTTGTCTTTCAAATTGGTTCCACACGCTCTGTTATGTCAAAATTTGAATTCGACACCCTCAAATTTTGTCGATTTTTGTTCCACCTTGCTCTCCTGAAAGCTCTTCCTCTTTCTGGGCACGGGCCTCCACCTTACTCTGCAACACGATTAACCAGAATGAAATTCTTTCCCACCTCTATTCTTTTATGTGACCAAAACAACGCGTGTTTCAGGAAACGCGCCGTAGAATATACACAAAGTCTCAATTTTTTTGGGTTTAGAAACGGCAAAAATGGTTTGAGTACTGGCTTTTCGAGGGAATTTCCTTGCCAAGAAAAAGTTTTGACTATTGATGGTTCAGTGGTAGAATGCTCGCCTGCCACTTATGCAACCCGGATCTAAGAAATATATATTTATACCTTGACCTTTATAATTTCTTGTGAGACCGTGTCTCGGTGTGGTTTAATGGTAGATGTCTTGAAAACGCACAATTTATCAAAGCTTTCCCTATTGATCAAAAGCCTTATTAGGGCAAACTTCGCTCAAACTGGAGCAACCTGGCACTATCACAATTACTTCAACACTTTGGTGTGAAAAAAGGATGAATAGAAAAGGGAGCCCGCAAATGACTCAAGAACTAAGCTTAAATAATGGGTTTTTAAGTAAATAAGCTACGACAAACGGACAAATGAATATCGTCTAGTGGCTGATTACGGTAGTTTATCCATCAACTTTGAATTTTAACTTGTGTATTGAATTTTGACTAACCCTAGAGCCACACCGGACTCGATTCCTGGCCAAGCTCTTTTACTTTTTCTGATAAGAGATGCGGTTTTGTTGGAAACATCTTTTGCAGTGATGAATGTATTTATCAACTTGTACACTTGAATACGGACAAAAATTTAAAGGCAGTAGAATTGAATTGAGAAAAACCCGTAGAATTGAAACAAAAGAGTGAGGAGAATTATCGGAATTGGTGATGACTTCGATGGTGTGGCTGATATTGTCGATGATAGCGATCCTCTTCAAGGCTGTCGTTTTCCTCAACTTCTTGATCCGGATCACTGGCAGAATCGAGCGGGTTTCTGAATGTATGCAGTTAGATTCTACGTTGAAATTCTAAAATTTTCAAGATTTGATTAGATCTGTTGCCCAAGTTATCAGTGGTCTGCTTTTGCAGTGGACCTACGCAAGAACTTTGAGTCCTCTAGAAGCTAGACTTAGTTTGGCCAAATGAAACGCCAAATGACAAATAAAACACAAATGAAACGTATGTAATAATCTAAGAATTTTATGAATAGAAGTGAAATCATAGTTTATTTGTATAGATATATAAAGTTTCTAAATTATATTGTTTATTTATAAATAAAGAACGACAATCAGGTCATAAGACGATCCTAAAAGACCAAGATCCGAAGATCTATCTGTCACAAAAAGCGTCATGATCCGAAGACCAGAGCACCCGCAAAAACTGAGGTTTAGTTCCGTAATGTGGTTAGGATCGGAATCAAGAGGTTTAAGCTGTGACAAAACCAAAACATTCAGCAAATCGCTTATCGAGGATGATCTTGTCGAATTTCCGGGTTATCTAATGATTGCCTTTGACAAATCGAAATACAAACTGTACGTTTAGGGGAAGTGTGAAGACTTATAACTGAATTCGAGCTAACATTCTCTATTATAATATGTTACCGAATTGAGCCAAATTGAATAAGAAAGAGAGAACTTTAATAAAATAAGGACTAAAGCTGATCAGCTGACATAAAAGACAGTTGAAACAATTTCCTCAAGGCTGAATTGATCAATCTGGATTGATCAATACCATTTGAACTCTGAAAACGAGATTCAATGAAACAATATGAAAGTTATAAAAATTTTGTCGTCTGCGTAAGCTATAAGTCTTCAAAGCTGACTTTAAACTATATAAAAGACGGAAATTTCAGTTGAAAAGAAGCCAATTGGAATAATTTCTGGTTTAAGTGTCACTTAATATCGGGTTGGCAACTAAATAATGGCCCTTTTCAGTAAAAAACAAAAAATTTATTAACAAGATGAACAAATATCAACATCAATCCAAAAGGTATTCTCCGTCATTTTTTATTACTTCTTTCCACTTTTGACGGAGCAACTGGATTCCTCTCTTGAAAAATTCTTCTGGTTGATCGCCAAAGAACTTCTGCACTGAAATTCGGACTTCGTCAAGGTCATTGAACTTTTTCTCGGCTAGAAAGTGTTGCATCGATCGAAAAAGATGGTAATCACTAGGCGCCATATCCGGGCTGTATGGCGCATGAGGAAGAACATTCCAGCCCAACTCCTCGATTTTCTCCATTGTAAGTTTTGCAGTGTGTGGTTTTGCGTTATCATGGAGAAAATGAATTGAAGAGGGTTCGAGTCCTTGAGAGCGAATTGCTTGATCTACACGATGTAGTTGAGACGAATAGAGTTCTGAATTAACCGTTTGCCGGCTTTTGAGGACCTCGAAATGCACCAACCCACGAGAACTCCACCACACACGGAGGAGAGTTTTCTTTGAGTGAATATCCGGCTTCGGAGTTGGTTTTGGGTCTTCGTTTGTGCTAAGCCACTGTCGTTTTCGCGTTCGATTATCATAAAAGATCCATTTTTCATCAGAAGTGACAATGGAATCCAAGAAGCTTCCCTTTTTCGCAATTTTTAGTAGTATTCCAGCTGTGATAACACGAGTAGCCTTATTTTCTTCGCTCAATTCATGCGGAATCCACTTTCCACTGCGGTTACTTTTCCCCCAATGCATGAAGTCGCTTTTCGATTGCAGTATGCGAAAAGCCCAATCGACCCCCTAGCTCGCGTGATGTTTGACTTGGATCCTCCTTTAAAGCTGCTTCCAAAATATCGTTCTGCAGAAGTTCGGGTCGTCCTTGGCGAGGCTCATCTTCAAGACTTTCATCCCCTTCCTTGAACCGTCGATACCATCTCTTACATTGTGTTTCGGAAAGAGCTTCATCACCAAAAACTCGCAATAAATCTCTGTGGGATTCGGCAGCTGTTTTGTCTTGTTTGTAGTCGTACCAGAGACAGACACGCATTCGATATTTGAGATCTTCCATTTCTAAACAAAATTATTTGAAAAGTATCAAATCAAGGAAAGTAAAAAACGTATAATAATGCACCAGAAATTCAGTAATATTCAATTAACAACAAGCGAGGGTAGATTAAACGCAAAGATTAAAAGATTTTATCAAAAAAGGGCGAGGGACATTATTTAGTTGCCAACCTAATAGTAAAAGATTCAAATAAAACAAAGCCATAACTATTCGAAAAACTAACAAAGCAACCAATGCAAAAAGTTCACTGACTCAAATTTCAATTTTCTGTGTTGCTCAGGTTTAAATCTTTAAAGCTATTATTTCAAGTGTTAAAATTTAGAATACCGGTAAAGATGAAGACTTGAGCCACACTGTTTGGCTGCTTCGGCGACCGTTTGTTTGCCCACGGGAATCATTTCAACTCCAGAGCCCAGTAGTTCAGCAGCTTCATCTAAATTATGATTGAAAGGGTTTAAGATTTTTAAAAAAAACCATCTTGATTCACTCGAGAAGCACTCTTGTAGTGTCGTGGTAAGCGAGGGTTTGAGGCTCTCATCGAACTGGCTCGGCTCTTCGGTTGAAGGAATGAATGGATACCTAGACAAGAGTTTTATTTGACACCATGGCCGACTGGCTGAGCCCTAGTCGAGAGCAGTAGGTTTGTCGGGAGCTCAAGGGTTCGAGGCCAATCCCGCCGTCTAGTTTATTGATTCTTTTTCTCATACCTATGGTTTTTCTTCTCTAAATTTAGGGCTTAGGGGTTGTGCATGTGTATTGTTGTTGTTCTTTGCTTGTGTATTGTTTGTACCACATTATTCCTGTGAATAAATGTATTTTTGAAGTGAAGTGCTGGTAAAACTAGAGAAAGAATCTTTCTCTGGAAAACCAGAGAAAGAATCAACAAACCCAAGTAGCCTGATTTAATCCAAAAGCGCAAACTATTATTTTGAATTGATCAGGGTTTTTCAAGGCCAGAAGTCAGGTTTTAGGTTGGCTTTTGGCTTTGCTTGGCTGCTTGGCTGCTTGGCTTCTGGCCTTTACTTTCTCCGACCATGGAACTGATCGATTAAAATGATAGGTCGAATTTTGGAGTGAACAGGCTATTTGTGTGTTGTTGCCATTTAAACTACTCCATGAAAGATCCAAATTTAACATTTCTCACAAGAATAACAATTTCTAGTTGATTAAAAACCAGGTTTTACATTGTGAAAGCTGAGATTCTTTTGTGGTCACTGAAAGTTGTTTTCAGTGATTTCCAGGAACCCGATTTAGCTTCTTACTATTGATAGACACTTTAAAACACTTCAAAATTAATTTTAGTGCTTTAACAAAAAAGTAAAGTTGTTTTGACAGTGAGGGAATTCGAACCAGGGACAAAGGGGGACGGGGGCGAGTACAGTATCCGCTACACCATCCGGTTGCTTATCAAATAGAAGATAATTCGGCTCCATACCACGGCGGCGCCGTTTTTCCAAACTTCAAAAGCATTTTTCTCGAAAACTGGATGCTATGGAGTAAGATTGAAAAACACGTATCCCTTAGAATTTCAAGGTGGCTTTTCTGCGTTAGTTCCCATATCTCAAATCGATACTAATTTAGAGCAGGTTCCTAGTCAGTTAAACAGAAAAGATTAAGCTCCACAAGAAGTTGATGAGCTCATCAGATGCCAGACTTGGACCTGGGTTTACCTCCCTCTGGCTTACTGGCTAATCATCCTTAATCAGCTCAACAAACCCTGTGGTGCTTGCCCGTTTTCATCCCTTCCCATCAATAGTAGTTGCCTTTGCATAGAAAGATCTCTCAAATGTTGTTGCCCATCTCGAACCGAGACATACTCTTCCAATTGTTGTCTAAATTTTTCTATTAAAGTTTTTCTATTTCTTAAACTTTGGTGTTTTGTAATCCCTCCACTGTTGTCCTTCACGACATCCAAAGAAAATTGCGACCAAAATCAAGAGAATGATGATGATCACCAAGCCGAAGAGTGGCAACACGAGGATTGAGTCCCAGAAAGAATATTGCTCAACGGGTGGAATGATCTCTGTTGATTCGTCTTCATCAACCGGCCAGATACGAGTGGGTTTTGGCTGAAAGTTTGAAACTGTGCTTTTTTTGATTGGTTAATTACTTCTTTAGATTTAGGCAGGATTCAAAAACTTTCCTGGACAGGGCAGTTAGGTTCTGACCTTGGTTCTGACCTTGGGTCTGACCTAGCTTCTGACCTAGCTTCTGACCTAGCTTCTGCCCTTGCCTAGCTGGACTTAGGCTGAACTGAGCCTGAACTGACTTACAGCCGAACTATAAGACCCGATATATAAAAGTAGGCTTGTTTCTTACACGGTGACCAAAAACTTTTAAGTACTGGTGCAGTGGGCTTGGCCTCAATTTTGTCAGTCGCATTTTAATTTTCTTAGGTTTTCGACAACGCTGATTCATTGCAAATAGTTTCAAGGCTTAGTTATAACTTTAATTTTTGCATTAGCTTTTAATTAATATTGAACAAAATAACCAAAAGTAAAAGTAACAAAAAAAGACGTCAAAAGCATAAGAATAATGAATATTTCTTGGCCTTTTGGTCGCATGAATACCCGCCATTTCTAAACAAAGTGGTATTAGAAAGCCAAAAGAAAAAATTAAAGTTAGAACAAAGCCTTAAAACTAAGTGCAATTTAATCAGCGTTGTCGAAAACCCAGCAAATTAAAATGCCACTGGCGAAATTGAGGCCACGCGCATAGCACCACGTTTTCACTCTTTCTGATGAATTTAATGCAGTATTTTCAGTATTAGTGTTGATTTTTCCATCTTTATTAACTAAGAAACTGGTATGCAAAGTCTTGACAAGTTCATTTCCCCAAGATATTAACAAAAGGATATATAACTAATGACTAGTTACTAAACAAAAATTTAAAGTTCACCGTTGATCTCTGCTCGGCTGAAGCTTCAGGTGACTGATTTTTGTATTTCTTGTCGAGTTCTCGATGCGCTTGATCTTTTGTTTGCGTCAAATTGTGCTAAAGTCAAATTTTAATTATTCATCCAATCGAATTGACTTCATTAGTTGACTTCATTTCACGAAAGTGAATGCTTTGAAGTTTGTGGGACATTTGATACGCGCCCCGTCCCTTTGCGATTGTCAAACCAACTTTGAACTCAAATATCTTGGTGTTGGGCTGTCCAATTTGAATATTCTTGGTATCATTGGATGCGCCAAGTCTTTCTCTGTCGATTGGTACGAAAACTATTTAAATTGGACAGCCCAACACGAAGATATTTGAGCTCAAAATTGGGTTGCCAATGGTAAAGGGGCGGGGCACATATAAAAGGTCCGTCGCCCCGCTCCCGTTGCCATTGGCAATCCAACTTTAAGCTCAAATATCTTAGTGTTGACCTGTCCAATTTAAATAGTTGTTGTACCAATCGACAGAGAAAGACTTGGCGCATCCAATGATACCAAGAATACTTAAATGGGACAGCCCAACACCAAGATATTTGAGCCCAAAGTTGGATTGCCAATGGCAAAAGGGCGGGGCACGTATCAAATGTCCGATAACCGCTTTTGAATGCACTGAACCTACCAAATCCACTCGACACCAATCAACCTCAAAACTCCCTTGGAACTTCTTGTTGATCGGTACCTGAAAATATGAGTTTTGAGTTCTACAATTTCTTTTCCATTTCACTCACTTGATCACTTTTTGAGCAATACATTGGCTTTGATCGAAGGGTTTTCACCATTGAGTAGAGATTCGTGTAGAAGCCGCGTTGCGTTCCGATTTGAACGACTGAACCGAATTTGTGACGGTCGAAAACACTCTGCTTTGAGGCCTGGTCATCGGTTGATGGTTTTATACTAAATTTCTTCCAATGATCACATTATAAATGATTATTTACACAACGCTGAGGGATTACAGTAATCGTGTTGTTGTTTTAGTTCAGAAAGTAAGGCATAAGGTCTTACTCTGGCGGCAATAAGATACGTGTCGGTGTAGCTCGTTGGTAGGGCGTTTTGCCGGGTAAGCGAAAGGTCGCGGGTTCGAATCCCGGCGCCGACTATGTTTTGTATTCTCAACCCAACCGGTGTGTCCAACCAGAAGCCAAGTCTTGGCTTCTGGGCTTGTCTGATCTAGCTAAGTACGATCAAAAGCAAAATCCTGAAGCAAAACCCTTCTGGCCGGGTTCTAGATTGGGTTGACCTTGCCAGAGATCGGACAGAAGAAGAATTTGTGAAATATGGGTGCAACAATCTGTGCTAAAATACGAGTTACCTGAAAATATAAGGATTCACATTCGATCCAATGAAAGTGTTTTTGGCTGCAGCTTCAAGCTTTCCGATCAAACCGTTTCTGTCTGAAAAAGCAGAATATCAGTCAGCAGAATTTCAATTTCCATCTCGTGCATAAATTATTGACGAAATTAGCTAAAAAATCTATGAGAATCTTACCAGAAATCAGCGACTCCGCGTCATAATCCTTGATGTAGACATCTAACACTTGGGTGGTCGCTGAGTTGAACTTTGCTGAAAAAGGGAAAAGTTAAAGCAGCAGGAGAAGCAGCTAAACATCAATTCAATGGTAAGATTGAATAATTAAAAGAACTCACGATCTTCGCTCAAATTAATGACAACGAATTGCTGCCGAATCTCTTCACTCTGAAGACTTTTGGCAATCACGTGAATCGTCATTTGTCGGAGGGGAGTCACTGGAGTTCTAAAAAGATATAGATATCAATTTTGCGATGCTTTAATAAAGTATTATTGCTTAGGAAGTTTTAGGATAAAATTTGCATACAAGCTTTACATTGTAGATTTGTGCTGGGACCACCATTATTATTGACGACTGGGCAGAAGTCGTCAATAATAATGGAAATTAGTTGGAATGAATTGATGGTTTTATGTTGAATAAATTTTAGTTCAAAGTCCCGCAGTTTTCAATTCACCAACCCAATAGAACTGAACCAAAATTTTACGTTTGGGATAAAATAATAAGCAAATTTCTATTGAAAAAGCGTCTTCTATTTGTTTGTCGCTATTGTAAATTGAATTATTTACATAAAAAACTCTACCCAATCAGGTAAGCGATTGCTTGATGTCTTTGTGAAGGAACGAGGTGTAGCCATTGTGGTAGACTCGGTCGGCCTTTCAAAGTGGCTGACCATTTCACCGGAACTGAAACAGTTACAATTAGTTCATGAATTAGCAATTTCATTAATTCAACCATTCATTTAATAGGCGTTTAGAAAAACCCAGCGCTTTATTTAGGAACAAACAATTCGAACAGTAATGGTAAAGCATAATTACTGACCCAAGTTTTTAGAAAAGTCAATTTTTCTAAAAAACTTTCCACAAGAAATGTGATGTATTATATACTATTTGAAAGCTCTAATTCTCAGCTATATTAGCTGACAAAGTGTTTTTTGATTGGAAAAACTTTTAGATCCATAAGGCGACTCGGAAGGAGCGCACAGCAAACGCTGCTATTTTTCTTGGTTTACTAGGCAAAGAGAGTTTCAAAAGAGGTTGCTTTTAATTGAATAAAGTTTTAATGAGCTTATTTGTTCAGAAAAAAGCAAGCTTGACAAAATAGAGACGACTTTTTGCTTAAAAAAAGTCTCCCGCTCTGCGCCAAGTCCATTTTGTGGAGAAAAATCGCGAATGTTGCTTCAAAAATTAGCGATTAAAACATATTTAACTTATCATTTTGTGGAAAACTATTGTCAGTTAATATAGCTGAGAATTAGAGCTTTCAAATAGTATATAATACATCATATTTCTTGTGAAAAGTTTTTAAGAAAAATTGACTTTTCTAAAAACTTGGGTCAGTAATTATCACCATGTATTGGGTTGATGGAAAAGTCCTTTCCGATTTTTTGGGAGAGCACCTTAAATTTGTCCAATTTGAGACGTTTTATAACTCATCCCAAAGCTGAATTCAACACGGATCGATTGGTAAAAACCGTTTTGATATATCTCTTTTCTAAAAGTTTTTACAGCTATTTTAGTAAAGGGCGGCAGACCAAAAAATTTCAGTTATTTCAGTCATTTGCACCTGAGGAAATAATCATAGGGTTTTTTTTGGAATTCCTAGTCAAATCTGTTCCTTATCTCTTTTCCTTTTCCAATTCATCCTCCCACTTACCAGTTGTTTGAAAAAAGCTGGCCGAGTGAAGGGAATGCACAAAAAATTTTCCCTTTCTCCCTTGTGATTGACGTGTTTCGATTTGCGAGTGAACGATGGAAGCCAACAAATAGATTAATATCAGAAACCACATCAACGATCTAAACATTTGCAACTGCAGATAAATAAATATTTTAGATTAAAGGATGAATCAATCATTAATCAATCATTAATCAATCATGATCAGGTTGATCAATTGCTTGATCAGGTTGATCAAAAGAATCGTAACAATGTTTAAAAGTTAGCCCAAAATGAATGATAGCATGAGAGAATGTCGGCTTTACAAAACGGTAACTAATTGTAAGCCTTTGTCAGCTATTTTAGCAAGATATTCAAATTAAAACTATTCAATATTGAATATATTCAATAAATCAATCAAATTATTTCAAAAGATTGCCAAAATACCTTAAATTTATCAAAATCATGCTCGTTTTGAGTTTTCTAGATCGAAAAGCTTTTAGCTTGACCTTTTTTGACGACATGAGAATTGAAAACGTTAAAACTTAACACGATTCTAAGAAATCGATCAATCGGTGAGCAAGATATTAAAATTGAAAAAGAATTATCTCAATTCACTCGTATTAATCTTCTAAATGAATCTCTTTAATCTATTTTCTTATAAATCACTTAGAAAAACCAAAACTAACGATACTCACGAATCTATTGGGTTGGTGAATTGAAAACTGCGGGCTATTGTCATATGTGACAGTTTGAGCACTTTCTTCAAAAGAAACCCATTTTGGTGTCAATGGAAAAGTTATAGAGAATCAAAAATCAAGCTTATATCCAAATTTCCAAAAAGGTACACTAAGTAGTTTCGCTTAAAATGCAAGTTTAAACTCCTCTTTACACGCCGAGTAAATTGAATAGCTTTACATTTAGAAGAGAATTTGCCACCAAATCCGTTAAAGAGTTGAATATCTTTAAAAGAAATCGTATGTAACTCAGCGCTCGTGATATGTGCGCTTTAAAAAACGTATTATTGGGTTGGTGAATTGAAAACTGCGGGCTATTGTCATATGTGACAGTTTGAGCACTTTCTTCAAAAGAAACCCATTTTGGTGTCAATGGAAAAGTTGTAGAGAATCAAAAATTAAGCTTATATCCAGATTTTCAGAACGATTCAAAAACTGGTTTTGAAGAAATGCGAAATTTACGAATTTTTACAAAACTTTTCACAAAACTTACATTTTAATCGAAACTACTAAATGTATCTTTTTGGAAATTTGGCTATAAGCCTAATTTTTGATTCTCTACAACTTTTCTATTGGCACCAAAATGGGTTTCTTTTGAAGAAAGTGCTCAAACTGGGACATCTCCAGTCCTCCATTTTTGAGTCTCACACTTGTCTCACACACAAACCAAAATCCTCAAATCCAAAATCACGAAAGAGGAATCCGCAAATTGCCTGTAAAATGGGCAGAAGTCATCAATAATAATGGAAATTATTTGGAATGAATTGATGGCTTTATGTTGAATAAATTTTAGTTCAAAGTCCAGTTCTCAATTCACTAACCCAATAATAGTATACAAATTTCCCAAATCAACACTAAAATTAGGAAATATTAACTAATAAATAAACTTTGGCTTACTAAATTCATTAAGCCTTTCACAATTAAAGATTTTTTTCTAATTTGTTGCGCTTAGGAATTGATTTGAATATAGTAAAACAAGATTTAAGATAAATTTAAGATATTTAAGATAAATTTGCTAATAAAGAAAAGCTAGTTAACTTTAAAATATAGAATACTTTAAAAATCAATGATAATCATGTTTCAAAAGATGATGGGAAATGTTTTATGATTGGCATTAGAGTCTCATAGAGGTGATGGAAGACGGGGATGCATTGGTAGAAAAGGCTAACCAATGGAAAAGAAAGAGTGAGCTTTACACAACAAGACGGGGGAAAGAGGAATGGGACAAAGGTTGTTGTGTGCCCATTTCACCCATTTCCACACGCATACACACATAGACACAACTGTTCAGTGTACCCCTCGCCTAAACTATTAGGTTAAGAGGAAATTCGAGAACACACACGTTTACACCATTAGGTAAAGAATTTGAGATTGGGCAGAAGAATATGTTAGGTACAAATAGATTCAAAGTGAGTCAAAAGCTCGTAAAATTTTCTAGACTTTATTTGGTTCTCAGTCGAGGTCATGGCAGTTTGAATTTGAAATCATAGAGCATGGCGGCTTGAGGTACGAGCTTGTTGTCATCCATTTTTTTCAGTAAAAACAACTAAGAAAGTGAAAAGGGAAATGATTATAAATTTAGCGAGTATGTAGTTTATTTTTGTTCAAAACATTAGGTAAGCAAACACTTGGCAAATTGACAGCACAAGGAAATTCGAAATGCGCATTATTTTCTTTATACCCTAATAGTACTGTTTTTACACATTTAATTAATTATCAAAGAAGTGGGCTACTAAATACCGACAAATGGAAGTTAACTTTGTATAAATGAAAATTTGCATGGAGTACTACTAGAGGCGCAATACTATTAGGGTGCCCCTTTTAATGACCCTTTTAATGAAAAACAAATTTATCTCCACAAAAAGAAAACAATGCGCTTTAATCCAAATTTAATAATTCTTTATTCTCCGTTGTTGGCAATAGTCTTTCTCCATTTTTCTTTCAAATCTCGGATCCCTTTGCTGCAGAAATCCTGAGGCTGCGAGTCGAAGTATTGTAGTCGAAGTCGAAGTATACCCAAATTCGGACTTCGTCGTGGCCCTTGAAGTGTTTATCGGCCAGGAAGTGTTGCATAGATCCGCCGTCTATACCGATAACGTTAAAATAAAACAAAAATCAGACGCAAGCTCTTCGCTACACCGAAAAAATTGCAATCGAAGTAGAGGGTATTTTCATTCCGAACACCCTAATAATAGAGTAAATACGGTATATGGGAAAAAAGAACAATCTAGCTGGATTGAACCCTTGACCTCCCGACCAACAAAGGAACGTTCAAAACCGACCGTGACATTTCGACACGAAACAAAGGCACAAAGGCTTTGGCCTTTGGCACAAAGGTAAATCGATTACGAGGAATCTAAATCTGTAATCCGTTTTTGCTGACGGGCCTTGGTGTTCGAGATATAAGCGTGCAAAGTTTTGACAAATTTCGCCAAACTGCCACCTTGCCTATAAACGGGCATCACGAGGCAGGCAGAGCAGCGGTAGTCTGGTGGATAGTAGGCTAGCCTACAAAGCCTATAGTATTTTTGCTCGCGGGTTCACCCGCCACCCGCCCTTTTTACCTTATTTTCAAAATGTCACGGTCGGTTCTGAACGTTCCCTTGTAAGATAAAGGGCTTTTGACCATGGTGTCGGCATCTTTAAGATGTGTTGACCAGTTGATCATGGTTTCGGCATCTTTAAGATGTGTGAGATGTAAGAAATGGCGTAGATTCTTCTCTTTTGTTATTATCTGTAATTGCGTAGGGATTTTGTTTTACTTTATTGCTTGGTGAATTCAGGTTTCAATTGTCAGCAAGCTGACCGAAACGGAATTCCGATCTTTGATAACCTTGGCCAAAACTCATTCTACAATTCCATAGATCGAATACAACAACTTTTTTGGCTCACGACCGAGTTTCCTGAAAGGCTAAATCATCTAGCTCAGCTTCAAAGTTTATAGCAAAAATTTTCACGCTCAAAATCTGACGTACGAGCTATTTCGCTGATCTTTCAAGCTAAAAAGCTCCGGTTGACCTAATACCTTTCCATAGTGAGATTTCGACTTTAAATTTAGACCCTAAACACTAAATATTTTGCTTAGTTGTGATTTGTGAGAGTCTATGCAAAATATTATACAACTAGATTTGTTGGAAAGTTTCGTTCAACTTAAGAATTAAACACTTTGAACATGATTTTCGTAGTATCAATACTCAATCTAGATATCAATGTCTCAAAGCTTTTCAAAACCTTTCTGCTTGTTTTTCTTCTTTGAATGCTTTTCAGATCGTTTATTTGCACACCTAGCAAGCAAATTGGGCAACAAATTGGAAAGCATTTGAATATCATGGCAGTTTTATGTCAAAGATACGGGTACCGATCGGCACTTTTACTGGTAGCGATCGGTATCAAGCGACTATGTCGCGAAATCGAGGCGCACACGATTCATTCGCTTTTTCTGAAAAGTTTAGATGTTTTTCGAAAATCGTAAAAGAATATTTTTAAGACGAACTATTTTTGAAGCACAAATTCGATGGGAGATCATCGCCATTGCTTCGTCTTGGTTTCAAACCGTGAAGATCTTCCCATAGCTTTTCTGCCGAGTTCTAAAGCTTTTCTTTTTGGATTTTCTTCGTTTTGTGGAGATTTATTATATCTAAACAATTGTCTTTTTAAAATAATCAAAACTGTTTTGAATTAAGATAAATTAAGGCTTCAATTCGAGATTGAGGACTACCAGTTCGAGCTACCAGTTCGGGACTTTGAACTAAAATTTATTCAACATAAAGCCATCAATTCATTCCAAATAATTCCCATTATTATTGACGACTTCTGCCCATTTTACAGGCAATTTGCGGATTCCTCTTTCGATTTTGATAGGACTTTGGTTTGTGTGTGAGACATGTGTGAGACTCAAAAATGGAGGACTGGAGATGTCCCAGTTTGAGCACTTTCTTCAAAAGAAACCTATTTTGGTGTCAATAGAAAAGTTGTAGAGAATCAAAAATTAGGCTTATAGCCAAATTTCCAAAAAGATATACTTAGTAGTTTCGCTTAAAATGCAAGTTTTGTGAAAATTCGTAAATTTGGCATTTCTTGAAAACCAGTTTTTGAATCGTTCTGAAAATTTGGATATAAGCTTAATTTTTGATTCTCTACAACTTTTCCATTGACACCAAAATGGGTTTCTTTTGAAGAAAGTGCTCAAACTGTCACATATGACAATAGCCCGGCAGTTTTCAATTCACCAACCAATAGCTGGCTTTATGAACTTGAGAGAAATAGCTGAAATTGCCTATTTGGCCGTTTTCTTTTAAATTTACTTTAATTTACACTTATTGTTAGTTTTTTACTGTTCCAACATCATATGTATCAAATCAAATATCAGAGATGAGCTTGAATAAGTTGAATCAAAATTTCCCCAAACACTAATCTTCGTTTTCAAACAGTTAACCTATTTTATTTTCTTGAAAACTTTGCTAAAAACCTTTAAATTGTTCTCCAAGTACATTTTGAGATCTCAAAGATCACTACTATCTAATTCGTTGCAGAAATTTCACCCTTTTCTTTCATTTTCCATTCATTTTCCTTTCCTTTCCCCTCTCAAACCAACCGAGCATTCCTTTGCCTGAGATCGGAGATTTTTCCCTGTCTCATGCATCGAATGATATAAAAAGGGTAATTGTGAAAAGATGGCAAAGACGGCGAGAAGACAAACGAGAGCCGATGAACGGAATACGATTCGGTAGAGGCGAATCTTTCGCTCCAGATCTCCTTTGCCGCCCACTGTAAAATAACGTTTGTCTTTTTTTCCACGTACTGGGGATCTTAATCTCAATGAATGAACGGGTTTTTAAAGGTTTCCTTAGGTTAGCTGTACAAAAAGCTGATTCACTAGGAGCTCACAAAAGTAAAAAGTCTTTCAATCAACAGTAAATGCACAGTTAGTCAATCAGTTTCCATTCCAATCAGTTTCCAATCGGCAACTCACAGTTAGCTTTGAATTTAAAAGAACCCAATATTTTTAATTTACCGTAAATACTGTAATAGTACCCCACCCCCTAGTAAAGTCGCGTAGTCGCAAAAGTTTTTTAGTATTTCATTTTTTTCAAAGCACCCGTACTTTCAAAAAATGCGTCTTTGGTATCAAAAAATAGCCCTGAATTCCAGCTATTTTTTGATACCTAAGCGCTCATTGTAGCATAAACCAGTGTCGAGAAACATTCGTTCAAAGCTAGACTACCCAACACTCCGCAACTCATTATGGGGGTGGGGTCCAAAAGCTTTTTAGTATTTCATTTTTTCCAAAGCACCCGTACTTTCAAAAAATGCGTCTTTGCTATCAAAAAATAGCTGAAATTCAGGGCTATTTTTTGATACCTAAGCGCGCATTGTAGCATAAACCAGTGTCGAGAAAAACTCGTTCAAAGCTAGACTACTAGCCTAGTGAAACTAGTAAAGAGTAAAGTTTAAGATTTACAAAGTTTTACGAATAAAGGAAAAAATCCTGAAAAGAATACGAGAAAGTAGTATTGCATTTCTTCAAATTAAAGTTAATGCCTAATAGAAAATCGGCTAAAACTACCCAAATGACCAAAAATCACCAAAAATCAACTTTTTCTTAGAATACTAATATTTATTAGAGCCCTAGACATTTCTTTTTCTTATAACAATTTCAATTCCTTATTCAATTCTGTAACGAACAGTAGCACAACTTCATTGAATTTTATTGAAAGTTTCATTGAAAGTATTAGGTTGAGGAAAAAGTAATGTCGGTTTTGAATTCTCGTTGTTGGCAATTTTCAGTTTGGCAGTTTCAGTTTTCAGAATTCCCGTTGTTGGCAGTTCTTTGCATATGTGATTTTTTAAAATAGATATCAGCTAGACACTCTATACTTTCATATTATATTTGATTTTTACAAATTTAACAATATTTTCAGGTACAAAATGCAAGACGACGAAAAATGCAAGAGTTTCGACTTCGAGCCGCTTTGTGGTATGATTTTAAACAAGGGAAATCCGTGGCTGAATCGCATCGGACAATCATTAAAGTTTTTTGGGAAGACAGCTTTAGCGAAAGACAAAGCCAAAGATGGTTTCAGCGGTTCAGAGATGGAAATCAAAGTCTCCAAGACGAGAAACGGTCTGGACGATCCCAAGAGATTTCAGATGAGGATTTGCTTGATGCCATTGAACTCAATCCAACTCTTACCACTTGTGTGTTAGCGGACACATTTGGGATGGACCAAAAGAAAATCGACAACCATTTACATCAATTCGAAAAAACAATTCACTGCGGAAGATGGGTTCCTCATGAACTGACTCAAGGCAACAAAATAATTCGTGTCGAGCTCTACTCTGCTTCAAAAAGGCAAATCTCATGATTTTGGGGAAGAATTCGAACATCTGATGAAACAGGGATTGAATGTGAGAATGTGAAGCGCAAAAATCAGTGGCTTTCTCTAGATCAACCTCCACAACCAACTTCAAAACCCGATATTCATGGAAAGAAACTTATGCTTTGCTGTTGGTGGAATACAAAAGGTTTGGTGTATTATTGAGTTGTTGAATCCGGGAGAAACTGTCACCGCTGATTTTTATTCAAAACAGTTGATGAGAGTTAAGAGGCTTTAAAGAAACTGACGGTTGAAACATCAAAAGTGCTATTTTTGCATGATAATGCAAAACCTCTCACCAAAAAATCGACGAGCTAGATTGGAAACTTCTGCCGCACCTTATAATCCGGACCTGGTCCCATCAGATTATTTTTTTGTTTTGGTCGTTTAATAGTTTTCTTATGGGAGAAAAGCTCGAGATTCATGCACAGATCAAAAAAGCAGTCGACACTTATTTTGGCTCGAAAACTCCCCATTTTTTTGAGGATGGGATCAGGGACTTGCGGAAAAAGTCATCAATATTAATGGAAAATATCTCATTGATTGATGTGTGTTTGTTTATGTTTTTAGCAATAAACAGTTTTGTGAAACAAAAACCGACATTACTTTTTCCTCAACCTAATACAAAGCTCCTCGTGGTGTCAGAATTGGCTTTGTCTCAGACGCCACAAAACAAGGCTTTTTCGGCTTGCCCCGACCTGACCCGATCCGACAAAAGCTGAGCCGATTTCCATGTCTTCTTTGTGCCAATGTGTAAACCCTGAGGGAAAACCAATTCTAACATCACGATGTGCCATCAAAACTCAGCGCAAAAAAATCTTCAGGCTGTGAGGCTCGCAAAGTGAGCCACTTTTTTGTGGACCACCCTGTACATGTAAATTGTAAATTGCCCAATTACAAGCCTAATAGTGAGCTGAAGACACTCTCTGCTAAATTTTTGATTTGGACTCACTGGTCAGAGCCTCATTTAACACTTATACTTCCGATGGATAACATGCAAAACATGCTAAACTTTATGCTAAACTTGTAAGTTTAGCCTGATTTCTTAAACTCCAAAAGCAGTCGACGTCCAAACACTTTCTTAAACAATTCCTGACCAAAAGCAATCGACACTTATTTTGGCTCGAGAACTCCCCATTTCTTTTTTGAGGATGGGATCAGGGACTTGCAACAAAGATGGGAACAATTCAACAGTAATAATTGAGAATATCTCATTGATTGATGTGCTTTTGTTTATGTTTTTAGGAATAAACAATTTTGTGACAAAAACCGACATTACTTTTTCCTCAACCTAATATCATTAAAAGCGTATTTTAGTACAAAAAGCGTACAAAAAACTCACTTTTATATTGTTGATCTATCCAATAAAAATATTTACACACTTGAGAGATCGATAGAAATCGAAAACAGGAAGTGAACGTCGGAAAAATTCCCGTAGTCTCAACAAAAAACGTCAGTCATTTAGCAAAGGAAAATCGTCCGACGAAACGAGTAAATTTTACGTAAATCGAGCCGAGAGAAAAGGAGAATTTCGAGAAACAAAGACAAGTGAAATAAATGAGAAAAAAGTGAGCAAAAACCGGATTTTGATGGGGAGAGAGCTTGAGAAGGAACCTTGACGTTCACCCCACACACCCACGCACAACAACGACTAGCCAGTGCTGAAAAAGCGATGAGCGAAAAAACGTGGTACTTTTTTTCTGCCTGATCACTTGCAATTGCTAGTTTTATCGGCAACAGAACTCACAAAAGGCTCAAGGCTTGGATAGACTTTGAGACAATGTTAAAATAGATACTATTGGGTTGGTGAAATGATTCTTTTTGCCAATCCTGCTTGGAAGTACCGTAGTTAACTCTCCAGAACATGTCTAATTTAAGTTCCTGTTTATATTGAGCTGGTGAATTGAAAAATGCGGGACTTTGAACTAAAATTTATTCAACATAAAGCCATCAATTCATTCCAAATAATTTCCATTATTATTGACGACTTCTGCCCATTTTACAGGCAATTTGCGGATTCCTCTTTCGTAGTAGGATTTTGGTTTGTGTGTGAGACAAGTGTGAGACTCAAAAATGGAGGACTGGAGATGTCCCAGTTTGAGCACTTTCTTCAAAAGAAACCCATTTTGGCATCAATAGAAAAGTTGTAGAGAATCAAAAATTAGGCTTATAGCCAAATTTCCAAAAAGATACACTTAGTAGTTTCGCTTAAAATGCAAGTTTTGTTGCCCCTTTTGTGAAAATTCGTAAATTTGGCATTTCTTGAAAACCAATTTTTGAATCGTTCTGAAAATTTGGATATAAGCCTAATTTTTGATTCTCTACAACTTTTCTATTGACACCAAAATAGGTTTCTTTTGAAGAAAGTGCTCAAACCGTCACACAATAGCCGGCAGTTTTCAATTCACCAACGCAATAATACGTTTTTTAAAGCGCACATATCACGAGCGCTGAGTTACATACGATTTCTTTTAAAGATATTCAACTCTTTAACGGATTTGGTGGCAAATTCTCTTCTAAATGTAAAGCTATTCAATTTACTCGGCGTGTAAAGAGGAGCTTAAACTTGCATTTTAAGCGAAACTACTAAGTGTACCTTTTTGGAAATTTGGATATAAACTTAATTTTTATTCTCTACAACTTTTCTATTGACACCAAAATGGGTTTCTTTTGAAGAAAGTGCTCAAACTGTCACATATGACAATAGCCCGCAGTTTTCAATTCACCAACCCAATACTACAGGGTGATGAAAAAGTTTCATCAAAATTGTAAATGATTCATTTTCTAAATGAAAGCTAAAACAAGATTTCTCTTGTTTTATGATATTTTGAAGCTGATAATGATGATTTCTGATGATTTCTATAAGTAAATGATTCCAATCAGAAATTTCCAGCCTTTTCAAGAAGCCAACTGCATTCAACGCAAATCGCCCAGGAGACAAACACAGTTTTGTATGCTTTCAAGTTTTGAAGACTCTTTTACGTTTTTATTTTGACGAGAGATTTTATTCTTTTTATAATAACAATTGAAATGTTACTTATAACAAAACTGAAGGATTTTTCAACTAAAAACAGGTTCAAATGGGTGAGCGCCATGACAATTTGCATCCAGCTCACTACAATGCTTTTTGGAGAGCTAGGTAGCTCTGATCAGGATGGTTTACGTCTAGAAATGTTCCCCAGAATTTCAGCTTTAAAATGATATATAGTAAGTCGAATTTTGATCTGGGTTTGAGCTGAAAAATGACTCTTTTGTAAAGTGTGCGGGAACTTTTTGGTCACCTTGTAGACTGTAGCTGTTTTCACTGTTTTCCTGGCTGTTAACCAAACTCTACAGTGCAGAATGGTAGAATTAGAATTCGAATCTTGTTGGTCTTCGCAGAAAAATACCGATTAAGTTCACCGAAAACGCTTTTTTTCTGATTAATCACAAGACTAAGGCAATGGGATACGTGTCGGTGTGGCTCATTGGTAGAATGTTCGCCCGGTAAGCGAGAGGTAAACGAGAGCTCATTGGTAGAGTGCCCGGTAAGCGAGAGCCGCGGATTCGAATCCCGTCGTCGACCAGCTTTTGGCCGAGAGACTCCAGATTCCAAGCCGCAAACCATAAAAGGACCGGTTTGTCCAATTACAGGTACCGTTTCTAAAGATAAACATAGCTTACAAAAAACAATTTGCATGAGAAGGATTGCATGAGAAAAACAATTTGCATGCATGCAGGTTTATAAGTTGTATGATACCAAGGTTATCCATCGAGTTGTATGATATCAAGGCTATCCCACTCCCACTTCTTGAAGGCTAAAATTTCTAGGCACCAGAAATGCTCTAACTGGACCCTGGAAGTTGCAAAAAATCAAAAAAACTAAATCCAAGCTTTGCCTCAAACTAACTAGCTGATCTGAACATCCTTGTGGCAACTAGCTAGCTGATCTGAACATCCCTGTGGCACGAAATGATCTCTTACCGGATTTACCCAACGAATGAGATCATAAATGAATGCGTGTAAATACCTGTTTAAATTCGTTTATCTTATTTAAGGCACATTCTCTTGTACTTGTACGACTACGGTCCTTTCAGCAATTTCTTTCCATCGATTCGAATGTCTTCTTGTTGACAATCGTTGAATATCGATCACGGTTGCCGCCAATTTTTGCATTCGAATCGTTTTTGAGGCACTTGAGGATTTTCCTGAATGCTCACAATTTTAAAGTCAAAGCTCAAGACTTTCTAAACTTTTTGTTAACGATTTTGTCGCCTTTTGCACCGTTCTCGAGGTGAAGATCAAGATTTGGGAATTCAATATCGTGTGCCACATCATGAATAAGGAAAATGAGGCGGGAACTGAAAGTGTAAAAATTCTAATCTACCGTAAATCCTCTATGAGATCGGCACCTCCAAATGCTAATTTTTACAGCTCACAGCTCCAACTTTTTCCAAAGAAATTTTCTCCGAAAGCGGTTAAAATGATGCATATGGGTTCTAATTATAATTTAAAAGTCATGTAAAATTCAAATCGATCCAGGAAAAAATTTTGACTTAACATTTTTTGAGACAAAAAATCATAAGGGGGGGCCACAGGGATTTTGGAGGGTAATCTCTAATCTAGACTGAATACTCTATCTAGACCGAATACCCTAATCTAAACTAAATACCGTAATCTAGCTATTCTAGGCTGAATATCCTATTCTAGATTGAATACCGTAATCCAGACAGTCTAGACTGAATACTCTAATCTAGACTGAATACCCTAGTCTAGACTGAATACCCTAGGCCAGACCGTAATACCGTAATCATCCGGGAGTAGAACCATAGACATAACTTTTTGTTTTAATTATGTTTTTCGTATGTTTTAGACCAAAAGAAATCGAATTAGAGTGATTTAAGCAAAAATGATTTTCTTCTTCTTCTTCACCAATGTGGTAGCCCCTTATGTGATTGTTTGGTGATCCGAAAAATGGAGACCGAACAATAGAGAGGCATGGTAATAGAGGCAATAGAGAGGCTAATAGAGGCTCATGCATATTCATACACTTATTTTACAATGACTCTCGACTTGAGGCTAAATTTGCAATGAATTTGCCAAAGAGAAACTTTTGCAAATTCATTGCTTGTGTTTTCGTTTTGATTTTGGTTTTGGTTTTGATAAAGTTTTGATCCTGTGCACTAGAACCAACAAGTACCGCTTTACAGCGGTACTTGTTGTTCGTAATTTATTCTCCAGACCATCTTGCTTCTACCTTTTTTTGCATCGAAAAATCTTGTTTCCTTGTGTGCTACGCAACGACTACAACCACCCCCATGAAAGTCATTCTTTTTGTTCTTAAAAAAATAATCACCTGTCCACTTCTAAGCTGTGTTTCTACGGTTCAAGAAAAGAGAATTGAAGAAATTCTCTGAATCTCACTTTTTCCTACCTTCAGGACTCATAAGTTCGACGCCAATCAATGAGAGAGAGATCATTATACCCGGAATTCCAATGCAAAGTATCACCGATGCTGTCTGAAACGTAATTAAATTATAGCAAATCAATTCGAACTTATGTTATCATTTTAGTTTTTTAAAATAAAGCAATAATGGAATCGGAGGAAAGCAAAAAGGGAATCGAAAAATTTAGATGAATCAAACTAAAATCTGACCCAATGTAGCTTTTGTTTTGTAGGGAAATCCAGGCCTGAAAATGCTTTAGCAATTTGAGCATAGCGACGCCGAAATAGAGGGAAACGCGCAGTTTAACGATTCCAAAAGGGAAGCACTATATACCAGAAAGGTTTACCAGATGGCGAGCGATTATGTGCACGCATAAAGAACACCTCGAGATCTTTTTGCATAGGGTTTTAGATGTTATAAAAAGAAGACCTTGAGTTGTAAATTTGCATCCGGGGGTTTTCGGGGTCGGAGAATCAATTGGAACTATTCATTTTATTGAATCTACCAATTGAAACTAACTAAATAGCTAAACAAACTGAGAAAACGATGCGGTCTGACAGAGCCTTTTTTCTCTTAATTTTCTTAGGATTACAGTACTGGACAATGAAATATGATATTTGAAAAACGATCGTCACTTTCGCGCGTCTGTAACTCTCTTGTCTTTACCGTATTTCTAAATATTAATATTATCATTGTGTAGCCCTTGAAAAGAGCTTTGAGAAAATGTATAACACTAATAGTTTAAACTCAAAGACAAGGGAGTTACAGACGCGCGAAAGTGACGATCGTTTTTCAAATATCATATTTCATTGTCCAGTAGTGCATGTGGTCCAATCAAATTCTAACCTGTAAACTAATTCAATTCAGTCAAATTAAACAATAAATATAATGTAAATTAAACTAACCTGTAAAAACAAAACCCGTATATATCCAGCTTGCAATTGTCGACCCCGTTTACTGTACATTTTCTCTTTCAATTGATGCAATAAGTAGAATAAAATGAAAGAAAGTCGACCCAATTCCATTGAAAACAAAAGAACAACAGTAAAAATGATTAGGAAAATGAATTTAGAAGTTGAATCGCTAGTCACAAAGAAAATCACACTCGAATCGGCGCTCGCAACGCTCAACACATCGGCTGGGAGATGATCCAAATCTAGCTGAATACAAATTGTTTGTATTCAGCTATTTTGTGCTCAAAACACACAAACACAACCTTTCTAATGCACTTAAATCTCATTTTTCAACAATTTGATGTAACTGAAAAAATAAGTGAGCCAGAGAAGTGCCTTTGAGCGATAAAAGTAAAGAAAAAAGGATACCGATTTCGAAATTTCGATTGGAAATTTGGCAAATCTGATCTGTTCAGAATTAGATCAGAATTAGATCAGAATTTAGACCAAAAGCTTAATTAGTTTTAAATTTAAACGAAATCTTACTCAAAATATGATCAAATAACTGGATCCAAAAAGATCAGCTAGTGATTTGAATCAGATTTGATCAGCTGGTGATCAGATTTGATCAGCTGGTGATCAGATTTGATCAGCTAGTGATCAGATTTGAAAACAGATTTGAAAATAAACGTTTCTTCTATTCATTCTGATCAGATTTTGATCAGTATTCACAAATTTTTCAACTCTTACTTAAAAAAAGCAATATTATCCGCAACTTTCCAAACCTTAATGAACATCCCAAAAAAATCAACGAAAAATGTGTAGAGACCACTCCCGCGGAAGTTCAGCATCTGTTTCTGAATCAATTTTCAATCAAATAAATTTTGGGACACTTGATACGCGCCCCTGCTTTTTCCCATTAGCAATCTAACTTTGAGCTCAAATATCTTGGAGTTCGGATGTCCAATTTAAATATTCTTGGGAACCTTGGATGCGCCAAGTCTTTCTCTGTCGATTGATACAAAAATTATTTAAATTGGACGATCAAACACCAAGAAATTTGAGCTTAAAGTTGGATTGCCAATGGTAAAGGAGGCGGGGCGACGGACCTTTTATACGTGCCCCGCCCCCTTTGCCATTGGCAACCTAACTTTGAGCTCAAATATCTTGGTGTTTGACCGTCCAATTTAAATACTTTTTGTACCAATCGACAGATAAAGACTTGGCGCATGCAATGATATCAAGAACATTTAAATCGGACAGCCCAACACCAAGATATTTGAGCTCAAATCGCAAAGGGACGGGTATCAATTGTCTGATAACCATTAGACATATCAAATGTCTGATAACCATCAAATACCCCATTCAGAAGCACATTCCTCGACGCCAATGGGATCCCCAAAATTCCACTCAAAATGAGAAATGAAAAAACCAGTCCGATTCCATTTGCTAATCTCAACAATCCTGAAAATATTCTTGAAGATTGCAAAACATTTTTGGTCTATAGTTTGGGGACTTTTCAATGGCAATCAATCACATTTTATACTTGATAAATGTTAATTAAAGTATTGAACACTAGATTAATTAACATTTATCTCTTATTTCTCTCCATTTCTTTCCATTTTCATCAACGAAACTTTTTGAATTATCCAATGGTCTATTCCCGGTCAAGCTTACAGTTGTGAAATGTTTTCTATGCCCCCGCGTAATCGCTCGCCGTTTGGCTTACTCCTAATACCTATAAGAATAAACTTAATAACTCCGATCGATTCGCTGACCTCAAAAAACCCCGGGTATAAATTTACAGCTGAATATCTTCTTTTTGTATCATCTACAATGCGAAAAAACCCTCTGTAAATGATTGACCAGGTGTTTTTTCTGGTGCCACGTAATCGCTCGCCGTCTGGCAAGCCCGTTTAGTATATAGTGCTTTTCTTTTGAAGTCTTGTCTGAAAAGGAGCGCTGAGTGACTGAGTTTTCCCGCTTTTCGGGAGTCAATATGCCCAATCTTTTGGAATTCATTTTTTGACTTTAATTTTTTCGATTTTGCAGCAAAGTCTACCACTCCCTTCTCGCTGAAAAGTCCAAAAGTTTACTTTAACTTCAAAAGTTTCTTATACCGCTAAAGACTAGAACCAATTTTTTGGCTAGCTCCCGGCAAATCGCCTAAAGTCCTTCAGAAAATTTTCACCGATTTTCCTTGTTGTGTTTTGTGTGTGTGTGTGTGTGTTTTTTCGCGAAAATGACAGCTTTCAGTTGTTCTCGTAAACGCAACGGATCTAGTGCACTAAAAGCCGTTTTTTTACGTTGATTTGGTCATGCAGAACCACAAAATATGCCATAAAATGTCATTTTGGATCTTTACGGTTATCGAGGAGGTCGAGTTTTTGGCCATTTTGCAGCCCGATTTTAGATAGGTTTTTGTTAATAACTTTTGATGAAACAAATAGTTTTTGAGAGCTGACGTTCTAAGCTACCTAAACCTTATTAAAACATCCTGATCTGACAAGTTTAAGGTGCTTAAAAATGAGCTGCAAGTTGGCCTGCGATTGCTGGAGGAGGTCGAGTTTTTGACCATTTTGCAGCCCGATTTTAGATAGGTTTTTGTTAATAACTTTTGATGAGACAAATAGTTTTTGAAAGCTGACGTTCTAAGCTATCTAAATCTTATTAAAACTTCCTGATCTGACAGGTTTAAGGTGCTTAAAAATGAGCTGCAAGTTGGCCAAAAACTCGCTCCCCCCCCCTCCAAAAGTTTCTTATGCCATCAAAAACTAGAACCAATTTTTGTTTTGTACGCATATCAAAAATCTGAAAAACCAAAGCTCACCCTTCTGCCATTTTTCCAGCGCTCGATTCTTGTTCATCACCGAAATTCGATAGTTGAACGAGATCAATAAGGTGTGCAGAGAAATCAGAAAGCAAAAGATGTAAATAAACTAAAACTATTCGATTTTATTCTTTTTGATAAGTTTAATACCAATCCGATTCTTGTCGAAATCTCTGGAATTTCAGCGAGTTCTGGATATCGAAGACTTTTAATGACAAAATATGGGATCAAAATCATCGGTTGGCCAATTGCGGCCAAGAAATCGCCGAAAGCTGGTAGAATCTAAAAAACTAGAAACTTCTACTGCTTCACGTATCGGTCTTGGAAATTTTATTTGCAGATACAACTGTTTGAATTTGTTTACAAGCCTCTAGTAGCCTAGGTAGCCTCAAGCCTGTTTACAAGCCTGTTGACGTTGTAAATTGGCTAGAGATCGGTTAAAAACAGCTGGTTTTTGAGCTCTTGGAAAGTTGTGTTTTCAGAAGATGAAAGGTGAAAAGTAATTAGAATCAAACTTTCCTTAGAATCTTGAAACTTAGAATGAAAATGAAAGTTTCAAAGATTGGAGAAGATTCAATTCATTCTGATCCATTAAATAAGTTGCTTCACAAAGTTAGAGAAAATTTATGATCCATTCAATAACTTGAGTACTCGGGAATGTTCAGATTTCGCAAGCGCAAATCCGAACCAAAGCTGTATGACTTACGCAAGTCAGACACGGGCAACACGATGGCGACAAAGGAATCGAACTCGAGCAATAAATTAAAGCGCTCATTTTGTATGCAAACGTTTTACCCATTATACCATCAATTCCCTGATGATCGACTTCAAAAAATCAAGTTCGCATCTGCCTACTTTACGACTTCAAACTGGGCAAAAGAGCCGCGGAATCCCATCGAGATTCCAATTCCGAATCCCTTGAGAAAATCCTTATAAAGGCATCCCTATTCAGCTCCAAATTTTTGCATTTTCACTCTAGAACTTAAAACACGTATAACTTTTTATAGAAAGTCATTTTGCAAAAATGGAAAGCAGATTCGGAATCAGCGTGAAATTCTGCGTCCAATAGTTGATGGCTGATCTCATTTAGCCGCACTCTACTGTTGCCTTTCCCTTGTAAGTTGCATAACTAGACAATGGAGCAAGGCCAAGGCTCCAGTCATTTGTTATTTTGGCTTATCAAGAGTGGAAAGAGTAAAAACTCAAGAGTGAAAACACACCTTTTCTAACTTCAAAAGTTTTAGATCTAAAAGATTTCTCAATTTTAAAAGCGATAATTTGATTAGTTAAAATAAAGAGTTGAGTGTGCTGGAAAATGTTCAAATTTCAGGCCAAAATGCTCGATCAGAATGCCAAAATGCTTTCGAGCTGCAGTCCACACACTCAAATTCAATCCACCATTCGATATTTGAGTACTAATGACTTAATGAATTCATAATCCAAAAGAAATGTACTCAAAATGACCGAATTCAGGTCCTGGGCTGACACAATTTGTCTAACTTTGCCGTAAACATTATCAAAGCCTGAGGCTGAGCTTGGTTTAGAAGGTTTACAAGCTCAGGACCCGGTTTAAACGACACTTACAATGATCATAGCCACTTACAATGATCCCAAATTGTATGCACAAATAAATCCAAGCCGTTTTCTTCCTTTCAATCACCAGCAAAACGATCGATATCGTAAAGTGTACCGCGGAAAGAATCCCGGAGATCGTATAGAGTTGCCCGATCGCCCAACACGTATTCGGATTCGGAAAATACATGGCAAATAAATTTATTTGATAAACATGAAAGCTGAAAACGAAAACCGCAATCCGCTTTCTTGTGAGAACTCAAAAACCACTCACCTCACATCTCAATCAAGCATTTCTTGGCGATGGCAGGTGTTCAGATAAATTTCCCTCCACTCATTAATAAATTTTCTCAAAATGAAAAAAAGCCCATAAAACATATGACAAATTGGCGCTGAATTCGGAAATTATTGCTGAAAATTGAAATAAATCAAGTAAAGAATCATTTTTGAAAATAGTATTGTCTACAATTTTGTCTACAACTACAATCTTGTCTACAAAAAAAGTCTACAATTTTTTTCCAAACGTCTTTAAAAAATAATGCCGCCACCAACAAGATTTCTATTTGAACTATTAAAAAGGTTAATTATTTCTCTGCAAAAATGGCTTTTGGGAAATTCTTGGAAGTAGTTGTTTTTGTGAATTTTCAAAGGCACAAAGGCGAGCACTCAAAACTGCTCCGATGTCGAAGTCGCAATTTGGACACTTTCCTCAATACAAACCTATTTTGGTGATAAAGTAAAAAGATAGAGCTCATTTGATTGCATAAATCTGTAAAATTTGAAAACGATCCGTTCAGCGATTTTCTTTAAAACAGCAATTGGAGATTCTAAACAAAAATGTGTTACCGAGTTGAGGCGAGCTTTGAGGCCCGATGCTGAGGTCGTGATTTGGACACTTTCTTCAAAACAAACCTATTTTGATGATAAAGTAAAAAAGATAGAGCTCATTTGATTACATAAGTCTGTAAAATTTGAAAACGATCCGTTCAGTGATTTTCTTTTCAAAGGCGCAAAGGTGAGCTCCTAAAATTGTTCAAGTCGCAAAACTGCCCATACCCAAGTCGCGATTTGGACCCTTTCCTCAATACAAACCTATTTTGGTGATAAAGTAAAAAAGATAGAGCTCATTTGATTACATAAGTCTGTAAAATTTGGAACCTATCCGTTTAGTGATTTTCTTTAAAACATCAATTGAACATTTTACACAAAACTGCGTTATCGAGTTGAGAGGAGCTTTGAGCATTGTCTATAAAAGCCATTTTGTAGAGAAATGATAGATCTTTTTAATAGTTTAGGATGCAAGAAATTTGGCAAAGGATTCTTTTCTATAAAACAAAAATTGGAAAAACATTTGTAAAGACATGCGAACCAGACATGCGAACCAGACATGCGAACCAGACATGCGAACCAGACATGCGAACCAGACATGCGAACCAGACATGCGAACCAGACATGCGAACCAGACATGCGAACCAGACATGCGAACCAGACATGCGAACCAGACATGCGAACCAGACATGCGAACCAGACATGCGAACCAGACATGCGAACCAGACATGCGAACCAGACATGCGAACCAGACATGCGAACCAGACATGCGAACCAGACATGCGAACCAGATATGCGAACCAGACATGCGAACCAGACATGCGAACCAGACATGCGAACCAGACATGCGAACCAGACATGCGAACCAGACATGCGAACCAGAAATGCGAACCAGACATGCGAACCAGATATGCGAACCAGACATGCGAACCAGACATGCGAACCAGACATGCGAACCAGACATGCGAACCAGACATGCGAACCAGACATGCGAACCAGACATGCGAACCAGACATGCGAACCAGACATGCAAACGTTATGCACGAACCTAATCGGATTAGGTTCGTCCATAGTCGTTTCAAGAGAATTTTTCCAGGCCAGAAGAAGACCAGATGGCTGCCCTGATTTCATAACACCACCCAGAAGACTTATCTTTTTGGCTGGCTTGCTCTGGTTTACATGCTCTGGTAAAGATTCTAATGGAACATCATTAGCTTACAGGCCCAGGTTTCTATCGTTGGAAATTTATGAAAATGTTGAAATTCGCATTTCTTATGCATGACCAAAAGTACGGAGTTCTAATAGATCTAATTGTAAGTAATCGACAGTACCAAATAAGCATTTTAAAGTAGGATTTGTTTAGTCAAAGCAATTGATTTGGGATTATTCTTGATTTCGATAAGACAAAAGAATTGAGGCTTTATACAGTGCGGTGCAAGACCATACGCCACCCTCTAAATTTCAATTTTCTGCGGCTCCCGTGCCAGTGACAAAAAAAATGAAAACGTAGTTAGATTCAGGACCAAAAATAACCCTTAAACCCCAAAAATCGTCGACATAGCATGAATAGGGAGAATGTAACAGCCAAAAAACGAAAATTCATCCGGTGCAAAGCCATACGCCACCCCCCAAATTTTGGTGTCATTTCATACTTTTTTTCTAGTTTAAAAGCTAAACCTGCCTCTGACAAACATAAATCCCGCCCCTTCACTTCAGATTCCTTATAAGGAGTCCTAAAGAGCTTACTTTGTCTTACTTGTAGTACCAGCAAAGTCTCGTCAAAGCTCTAAAAACTAGATTTCAATTAGCAAATTTTTAAATTAACGCACTAAAAGAGACTAAAGATCTATTTTTTCCTTCATTCAAAGCTTTAAAATTGAAAAGAAAAACAAAAAAGGCTAGACAATTTTAAAGATCTTTTATATAACAAATTTTTCAATCAACAATTGAAAAAAGCCGTGAGGAAGTTCAACAAAAGTACCCAAAACGATAAATTTGATGGTATTTGTTCGGAGAAAAGAGTTAAGTTATGGAATTTTAAGAAAAGAAAAAGAACAATTCATTAGGCTTCCAGCTTTTTCTCGATTTGCATGTAAATTTTGGAGTTCGTTTCGTCCAAAGGCTCGGCTTCGATTCTTCCAGTTTTCCAAAATAGTCGTAGAACTGAAACAAATATTTACTCTCGACCAGGATCAGAAAAATGAGGAGAACCAATCGGATCAATTTGGAATTACCGCATTCTCTCTAATAGTAGTGCACTCCGCCGAGTTGATGACTGTTTTACGGTTTCTATGTTTTACTCAGTTCTCAGCCCTGAAAACTTTCTATTACATATCCTACGGTTACTGTTATAGCTACTCGATTGTCTATTCAAGCAGGACTGATCTCTTTATCTCCATAACAGGACTACATAACAGTTTTCCCGTATCATCTTTGTTTTTAAAGTACTAAAAGGCTTTAATTTGTCAAATTTAGATCAAATTTAGGGCATTCGATTTAATTTATTTCCCTTATATTCTTTAGTTTAGTACTCAACCTAATATATTGGGATCTCTAGAGTTAGACATGTGGTAAGACAGACGTTAAATTGTACAAAAGCTTTTTTGGCTTTATTGATCAAAAGGTCTATGAGTAAAACTATATTTTATTCGGCTCTCCGCTCTAAAAACTTTCTATTACAGATCCTGAATACAGTTATTGTTATAACTACTACTGTATTGTCTATTCAAGCAGGACTGATCTCTTTATCTCCATAACAGGACTCCATAACCATTTTCCCGTATCATCTTTGCTTTTAAAGTACTTTTAAAAGTCTTTTATTTGTAAGCATTAGATCAAATTTATTTGCCTTATATTCTTTAAATATTCAAAACAAAAGTTTTGCCAAAAAGGAATCGAACTCGAGCAATAAATTAAATCGCTCATTTTGTCCATTAAATCGCTCATTTAAACTTTTTACCCTCACTATACCATCAATTCCCGTTCGAATCCCGTGAGAAAACCCTTGTAAAGGCACCCCTATTCAAATTTTCGCATTTTGAAACTGGAACAAATATTGACTCGCGACCAGGATCGGAAAAATGAGCAGAGCTAATCGGATCAATTTGGAATTACCGTATTCTCTCTAATAGTGCATCCCCGAGTTGGTGACTATTTTACGGTTTCCAAGCTTTCGCAGAAGCTCAACACTCTAATCCCCCACTAGATCTCATCGTCAGCTACATTTTCCGACCCCACATCGATAGTTTCTGATAAGCGGTTCTCGAGATTTTGAGGAATTTAGGTGCACTACTATTAGAGAAAACACGGTAGTTAGAAATCGTTTCCAAAAGTGAGTCAAGCTCTGATAGATTCTGTAGTTGATACTCTAGTCTATTAATATTTATCAGGGTGCATTACTATTAGAGAGAATACGGTATAAGTTATGATAACTGATAAGTTATCAAACTGATAAGTTATCGGGACTAAAAAGGATAGTGTTTAAAAGATAGACTTAAAACTAGTCAACTCTTCGTTTCAGATTATCCAAGCAGACTGGCAATTTATCAACTCTAGATATTTTTCCTTTGAAAAGAGTCATAACTATTAAAACGGTACCTGGTTTGAAAAATTTCATCGTAAACTCTCTGTAAGCTTTGCAAGCAAAGATCTGAATCGGAGCCGAGACGATGCTGTTCATCGCGATGATGATCAAGCCATAGTAGTTTGTTCCTAAATTTTGGTTATACTTTAGCTATTTAGATGATTACTTTGTTGACATTGACCTGAGAACATTGACTATTTTGAAATGTATACTGACGTTGATCAATGATTCCAGTGATGAGCGGAGAAATGAGAACGCCCAACCCGCCATAGAGAAACATGATAAAGACGGTGTACTGAAATTTTAGGCTAACTTTTTGTTCAAATTAACTCCTTAAATGATAAGTACAGTTGATTATTTAACAAATAGACATGATTACGGTTAATCATGTCTATTTGTTAAATAAACAACTGTAATTTTGGTATTTCTTGCAGAATCAGATCAATTTATGGTTGATTGATTCAAAATTTTAAACAAAACTACGATAGTTTTTAAAGATTGATACGTTTTATTAAAAGATTGACCTTCAAAATTAGTTTTAGCAACAACAGACCCAAATGAAATACGGTTTATACCAGATCTGGGGATTTTCGGTGTAAACCAAGAAGCGTGCAACGGAAAAATCGCATATCACGGCCGATTTCACTCCGATCTTTTTTGATTTTTGTATCAATTGACGCAGAATTTAATTTTCTATCGATTGAAATCAAAGACAAAAAGATTGGAGTGAAATTGACCAAGATATTAGCATTTTTCCGTTGCACACCTATTGATGCTTACAGCAAAAATTCGCAGCGCTATTTTGTACAGTTAGAAAGGGGAATCTTTTCTCAACAAAATAAGCATAGCAAAATAGCAGCAGAGACTCTGAAAAGCTTTTGTTTTTGAGATTTCTGAACGACTCAAAATGAAATCGCCAGCTTAGCTCTTTTTAAACTATTCATTTTTGATGGCAATAACAAAAAGAAAGAGGAAATTTAATTTTATAATCACCCCAACTTTCAATCCGATCGATTTAGCAGTTTTCTTTGAATTCTTTTTTTAAAAATTGTGCAAAAATAAAGGTGACAAAATGAAAAAATGAAACAAAATGACAAATCGTTAAATTAGATCGATTAGAATTAAGCAAAAACCCTTAAAAATACACTCTTCTAATAGAAAATCCCTTGCTTTATTAAGAAGAACAGTTAGGTAAAGTCAGAAAAAGTCAAGTAAAGTCAGAAAAAGTCAAGTAAAGTCAGAAAAAGTCAGAAAAAGTCAGGTAAAGTCAGGTAAAGTCAGGTAAAGTCAGGATCTAGTCCTCCACTCCTCCAGCAACAAAAATATAGCCCTTAACTCACATGTACACTCGTCGTTATCATGAATTCTCTCTGCGATTTCTTCGTCGAAGCGCTGAATGACTTGGTGAATCGTCTGAAATTTCATAATGAATCTCGTTCTCAAATTCGAATCACCTGGTTCCATTTATTGTTAAAAAAACAAGAGTTCCACTCAAAGAAACGAAAGTTGTTGCAGTGAGCACATAAGCGCAAACGACAACTTTCGGACCGATATCATCGTGCGCAAAAGCGTAAACCCGAAGTGGTTCTTTTTCAAAAACATCAAGAACAAGTGAATTCATGTCCTGAAATGGATTTGTTCTTTAATTTTTCAATTTACATACACTTATCATCTTTTTCGGGTCATTCCATTCAGCTACGATATACATTGCAAGTGGTGGCGGAATGACAGCAAAGAGATGTAAGAATAGGAAGAAGAGGTGCTTTGAGCTGTTGGAAAGTTGAAGTTTTGAGCCAGGAGTGAGCATCTGAAACTTTTTTTGATTAAAGTCAATCATGACTGATCTGGGGTCAATTCTTACAATCAACCTAAGCCTGGGAATTCTTATGATAATGATTTTCTAGGATTTTTGGTCTGATACAATAGCTTTTGGTCCTTATGCTCATAGCCTTGGCTTATGAAGATTAGCCTAACATGATAATAACAAGTTGTTGTCATTTTCTTCTCATAGTCAAGTGTTGAAAACATTTTCCTTGCCAAAATCGATGGTTATTTGACATTTGATACGCGCCCGTCCCTTTGCCATTGGCAACCAAACTTTGAGCTCAAATATCTTGGTGTTCGGATATCCAATTTAAATATTCTTGATATCATTAGATACGCCAAGTCTTTCGCTGTCGATTGATACAAAAATAATTTAAATTGGACAGCCCAACACCAAGAAATTTGAGCTCAAAGTAGGATTGCCAATGGCAAAGGGGCGGGGCACGTATAAAAGGTCCGTCGCGCCGCCTCATTTACCATTGGCAACCTAACTTTAAGCTCAAATATCTTGGAGTTTGGCCGTCCAATTTAAATAGTTGTTGTACCAATCGACAGAGAAAGACTTGGCGCATCCAATGATACCAAGAATATTTAAATTGGACATCCGAACACCAAGATATTTGAGCCCAAAGTTAGACTGCCAATGGCAAAGGGGCGGGACCTCGGGTATAAAAGGTACCACAATCGCCCCGTCCCCTTGCTTTGCCATTGGCAATCTAACTTCGAGCTCAAATATCTTGATGTTTGGCTGTCCAATTCAAACATGCTTGGTATCATTCAATGAATGAATCAAAGAAATTTGAGCTCAAAGTTGGATTGCCAATGGCAAAAGGGCAAAAGGGCACGTATAAAAGGTGCCACAATCAAAATCAACTGCAATTGTCGTTTATCCATTTGAGCGGTCTGGTCATCAAATAAGCCGAAAATTTCTACTTTAAACGACAGCTATTAGTTTTCACGGGAATAAGTGCACTAGAATTGAAGTGTTTTCATTTATGAACAAATTCAGAACCTCTTACCGTTTGCTGCCTCAAAAACAACAACTGAATTCCGCTTGCAACTGTCAACAGGATCAGTAATGACATGCCACCCTAAGTTGTGGTTTAAAATTTTGAACTCATTTTATCAGTCAACTTACCACTGGAATTCTTGGCCTAAAATATGGTGCAATGAGTCCCTCAGAGAAGCCCTGAATCTTTGGAAAGAAAAACACCGGCGTTCCCAGCTCGCTTATCCAGATTTCTAATAGAGTGATCACAATCTAAAGTTTATGCAAAGATACGGAGGACAATCAGAAGGGCTTGCTTGTTTGGAAGAGTACTGAGAGAGTAAAAATTCAGGTGCCAAGGTAAAGCCGGGCAAAGCCGAGCAAAATTCAGGCAGGATTAAGCCAGGGTCAAACTAGGGTCAGGCTAGAGTCAACCAGGGTCGAACCAGGGCCAAGGACCAAAGCCAGGCACTGCCAAACGGCCAGTCTACATTTGGCAGTCATTAATTGACCTTTGTACTTTTATAGAATGATACAACAGTTGAACTAATTAAATGTAAACTGGAGATCTGATTACGGTAGTTTCTAAATTAGATGCTTTTTAGAAAACGCAATGCTTTAGCCATTGGTCAGTTACATATTTGAATTCAGCTTTAGGTTTTAAGAATAAAACTGAGCAAGCTGAGCTTTACAGCTTTCCAATGGACATGAATTTGAACTCAGCCTTAAAACCTACGACAGTGCTAAAAATGGACAAGCTCATCTACACAACAAACCTGATGATAAATCAAAGTCGGCTTGTAGTAAAGCATGATCTTTGGCGTTTTGTAAACCATACAAAATAAAACGAAAAGATTGATGGGTAAAGCAACCAAATTACAAACTCGCATAACGAATAAATATTGTTCCAAAAGCATTTTGAAATTTTGTAATTTACAATAAATTGAATTACAGTGATTTTCAAATTTAAGTAACCAAAGGAGAATGGAAATCTCTGGACACAGAGTACTTTTCAATTAGTCGAGACTAATTGATAGTTCGTTTCGGAAAACGACGCCTGTCTGTGACCGTTTATTTGTATGTGCTAATTTGTTTCCTAAAGAAGAATTTTCCTGTACCCACATTGCAAAAAGTGTAAATAATTTGTATGAAAGCTAACATTTTTGTTTACAACAGAAATTTGTTCAAATTTGTCTTTTATAGGTTAAAATAGAGGCGTTAAACTTTTGGGTAAGTAACTCTACAAATTTCTTAAGCTCGATTTTGCGGCGACATAGCTAAGATTCATGCTGATTTTTTCATTCTATGGATTCTATTTCAGTGTCTGGTTTTAGCGTTTCAAGTTGAATCAGATCAAAATATTCAATCAAATCATTCTGGGTTGACGTCGATTCAGTTCAGTTAAGATTCAGTATTCAGTATTCAGTTAAGATTAGCTGGATTACGGAATTCAGTCTAGATTCGGGAATCCAGTCTAGATTCGGGAATCCAGTCTAGATTCGGGAATCCAGTCTAGATTCGGGAATCCAGTCTAGATTCGGGAATCCAGTCTAGATTCGGGAATCCAGTCTAGATTCGGGAATCCAGTCTAGATTCGGGAATCCAGTCTAGATTCGGGAATCCAGGTATTCAGTTAAGATTAGCTGGATGACGATATGCAGTCTAAATTAGGCTATTCAGTCCAGTTTAAGGTATTGAGTCAAGATTGGCTGGATTACGGTATTCCTCTAGATTAGGATATTCAGTCTGGATTAAGGTATTCAGTTAAGATTAGCTGGATTACGGTATTCAGTCTAGATTAAGGTATTCAGTTAAGATTCGACGTCGATTCTGGGTGGATTCGGGGTGGATTCGGGGTCGGTTCCAGGTCGATTCGGCGTCGATTCGGGGTCGCTTCGGGATCGATTCGCGGTCGATTCCGGGTCGATTTATTTGATTGTTTTTTATATTGATAAAGTAGTTTGAAAGGTGTAAAGTGTAGAATTCTAAAGAAGACTATCTTAATGATTTTCGATTTATTCGGGGCCTCTCCTTCAACACTCGCGTCAAAAACTGCCTCATCCGATAAACACTTCTTTCATAATCGGAAAAGCCACAAATCAAGTCAGTTCAGAACAAAAAAAATAACAGAATCTTGCTAACACTGTCTTATTTCTAAAATTCTACGCATAAAATTTTTATTGCGGAAGCGAGGAAACTAAAAGATCAGTCAAAAAAAGTCGTCTTTGATGAGATTTTAGAAATTTAGATAATTTAGATAATAAAATTTAGATAATTTAGATATTTATTCCTTAAACAATTTAGTATTTAGATACTTTTAGATAAAAAGATTCTTTAGTATCTTCATGATCTTCAGTATCTTTTGTGGCGCTATTGAAAGACATTTTTGAGAGTTGCGATGCAGACAAAAGCTCCCGGATTCTGTATAAAATTTTTAACCGAAGATTTTGATTACTGTTATTTAGCATAGCTTGTATTCAATAGCATGTATTCAAGCATAGCATGTATTCAAATTGCTTCAAGTCCTTTGCTTTTGATCTAGAGACATTTCCGTATGTTGATGTCACAACGTTTTCCAAAAATCGCGAACTATTAGAAGATGGTTCACTTTTAAAAGGTTGCTTTGTCCTAGGTGTCCCCAGAGATTGAAAGGTACAGTAAATGCAAATTGAAGAAAATGTCACTGTCTATTAGCAAAAAGAAGACAGAACTTTAGGCGGAACAAAAATAAATCCGCCTAAAGTTCTGCCGCGGAACAATACTGAAAAGCCAGTTCCTTTTCATTTTGCATAAATAAAAGGTAATGCTGATCTAAATCGTTACAAAATTCCTATCTGAATGAATCTTTACTGGAATTAGTAACGACAAAAAGTACAGTAATCAATTTTTCTAGAAAAAAAACTATAAAAACTATCTAGAATACTTTATTTTAAGATTGACAAGTAGTTAATCTTGAAATTAACTGACTTATCAACCTAATTGTAAGAACTCGATGAATACAGCTTTCACAGCACTCTCAGTGAAGCTAGAAATCTTCAACCGGGTAAATCTAGTTGCCAAAAAACAAAAATTCAGATCAAATTAGCATTGGAAACAAGAAACTGAAAGAAATTTTCAAATCTACTGTTGATTATAAAGTGTTCTTTATACAAGGTGACCAGAAATAACCCGGAAAAATCTTTTTAACTCGATCTTCTGAGGGACTAAATAAAAATACTTTTAAAAATTGTTAATGATACATTCTTAGTAAATCAAAACGAAAAGATTTTTGTCCTAGGCCATTTCTGTAAGTTCTAGGAGTTGAAAGATAAGTCGTTAATTTCAAGACTAACTACTTGTCAATCTTAAAATAAAGTGTTCTAGATCTCCTAGAACTTACAGAAATGGCCTAGGACAAAAATCTTTTCGTTTTGATTTACTAAGAATGTAGCATTAACAATTTTTAAAAGTATTTTTATTTAAATCCCTCTGAAGATCGAGTTAAAAAGGTTTTGCAGGGTTATTTCCGGTCACCCTGTACAGTAAACCTTTCACAGTACTCGATCACTTCTCTTCCACGTCTTTTCTTTTGCATTTTTTCATTTCAACAACAAGTTTATTTCATCCACAATTTTCTATGATAGTGGAAAAATATGAGTGAGGGGATAAAGGAGGACGATAACTTTAGCTGAAGTTGATTTTCACAGCTTTACTATCGACTGCAAGGTGAAGGCTGTACAGAAATTGAACCAGTAATCCTCGAGTACCGTCGGAAATCGAAAAAAAAAAAGAAAAATATTGATTTCAAAAAGAATGTTATGATCTTTAAGAAAACAAAATTGACAATGGTTTTAAAGAAAAGCGAAGTGTCATTGTTTGAGGATCCCGTGTTCGGATGAATTGCCACAATATATACAGGGGAAATGGGCTCGACTGCAGCAGTGGCTCTAATCTATCTACCGTAACCAAATCAATTCAAAATTTGAAAGTCTATTGTTGATTTCTAAGCCAAGCTTGTATTCATGCGCTCAACTTTTCAAATTTACCAGTTCAAGCAAGGATTAGCTTGGGTTAGTAGCAAGGATTAGTCTTTAGGCACTCTTTCAACTACTCTAAATGACAAATGCACTAATTAACCTAGGATTTGCTCTAAATAGAAGATGTTTAGCATTCATTTTTCTATCATTTCAAGTCGCTTTAGGTTCATTTCCAAGTTCAATTCAAGTCCAAAAATCGTTTTTCGACTCAAAATTCACAATGGATTTAACGAAAAACGAAGTGTCATTGTGTTGAAAATCTGCTGAACAAATTATCCTCTAAATTCGGCTATATACCAAACCCTTTACGCTCTATCTTTTATCTATTGACATTAAAATAGGTTTCTTTGGCCCAAAGTGCCTAAATTGCCTAAATTGCCTAATCTGTCAGGTTGTCGCTTTTTTTTGACTACCTGTCTTCACACCCTTATAAAAAATTAATAAACAAAAGATTTTCATAAGATTCGAACGTTATTTTGTAGAAAAATAATAGGCCTTTTTAATGAAGCCAATTTTAGGTGAATTTGTCAATTTGTCAATTATAAACGCTAGTAGAAAAAAAAGTGTCTAAAGACGAGCCAACCTAAGAGTTTAGATTGTGTTCCCCAGTTCATTTCTGCGTTTCTAAAGTGCGCAAGCTATCGTAGCCTATTATATTATAAGCTAACGTAACTTATTGTACTATAATAGCCACCATATCCACCGTTCTCAAGTTCACTACAGATTTTCAGGTCTTCATCTGCTTGAGAGTTTCTGATCCTGAAAAGCAGTTGATTACGGTAACTTTTAGAAAAGCATCTAGACATCTGAACACAATCTAAACATCCTTTTCTTGCACTTTAAGACCAAGCAAATTAACTACGGTATTACGATAAGTTGCCAGCGATGAACTTCAGTGGTTTCTCTTTGCCAAAACTTAATAAGAGAGCCTGAGTCTAGGCGGTAGTGCTACAATTCGTCCAGAGGAAAAAAAATGATTGTTTACCGATTGAGAGCTACTATCTATTTCTATGTTTAATCAAAAATGAATATTATTTCTGAAACAGATAGCCGTCTCATTTCAAGCAAAACAATGCATTTTTTAAAATGTAAATATATAGGCATTATGTACATTAGACGAGATTTTCGACGGAAAAAAAATCATAAGGCAAACGATATTCGCACATTTTCTTGGTCTTACTAGGAAATTGGATTACTGTGGTGAAGGATTACTGTAGCAAAAACCGGCTTATAAACTGAATAGCTACTTGATACAGATTTCTTGACCTTACTAGGATATTAGTTTACTGTAGCATGAGCTTTTTATAGAAAACTGAATATTTTTGATACAGTAACCCTTTGATCTCATTTTGAAAACTTAAAAATTATCTTTTCACATAAATAAACATGAGATCGAAAAGTAAACAAGAAAAGAAAATGAACCCTTATTTAGAATGAAGTTGGACTAAAAACTGAAAAGTTATAAAAAGAAATAGAAAATGAGCGATGTGTGACACGAAACATTACTGGACTACAAGGCTACTGAAAACTAGGAGAAATCGACACGTTTAGCTATTGGAACTGGCTATTTCCTGGATCTGTGATCCTAGAGCTCTTTGAGAAGGAAAATGTTATTCTTGGGGACCTCTTGAAGCACCATGAGATGAGAAGAACCCGGCGAGTCGGTGCAGAGAGTGACCGTGGCTCTGAAAGTTTAGAGTTGAATTTGTCCTGGCTTGGCAAGGTTTACAGGATTCTAACTTATTGGTGTTAATGGTTTTAATTTATTGTTGTGAATAAAGATGTTACAGAGGCTCTTCTAGAGTTTTTGTTTTAGCAAGACTAACTCAAATCTAGTCTCTAAGCCAGGATTCAGGTCTTGATCCGGCTTGGTCTGTTCCCAGCAGAACCAGCCTTGGACATGGCTTCTGGCCTGACCAAAAACCACTCCTGGACTTAGTTTCTGTCCTCGTTTGACAAGGTTTACAGGCCTTAAGGGTTTAGGCTGATTATTAGAGCATGACTGGGACTTTAGTTGATTACCTAAAAAATTATCCTTAAATGTATAGTAACTCTGTATTAGGTTGGTGCATGTCTTTACAATTTTTTTCCAACTTTTGTTTTTATAGAAAAGAGTCTGTTGCCAGATTTCTTGCATCTTAAACTATTAAAAAGATCTATAATTTCTCTACAAAATAGCTTTTGAGAGAAAGCTCGCTTCAACTCGGTAACGCAGTTTTGTGTAAAATTTTCAATTGCTGTTTTAAAGAAATTTTGTTGGTGGCGGCATTATTTTTTGGAAAAACATTTGGAAAAAAAATTGTAAAGACTTAAGCACCAACCTAATAAAAGCAATTCATATCCGACTTTATAAAAAGTCTGACATACCAATCGAGGTCAGTTAAATTCCTTCTAAATGTCTTCAGTGTTTCACAAATTAGAAAATCCATAGATAATTAGATAAAGGTTTTAATAGTGGGTTTAAAGTTGGAATCTGGTTTTAAGAGATCAAATATTTCCTCGTTTGCAGTACTGCATATGAAATCTACTGTCTCCCCGTTAACTATTTCCAACTTACTTTGGAATTTTCTTCCAATTACGTCCGGGTCCCGAGTAGTAGGCCCAACACTGTTCATTCTCTACCACTCCAGCCACAACGAGACGAAGCGCGTTTGGCCACGCGACCGCATCACCGAACACCTTCTCCGCTTGTGCGAGCACCCGAGACAAAGCAAAGCGATATGTACAGTCAAATTTTTCCTAGAGCAAAGGATTATTTTAGCCATGAACTTTTCAACTTACTCCTGAATAACTAGCAAATTGTAAGATGGCTTTTTCGACGCGGTGCATCACTTGGAGATCCATCGAGTTCACCGCGCAGACGAGTGCCTGCAATGAAATTTGGATTTAGATTTAGTATTTGCATCTATATCTATAAATCGTTTACTTAAAACTGATCTGTCGGTGGATTTAGATAAGATTCAATTCTAGACAAAGTTTTGTGCAAATCTTTTACTCATTGTCAATCCGAAAGCCTTGTAACAAACAAACTAATGCAAATTTGGTCAGTCTAACAAATTGGAAATCGTTTTTGAGCATTGTTCTTCGTATATTTTAGATCCATCTCAACTTACCCTCTTGATAATTTCCACATGGAAAAGCTCGAGACCCTCACAAAGATCCTTGAAAACGTCCCTGTCGAATGAGCCGCCCGTCATCGCGTCAACGACGGCGTCCACAGCTTCGTCAGGACCTGGAAATTTTCGGTAGAGATTTAATTGATACTTTTTCAAAGAACTCAAGCAATTTCACTTATATTATAAGCCATCAATAAGATTGTTGGATAAAACCCTACATCCTTGCATCTCTCCTTTGATCTCGTCGGTGGCGAACTCAACGAACGTCTTCGCCGTCTAAAGATATTTTCAAATTAGTTTTTAAAGAAATACGTTTATTTTAGCATTCCTACTAGATTTTTACTAAATTTAATAAAGTTTTAAAATATATTCAACCAAACTACTTAACTATCTACATGTAGTTATGGAGAGCAAGTGACTGTTTTGAGCTGTACCAACCTCAATGATCGAGTTAACGAACGCTGGCACCGCTTCCATGTCAGGGAAACAGGCATTCTTGAGGTGTGTCGCGAAATTGTTCACATCCGGGTACATCTCGTTGATCAAACCGGCAACCATCACAGCGATTCGGTACTCACCACATGGATCCTCGCTGATTCGACCGACTCCTGACTCGGATTTGAGCTCTTCCTGGAAGGAAATGAGATGATTTTATCTACTTACTATTTTAAAACTTTAATTATAAATCAGCTTTGTTTCTCTTTGCTAATTAAATGAGGATTGTAATAGAATTAAGCAGTCTTTCGTTCCTTTGAAGCGTAACTCAAGTCCTTATTCAGTGCCTAGTTCTTAACCGTTTCTGCGCATCTTGCAAAGCAATTGACTACGGCAGCTTTTTCTGAAGGGCGCTTTTTAGAAAGCAAGACTTTAGAGCAAAACCACGGTAGATCTCTCAACCTACTTCAAGAACAGCTCAATTTGTCTTGTACTTGTCGAGAATTAAGCTGATTGATCAATAAAAGTAAGCAACCTCAACAATCTGACACAAAGCAGAATACAACGCGGTGATTCGCTCCTCTTCCGATCGACAATCAACGAAAAGTGAGACGAGATCAACGGCTTTTCCGAGATTCTGCCCATCAAGATGCGAGCAAAATGATGGATAGATTTCATTCTTCTAAAATCTTTCTTGTCAAAGCTTTAATTTCTCGATCTAACCGCTTGCGAAACAGTGAATGTCTCCTCTGGATCGTAATCGTAGTCCTTGATGTTCAACTTCTTTAAATCTTCCCATTCCCCGTCACTGAACAGCTCGTCATCTTCATAGCTTTCAAAACCGAGCTCGAATCGACCACCTAAATGAAAACATTGTACTTTTGAGCAATGCATTTTTCAATTAAGATCTTTAGCTTAAAATTTTTAAATATTCAATTTTCTCTTTACCGTCTTTCTTGATGGAACTTCCACTCACTCCTCGGCATCTTTTCTTTCTATCGGCCTTCTCCTCTTTCCACGAATTCGTCTTGTGAAGTGATGAGGCTGTGCTCACTAAAAATAAGAAAATGCGACAGTTTTAGATGCTCAAATTTCCAATGCTCAAACTTTTCGGTGAATGATGATGGAAAGATTCAGATCCGAGTTTTAATTGTTAGACTCAATGAATAGCTCCGATTTCCTGACCTCGAAAACCCTGGGCACAAATTTACAGGCATAATAATTTATCTTTCTTTTGTACCAACTAGAAAGCAAAAGAAAATTTCCTATGAAGAGGGGTTCTTTGTGTTGCCGGGTAATCGCTTTCGATCTGGCAAACCTCTCTGGTATATAGTGCTTCTCTTACGGGATTCGTAAAGGAGAAGGAGACTGAGCCGTTCTCCGTTCTCTGGGAGCCAATATGCCCAAATCCCTGGGACTAATTTTTGGCTTAGATTTGGCTGGATTTTTGGTCCAAATTTTACATCCAATAATAAGTTTGGCAAGTGGATCGGACACCTCTGGTCCATACGCTTTCAGCTATGTCTTCCCATCCGGTCTTCCCTGGTACCCAATTCTCCCCAGACCAATGTCATGAACTTATTTGTAGCTAAATTTCAGAATTCCCAAGACAAACTAATTGTTTTTTTCTGCAAATACACAATTTCCATAGCGTTCTCTTTTCCATCCGGAACAAATAAGCTCCCATATTTTCATCGACCTCTTTTCGGTCAAAAGGGCAATGGATGGGAGAATGGAATAGATTACAGCACGGAGAAAAGGGGGAAAAGAAGTGGTGGCAACTATTGCGTTGTGGCTGGCACGAGTGACCGCTCGTGAAAAGGGGGGAGGGATTGGAGAGATTGCGGAACCCTTCCCTATCCTCGGGTTCGCTATTTTTAGGGAGTTATGTAGTAAAAGGCAAGCTTAACAAGCTTTATTGTATCAAAAACATAAGCAGGATTCTCAAAAAGCGACTTTTTGGACCAGACAAGGAAAAACCCTGTTTTTCGGGCTATATTCGGATCTTGGTTACCCTGGCCCACAAGAAGCTAAGCCTAAATTCGGCTTATGAGCTGGCTTTGGTCAGAGGTCAGAGGCCTAGCCTAGCTTTACTGAAAGCCTGACCCAAAAGTATCTGGTTCGCCAGAAGCTAACCCTGGCCTGGCTTGTGATCTAGCTCTAGCATGGCTTGTGACTTAGCTTTGGTTTTGCAAAGTTTCTTTTAAAGTACAAGTTTTAACCATCATCGACCATTCTTGTGGCCCTTTAAACTCTTGACTTTAAATCTTAATGATAAGAAGATTGTTACATTTTGAAAGTTTGCTTATGGAGAGTAGAGCATGTTCCTAAGAAGTCAGCCAATGAAACAAGCAGTGCTACCAATTTACCGTAACTTAAGCTTTAGACAACACTTACCGTTAGTTTCTTGGCTAGTCCGGAAAGCTCTACTCACGTTTAGATTGAATTTTCTATTTAAAACTCACCATTCCCACTGTCCGACGAGGCGGGCGAGATCGGGACGGCAATTGGTGGATTGTCGAGGAATTCATTCACCTCCATCTCACCATTATTCATTTCCACCACATCACACCCTTTCATCGCGTTCTGAAATCGAAAAGTTTAGCTCACAGTTCGCTCGTAAGTTTACTTTCCCTACACATAAATAAACAGTAAATGTAAATAGGGCACTCCAGAGGGGCAAGTCTGAAAGTGAATGAAAGGAATGAATGTGAAGGTAAATGCTTTAAGTTGTAAACGGAAATTCTAGAGCTTTGAAAGACCTTTAACATTTAAAAGTACAACCTAAAGCTTTAAATCTTAATGCTAGATGGTTTCATTTTGCCTTAGTTCACCCTAGAAGCTGGATTTAAGATTTTGATCCGCTTTAGTTGTATCCTTATGCTCACTAATATAGAAAAATCCATGCTGAAGTGTATAAGCAAGCAATGGAAGATAAGCAATAACTAGAGTTGTTGTGAATCTTAAAAAAAACCGGACTACGTTACAATAATCTCGATTCTTACAATCTGTTAGCCCATCTAATCGTAAGATAATTACAATTATACCTTAGACTTTGCATTTTCGGCGATTCCGTGCACAAGATTGTACTCCCGTTCGGCGACCACCTCGGGATCTTCAGCGATTTGACGCGGGCGACGATCGTATGGCATTGTTCGTTTTTTTGCGGAGAAATTGGAGAGCGGCTCGAGATACCCTAAAATGAAAGGAATTACTGAAAGTTATATTCGAAATAGTATTATATAAGGAAAAGATATGTCATGATCATAAAAGAATGGATTAAAAAAAGATGATCAAAAAGTAGGCCAAATATCACAAGTCTTGTACACTTGTATAGTCAACTAAAAGTCAATTAACTTGTACGTTTTGTATAACTGGAGAATTTGTTTCGATAAACACAGAAAAAAAGTTTAATTTCTCATGTTTTGACATGATGCAAAACCAATCAAAAACAAAGATAAAGTAAAATGGAAAATTTTAAGGAAATGATGAAACCCTTTTGCTTAGAAATGATGAAATGATGAAACCTCGCGTGACCTAGTCATTAGTAGAGTGTGTTCCTCGCGAGTAAGTAATTACTCGAGTAAATTTGCGCGAGTAATTTTTACTTGAGTAACAGCTCGAGTAATTTCCGAGTAATGCGTTTTTTAAAAAGTACGCCTGCGCGAAAAAAATATAAAAGCAATTTTTTGCGCAGGTTGCGCAAAACTACGCAACTTAACGCTTTTCCGCAGTTTTTGCCTTTTAGCCCAAATTTGACGTGTCAGCGAGGTCTGATTTGTCGAAATTCGGAATCTACGCATACGATTCCCTTCTATAAAAACATTTTTGAAGCTCTACGACCTTTCCTAGCAAAAAAAAAGGTGCGCAAATGTTCAGGTGCGCAAAAAAAAGGTCGCATTTGTCCCACCCCCTTTTGCGTCATTTTTTTGCAATAATTTTTGCTAAAAGTACGGTAATTTTTTCTCAAGTGTGCGTTTTAAAAAACGCATTACTCGCGAGGAACACACTCTAGTCATTAGCACACAAAGAACGTTCTAGAGGCTAGTGGCAAATGGTAAAGAAAGGAAATGATGTCAAGAGAAAACTCAAATAAACAACTAAACGGTATTCGGAGTGTTTAGTTTTTTGGAGGTGCGATTGTAGTGAACTTTTCGTGAGTAAAAAATTTTGAGGGAGCTCATAAAAGCTTGCAAAAGCGTTTGATCAGTTGACAACAAGATCTAATGCTTTTTTGCAATTCCACCAGGGCTAAGAATGATGCAATGAAGTACAAATGGGTACTCCAGATCGTCTTGATCAAGCTATCAGCGTCTATTTTAACTTACTTACTAGTTTATTAGTAAGTAAGTTAAAATAGACTTACTAGTTTAATCTTTGAAATCTTTTTCATAGGGCGAGCTGCAACTTGTAGCTCACTCTCTGAAAACACTAGTCTGATGAGGTACCAAGTAGGAAAATGATAGAAAAAAGTCAAATTCAATCTACATTAGTTTTTGGAACCATACCTATTTAGCCTTACCTTTAATTCACTTCTCAGCTAGCTATGAAACTGAGAATGAGATTAGTTTAATAATAATAAATAAATGGTTTCACAGATTTGATTAAACCACATAGAAAACCGTGATTGAACTAAAATTTACTGCAATTTTTTTAGATCCAAAAGTTTTAGAGCTAACTTTAACTTCTAATAGTAAGCTGGCTATACAATTGATTGTGAGATGAGTTTTATTAGACTCACTAGGAAAATAAATGGTTCGATAGATTTCTCAATGAAGCATACACCTAAGACAGAAAAATTTAGAAGATTAGACCTAAGCCTAAGCCTAAGCCTAAAAACCCAAATAGACTTAGTGCTAGGCGCTAGCCGCTAGCCTACGCACTAAGTCCAAGCCATCCTAGAGTTTTCTCATCTTATATAAAAGTTATATTTGTAATTTAGCCAAGATGGTGGGAATTTTATGAGGTTTAATGCTAAAAATGAATGGTCTGATAGATTTCTAAAACGTATACAAACAAAGCAATAGCAACACGATTGCGGAGGGGAATCGGGGGCACGAGGTTTTACCATCTGTGAGACAAGAGGGAAAAGAGGGGAATGGAAAGGGTGAATCAAGGGGAGGCAAAGGAAAGGGGCACATGACAGCTCTTTCTTCATCCATTCCCCTTTCCATTTCCCTTTTTCAATCTTTTTTCCCCATTGCTTGTATTGTTGAGAAATCAAAATCAACATAAAAGAGTGGTTTTTTGAAAGAAGTTAGACCCATTTTAACTGTTTTCATTAGCCAAGTGTACATAGAATCGCTTAGTCTTGATTACTTCTAAAAAAAGTGCTAAATAGCGTGCATTTTATGCACTTTCTATTGACTTGACGCTTTCATATAGCTGAAAATGAATGAAATTTCATGAAATGAATGAAATTGTATGAATTGAATGAAAATCCAGGAAATAAAGTCTGAAAAGAAACCAATGGATGCCAAAATTTGAATCGGTTTAGCTGAATGTTTACGATTACTTTCATTATCTTGCTTCTCAAGTTTGTGAAATCAGCAATAAGCTGTAAATGTGAGGTTGATCAGAACTATAAATGTAAATACATGATTTTTAAAAGTCTTGCTATTGCATAATGCAACAAAAATGATAAAAAAAAGACTTCAAAACACACTCAACAGTTTCCACAAACAAATTAGATTAATATCTGCTGTCAGAAAATGATTATTAAGTGTTTTATTTTTATTTCAAACCAATTCTTGCAAATCTTGCAAACCGGGCAATCAAAATAATCGAAGTAATCGAGAAAATTCGGCTCAACAGGCAAAAAAAGAGATTGGTGAAGCGATAACCAAAAGATAGATCATTGTTTTATCATCGGATAAAAAATATAATAAGAAATTAATCAAAAAAGCGAATCGATTTTATTACAAAGAGAAAATTGGAGTATTACAAAGAGAAAATGTATTTTGTTTTCTAGATAAATTTGTTTGTTTTTTAGATACGAGATAGATTCGAAAAATAAGTGTAACTCTAGGAAGCTCTCTAGAAAAAACTCTAGAAATCTCTAGAAACCTCTAAAAATCTCTAGTAATCTCTAGAAATCTCTAGAAACCTCTAGAAACCTCTAGAAATCTCTAGAAACCTCTAGTAATCTCTAGTAATCTCTAGTAATCTCTAGTAACTCTAGTAACTCTAGTAACTTTAGAAAAACTCCCGCAACTCTAGAAAAAAACCCCGTTCATACCAATAAACAAATCTATAACTATTTTAATAAACGTCAGAAGTTCTCTGATAAAATTCTAATAGCTTAGAGGATTAGAGCTAATAATTTAGAGAGTTTAGAGTTTAGAGAAGAAAAGAGAATTGTCTATTTGCTTATGGCAATTTTGGTGAGATAACAATTGATCAAAATCCATAAAACCCCAAAAAACAATGTTTACAAGACGATTATTTTGAAATTTGGGATATTTTCACAGAAAAATATTACTAGTTGAACGAAAAAGGCGATAAAATTCTATGCCCAATTCGAGAAACAATTTCTGAGATGATAACTTTTCAAAAATTTAAAGCTCAAATCAGAAAAGTGAAAATGCTTATCATTTGAAAGCCGGGCATTGGCGTAAACACCGTAAAGAGTCATTGATCTGTCAAAAAAACTCCAAAATGTCAGAACTAAACAATTCCTGATAACCAATCTCTGATTCAGATATTTTTCTGCTTAAAAATGATAAATTCACAATTAACATTCCACTGAATGTTGGTGAAATCAGGTGAAACAGGTGAAATCATCAATGAAAAAGTGGGAATGCAGAAAAATAAGGAATTGTTACTAACAGATCTCAGAAAAGAGTTGATCATTGATCAAGTTATTAGAGTTGATCATTAGATCATTCATAGTCATTAGAGTTGAATGAAATTAAGAAATATGCCATATATTTAGCCTTACCTTAGCCTTTAATTTACTTGTCAGCTAGCTATGAAACTGAGAATGAGATTAGTTTCAATAATAATAAATAAATGGTTTCACAGGTTTGATAGGAAGTAGGAAAATGATAGAAAAAAGTCAAATTCAATCTACATTAGTTTTTGAAACCATACCTATTTAGCCTTTACCTTTAATTCACTGGTCAGCTAGCTATGAAACTGAGAATGAGATTAGTTCATAATAATAAATAAATGGTTTCACAGGTTTGATTAAACCACATAGAAAACCGTGATTGAACTAGAATTTACTGCAATTTTGTTAGATCTAAAAGTTATAGAACTAACTTTAAAATCTAATAGTAAGCTGGCTCTACAATTGATTGTGAGATGAGTTTTATTAGACTCGCTAGGAAAATAAATGGTTCGACAGGTTTCTCAATGAAACATACACCTAAAACAGAAAAATTTAGAAGACTTGAAGACATCTTAGAGTTTTCTCATCTTATACAAAAGTTATATTTGTAAGTTAGCCAAGAAGCTGGGAATTTTATGAGGTTTAATGCTAAAAATGAATGGTCTGATAGATTTCTAAAACGTATACACACAAAGCAATAGCAACACGATTGCGGAGGGGAATTGGGGGCACGAGGTTTTGTGAGATGAGTTTTATTAGACTCGCTAGGTTGGTTCGATAGGTTAAAATAGACTTACTAGTTTAATCTATTTTAACTTACTTAATGAATGGTTCGATAGATTTCTCAATGAAACATACACCTAAAACAGAAAAATTTAGAAGACTTGAAGACATCTTAGAGTTTTGTCATCTTATATAAAAGTTAGTTTTATTTGTAAGTTGAAATCATTGAAATCAGGTGAAATCATCAATGAAAAAGTGGGAATGCAGAAAAATAAGGAATTGTTACTAACAGATCTCAGAAAAGAGTTGATCAATGATCAAGTTATTAGAGTTGATCATTAGATCATTCATAATCATTAGAGTTGAATGAAATTCAGAAATATGCAATATTAAACTTAACCGATCGTAATGTTTATGACCTAGCAAAGTTCAGATCTAATGCTCACAGCTATTTGGAAAGTTTAGCTCTTTGATCTAATAGTAAGAATATGGTTGAGTTGATTTAAATCATACAGAATTTAGTTTAAGCTATATTCAGCATAAATTAGTTTTTCATAAGTTGAATATAGCAGATTTCTTTATTTCATTCAGCTCTAA